ATAGAGATAGATCTCTAGATAATTAACTTAATTAACACATTAGTTCCTACTTTTAAGTACTGCCTATCGGAGACAGTAAGCTAGTTAAAGATTAAAATACTCTTATACTCCACCCCTAAAATTCTGCGAACCTCCGACTAATATTTAATAGTAAGGATTGTTTTAAATAGCTCCTATACTATTTTCTTAGTACTTCCGAAATTAGGCCTAAGCTTTTTATTTAGCCGGCTATAGATAATACTATAGGTAACTATATCCTTCTTCTTAAACTCCCTTAATACTAGTAGATAATTAGCTATATTAAGGTAGTTAATCCTTTAGGGCTCTAGTTATAGTAGCTCCTAAGGAAGATTATAGAAGATATATCTAAATATATTCTCTTTTACTAGTACTTCTTTAAGTATTACCTTCTAGCTTAAGAAGTTAGTGCCCTTTCTAAATACCTAATTCTCCTTAGCTATCTTAACTAGCTCTATTATATTTTAATTCTAGCTCTTCTCTTAGCTTGCTAGGATTCCCCTATTAAAATAGTAAGTATAGGGTTAATATTATTAATACTAATAACTTCTTAGTAAGGATAGGATCGTAGTAGCGCCGAGCTTATAACCTATTATAAAGCTATTACTAAATTAAGATAAAGTACGTAGATAACACTAATTAGTATATAGGTAAAAACTCTGCATCTAAGATGCGGCTATATCGTCTAATCCTTAGTTATCTGTAGATCACGTGCCAGAATCACAACACCCGTGAGGTCGGTCGAGTTCGAGGGAGATCTACGGGTAGCGCCGGTTCCGGTATGGCCCGCGCACGGCTCCTATATTTGGATACCGAGCTAAGGTACCTACCTACCTTAGATTGTCACACGGTGTACGAAGTACAGCAGAGTCAGGGCAGTACCTTAGACTGCTCCGAGTCATGATCCAATACCAAGGAAAACCACAAATCAACCTTAATACGCGTTCCCCGAGTCACCATCCAGTGCCAAGTTAAACCATAAACCAACCTTGATACGTGTACGATGTATCGCGTTTGTCTGGTGCGCAAAATTGAGCAAATGCTCACGATGCGGTCCATCGCCGGCGTTTCATACCAGTTTGACGACGTCGGCCCCCCGGCCACCGAAACACCAATGCCTGTCAATGCCTGCCTCATACTCAAGTCCAACGTGTGTGCATGTTTCCACGACGCAACGTTCTGGCCAGATGGCGGCGGCAACTCGTCGCGTTGATCGCGAGAGCATGCCACTCCGACCTACCGACTTTCGCGCCCCAAGGTACACTGGCTAGACCCCCGAGGAGCGCAAGGTATCCAACGCGTAGCATTTTCCACAAGGAGCCTACCTCACCTACACAGCACTCTACACGAGGACTTCATATAGCATTTGCCACAATCTCCCAAAGATGGCGAAGCAAAAGTCCCAATGGTCGGACATTGCCACCACCTGCGGCGTTCCTGTCAGCGACATTGAAGATGTTTACCCATGCACGCCTTTTCAGATCGACGCCATGGTGGGAAGCAGCAAGCATCCCAGTACGCACGTCTATCGCGGCTCCTTTGTGCTGGACAACAAGACAGTCGACGTTGGGCGATATTGCGCTGCCGTGGATCGGGTTACCGGGGAGAATGCGATCCTGCGCACGCGCATCRTCGACGATTGCACTCTCGGCTTCGTGCAAGCTGTGCTTGTGCAGCGAGGACCCGTGGTGCTTGAGGATGCTCAKGATCACGCAGACRACGACATGACGATGGGCCTGGGATCGTCGTTGATTAGATGGCGGCTGCGCAATGGCAGACTTATCCTCACATGCCATCATGCCCTCCACGACCAGACATCAATTTGGACTTTGGGTGAGGATGTCCTGCGGGTCTATCATGGCATGAAGCCTCCACCACATGCGCCCTTCCGAGAGTACGTGGAATATATCCAAGCCATCGACCAGCAAGCAGCGACACAGTTCTGGAAAGATCGCTTCCCCTGTGCAGCAGAAATCTACCCGCAAGTGGACGTCACGCAATCCCCACTGGCCGCAAGCCATACCTCGCACATCATCCCACTTTCGGCCAGCACTCAAGGCCGAGTGTCCTTGGCACAGATACCGGCATACATCGAGGCCGCCTGGGCTCTGGTTGCCTCCGCCATGAGTGGTAGCGAAGTTGTGGCTTACGGTTTTGCCCTGTCAGGCCGCACGGGCAAGCTGGGATCGGTTGCGAGCACTTTGGGACCGGTCATGACAACGACACCTGTGCAAGTAGACGTCCGTCCCGAATTAAGCGTGCAGAAGCTTGTACAACAACGAGCCCGCGATCGTCGACAGCTTGTAGCCAATGCAGCGCTGCATTGGGGATCATCAAACATCCGCTCCGTGAACGAGAACGCAAAAGTTGCCTGTCAATTCCAGACACTCCTCAACATCATCCCACCTACCCGCGATCGGGCCTCGGTAGAGAACCAATGTGTAGGCGAAGAGCAAGGTCCCATCACGCGCGCGCTCTGTCTGTGGTTTCAAATAAGCGGCGACCGTGTCTCAATTGAAGCCGCCTACGACGCAAGTATACTCCCAGAGTCTCAAGTACGCCGCAACTTGCATCATTTCGCCCACTTCTTGGGTTTACTGCTCGACAGTCCCCCGGAGCGGACTGTTGGGGACCTTCCACGCTCCACTCCGCAGGATGTGGCGCAGATCATGGACTGGAACAGTTCCTTGCCCACTGATGGAAGCTGGGAGCACTGTCTGCATCACCTCTTCAGCACTCGAGCTGGTCAGCGTCCTCAGGCCATAGCAGTAGAAGCTTGGGATGGCAAGGCGACTTATGCCGAGTTGGACTGCATGTCGTCTCACCTCGCTCATTCTCTCCTCGTCTCCGGAGGGCTGTCCAAAGGGGACCCTGTGGTCCTTCTCTTGGATAGATCGCTCGCAGCAATCGTATCTGCTTTGGCCGTGCTCAAGTCCGGTGGTTGCTGCGTTCCGGTCGACACAAAATTCCCCTCTATGCGACAAAAGGCCATAATCTCGGCCACCGGTGCGCGCCATATCATCACTCTGGACAGCACCTACCTCGATTCCTTCACCACGGGGGAAGCGATACAAGTATGGACAGTGAACAGCGACGAATTGGCGCGATTCTCCCTCATGGACGATCTTCCTAGTACCTTCCAATTTCCTTCAACCACGGGCGCCGACTTGGCATACATCCTTTTCACCAGTGGCAGTACAGGTATACCCAAAGGAGTGATGCTTGAACACGGAAACCTGACCACTTCCATTCAACACAATGGCGAAACGTTCAGCTTTGGCAGTTCCAGCAGATGCCTCCAATTTGCAAGCCTAGTATGGGACGTCAGCCTGCTAGAGATATATGGAGCACTACTCTTCGGTGGCTGCGTATGCGTGCCTTGTGAGATGGACCGCGAGTCTGGCTTGGCGTTGTACATGACATCCCACAGTGTCGACTTCACGTGCCTCACCCCCGCGGTCCTCCGTTCGCTCAAACCCCCTGAGATCCCGACAATCTCCACGATTTGTACCACCGGCGAATGCATCGATCCAGATGCAGTCCAAATCTGGGGGGATGTAGCGCAGCTGTTCAATGCATGGGCGCCAAGCGAGTGTTCGATCTTGAGCGCTTGCGGCAGAGTCACGGCATCCTCGCCGTATCCGGAAACGATTGGATTCCCGAAGGGTTGTTCGATCTGGATTGTCGATCCACGGCATGGGAACCAACTCGCGCCCATCGGCGCAATGGGTTTACTTATGATTGAAGGTAACACTGTGGCGAGAGGTTATCTGAACGAACCTGTACTTACAGCAAGGTCGTTCATCGAGCCTCCTACCTGGGCCCCAGAACGATGCTCACCTGACGGCTCACAAAACCGCACCCGTTTCTTCCTCTCCGGTGACTTAGCAAGGTACAACCCAGACGGTAGCATATGCTTCATTGGTCGCGTGGACAACCAAGTCAAGATTCGCGGACAAAGATTCGAGCTAGAGGAGGTGGATTCTGTAATTTCTGCCCATGAGTCCGTCCGGAATGTCTCGGCCGTGGTCTGTCGCTCGGATGCAGAACAGACGAAGAAACTCGTGGCCGTCATTACATTGTCAGACCCAAGTTTGCCTCGAGGGCCGGAACTCCGTCAAATCACTTCGTCTGCGCACGCGAAGACAGTGCAGAGACATCTGATTGCTCTTCAAGCCTCCATGAACGCAGTATTACCGTCTTTCATGATCCCTTCGGCTTGGTTGGTTGTTGAGGGTTTACCTAGAACCATTTCGGCGAAGGTTGATCGGAGCGAGGTCGCCAAGTGGGTTGCAAGTCTGGAAACTATCACTTCCGTCACAAAGACCGTCTCCGTCACACCCCCGTCAACTTCGGCGGAGAAAGAGCTTCAAACGGTGTGGTCAACCGTGCTGGCAGTGCCAGAGTCTACGATCGGTCGTGAGACATCATTCGTTGGCCTTGGTGGAGATTCTATCACAGCTATGCAGGTTGCGACACGATATCGCCGCGCTGGATATCGCACCACAATTGCATCGCTACTGAACAGCGCTGACCTTGCCACGGTYGCTCAGCAGAGCCACAGAGCGGTTGAATACACATCAGACGATACTCAGTCGCTTCTCGACGTTGGAGGGTACGTACCACTGACCCCTGTWCAGCATTTCTTCACCGCAAACAACGGACCAGCTGCCAGCAACTATTTCAATCAATCTTGGTTGTTGGACTTCCGCGCAGACTCCGATGCAGCAGTCTTGGAGCACGCACTCCGCAGACTGGTCTCTCATCATCCCATGCTACGAGCCCGCTTTTCTCAACAGTGCGAAGATGGAGCATCCAAGAGGGAATTCGTACAGAGAATAGCTCCGGATACATCAGACAGCCTTCGATTTTCCCATCATACGCATATCTTGAAAGAGACCGACCTACATCATCTAGCCCACCAAAGCGAGACAAGTCTTGATCTAGCCAACGGTCCTTTGTTCGCGGCGGATCTCATCGAGATGCAGGATGGTCGCAGGTTCCTTTTCATGACAGCGCATCATCTGGTCATCGATCTAGTATCGTGGCGTATCATTTGGGATGATCTCGGTACCTTACTCAGGGAGCCAGAGGCTACTCTTGCCCGGACATTGCCCTTCACGTCATGGACTCAGCATCAGCTGGATAAGTGTAGATCACGGAGCGAAACCCAGCCCTCTCTAGTAAAGCAGCAAGTCCAGTGGCCTCGGGCGGATCGAGACTTCTGGGGCATGAGCGACAAGATCGCACTAGCCCAAGACGTAGTCTCTGAACGCTTCTCGTTAGAAGTTGAGACCACGGAGCTTCTTATGGGATCTTCGAATACCGCATATCGCACTGCACCTGTAGAGCTACTCCTCTCCGCCATCTTGCTATCTTTTCGGCAAAGTTTCTGTGATCGCAAGGCTCCGGCATTTTACGTCGAGAAGCATGGACGCCAGGCATGCRATGCGGAAGATGAGCTACTTGATACATCACGAACAGTCGGTTGGTTCACCACGCTACTTCCCATTCACGCGCTGGTGAATCATGAGTCTCCAGTCGATGACGTTGTCGTGGCGGTCAAGGACAGCTATCGACGGGCCTCAGTTCATGCTGTACAGTCTTTCGCTGACGAGGTACTCGGATCTGATGACCGTTTGAATTCCAGCAACTTCCAGCATAGACATGTGGAGCTAATGTTCAATTTTATTGGTGGTTTACAGCAGGTCGACACGAGCAATGGAGTGTTGGATATCTCCCCTTCCATGCCATCTTTTTCAGGCTTAAAAACCGCAGGAAACTGCGAACAGACGAGTTTGATCAACATCGGAGCTGCTGTCCTCGGTGGGCGACTCCAATTCTGGGTTGAATGGAACAGTTCGATGTTACACCAAGATCGATTACGCGGATGGACAACACGACTCCAAGCCTTACTCCAATCCATGCCGCATTCTCTCGTCGGCCAGGAGTCGCGCCTTACTTTGAGCGACATGCCTCTACTGGACACCGATGGCTCTGACACTAGGGCGATCAACCAACACCTGACTAGCTTGGGAATATCTCCGTCTCACGTCAGTTCTATCATGCCATGTTCCCCGGTGCAGGAAGGAATATTGTATGCTCAAGTGCGAGCGGGTACCGATAGCATGTGTTACTGGAGCCGGATTGACATGAAGATCACACCTGCGTCTGGCGTTGAAGGGGATGTCGACGTCGCAAGGCTCGCCAAAGCGTGGCATTCCGTTTGCGAAGCACACCCCATGCTACGAACTGTCTTGGTCAGCGGCCTCGTCGCCAATACCTCTTTCCAACAAGTCGTGTTGAAGCAGGCTTCGCCCAGCTTGTCGCTCTCATCACGTTTACCATCAACACTTTCGTCAAGCTCGCCTCGAATTTCTTTACCGGACGCATTCGACGGAACCGTGTCACCGCATCATCTGGTGATCGATCAAAGCGCGGGGCAACGGAGCGTTCATGTCTCGTTGTACATCAGCCACGTGCTCATCGATGGAGGTACAATTCCATTGCTTGCGAGACAGCTGAGCCTTGCGTACACGCAGGATACCAAGATTGTGGGAAGTCATGGATTCGATTCCTATCTGCAGTGGATCCGTCAACATTCAGAGGAGTCACAGAAGTACTGGTTACGCCGTCTTACTGGMATTCATCCGTGCGTCATGCCAACCTTGAGCGGCCCGAGAAGTGATGATACTCCTCCATGCTATATTGATGGCAACTTCTCTGACATGAGCGCCGTCCACTCGCTGTGTCAGCGTTATGGGGTTACTGTTGCGAATATCATGCAGGTCGCTTGGGCCATCGTATTACGCCGTTATACCGGATCCAGCGACGTTTGCTTTGGTTGTATGATGTCAAACAGGGACGTCATAAACGGCGGTGAGGACATTGTCGGGCCACTCATAACGATGATTCCCATGAGGTTCGACATGGGGCCGTCCAACACTGCTGTCGCGAGTCTTCTATCAGACGCCAAAGAGAATTTCGCTCAGAGCTTGGAACACGCAGCCTGCTCACTGACAGCGATTCAAGACGCCCTCGGCATGGGTTCCACGCCTATTTTCAACACAATCATGTCTATTCAAGCTCTGGTACCTGAAGATCTAAGTGTTGATGGATCGAGCATCCATGTGGAGCTGCTGGATGTACTAGATCCGTCGGAATATCCTTTTRTGCTCGGTGTGATGTACGACAAGGGCATCATCAAGTACAGGCTTACCTACCAGCCTCAGCAAGTACCTCAGATCCTGGCTTCTCAAGTTATGGACATGTTACAGAATACCCTTCGCATAATGGTCCACGAGGCTTCCGCGACAGCTCTGTCTGTAGCACTTCGTGCAAAGGTCGAGGCAGGCTCGGAACTACGACCATTCGAAACTTTGGTCGTCCCGGATCCAAAATTGACCGCGAAAACCCGTCTGCAAGCGGCGTCGCAATGCGAGCTCCCGGGGAGTGCAGTGGAAGATGTTTTCCCATGTACCATGCTCCAGCAGGAACGAATGGAAGCATCAGTCCTGGGTCAGGTGGATGCAATGGTGCAGCATGTCGTCACAAGCAAGAATGGGGAGAGTTGCGCGCAGCTTCGTGAGGCTTTCGAAAGGGCTGTGCAGGCAATTCCAGCGCTACGCACCCGCATTGTGAAGTTGCCTAAGCAGGGCTGTTTTCAGGTCGTTACCAAGTCTCAATCTTGGAGTTTTGCAGAAACCTTGGAGGAGTATCTGGAATGGGTTCAATCTATCCCAGTCCGTTACGGAGGCTGGTTGTGTCGTCTCGGCGCAGTCGAAGACGACAACGGGCGAGGTTCAGTCATTCTTTCACTACACCCAGCTATCTGCGATGAGTGGACATTCCAGCAGTGCCTTGACCACGTCGGCAGAGCGCTCCAGCAGGTCCCCTTTCCCTCGCCGCTGCAATCGCTCAGCCCTTTCGTGCATGACTTTGCTCAGACTCACCTTTACCACGACTCCGCCTGCAAACGATGGAATGAGAAATTGCGAGGATCGCATTTGGCATCGACATTTCCACCTCTCCCACCAACATCAGATCGGGTCGCTCCAATGCCTGATCATAGCCCTTCTGCGACACTATTAGTCAGTGCGGTCACCCAGAAGACACCGGACTTCGCGGCGGTACTCACCGCTGCTTGGGCGCTGTGTCTGTACCGCCTTACGGGAAACATAAAGGTGTTGATTGGGGTACAAGTTGATGGGCGTGACGTCCATCATGCTCTACTAGCATCAGATCAACGCATGGATCAGGTTACGGGTCCCCTTGACCCTACTGTACCCTACGTTATCGACGTGGATCCAACTGCTTCATGCAAGAAACTCGTCAGCACAGTCCTCGACTATTCGGCGGCCATGCCATTATGCGCTCACGCTGGGAAGGTGGACTCAATGGTCAAAATCGACGACGACTCTCGCGCAGCCTGCAATTTGACAAACAACCTCGCTGTCCATGTCGCTGATAAACAAAGTGGATTATTTGACGTCCGTAGGATCACTGGCCTGAGGGATCCGGCTTCTACCATCCAGCTGACCGTCGATTGTTCTGTGACGGATGACGGAACGCGTGTCACCATGACTTACATGGGGCAGGATCCTCGCCTCGACACACTTCAGCATGTCTTGCACCAGTATGGACACGCTCTCTCTCAGATAGCCAATGATGCTCTACCCGGGCCTATTTCGCAACTGAGTCCTATCAGCGAGTATGACTTGTCGTTCCTCCGAGATTCGAACGCCCTGACGCCCGTGGCGGTCGACTCCTGCCTCCATTCACTCGTGAGAGAACGATGCCGGTCACAGCCAGATTGCCCTGCAGTGTGCTCATGGGATGCCGAATTGAGTTATGCGGAACTTGAGGAGCTTTCAAACCGGCTTGCCAATCGTCTGCAAAATGAGTTCTTCGTTCAGCCAGAGCAGATTATTGCATTCCTCCTACCACGATCGGCCGCATGCATTGTTACCATGCTCGCCATCTTGAAAGCAGGCGGAGTAATGTTAGGTCTGGAAGCCAATCAACCTGACGATCGTCTGAAAGACATTCTGGTGGATTCCGAGGCCTCTCTCATTCTGACTTCTACTGCAGGTGGACTTGACACCCGGCTGAGGCGTTTCTGTCCTCCATCCACTTCCATCGTGGCCATCAACCTGGACGATATCAAAAGTCTGGCTCCACAGCCCATCCAAAATTCTCCGGTCAAACCCTCAAACGCTGCATATGCAGTCTATACCTCCGGGAGTACGGGTATTCCGAAAGGCATCATTGTTCGCCATTCCGACGTCGCCACTAGTTTGGCCTACCATATTGAACCTTTGGGAATGAATGCAGATACACGAGTGCTGCATATCACAAGTTACGCCTTTGATGTGAGCATCATCGAGATATTCCAACCCTTGCTCGCTGGCGCCTGTGTCTGTGTGCCATCAGACCATGACCGTATGAGCGAAATCGAAAAGGCAATTGTTGATCGTCGGGCCAACTTCGTATGGATGACTCCCTCTCTGGCTTCAGTGCTGTCTCCTTCTCTCACCGCGAACCTGCAAACAGTCGTTCTTACGGGCGAGCCGATGACAGCTCCCGCTATTGATCGCTGGATGGGTAAAGTCCGCCTGTTGGGCGCTTATGGCCCGTCGGAAACCGGGTTTTCAAGTTGTGTAGACATTACTCGCGACCAGCTTTCCAATATCGGCAAGCCCTCTGGATGTCATTTCTGGGTGGTAGATGAGCAGGACAGCGAGCAATTGGTGCCTATTGGATGTCCAGGCGAGCTGCTCATCCAGGGCCCCATTGTCTCTCGTGGTTATCTCAAGCGGCCAGAGCAAACAGCCGCAGCGTTCCTTACCTGCGCTCCGGCTTGGACGAAAGATTTCCCCCGCCTGGACAAATCTCTGCCATTCTACAAGACTGGCGACATTGTAGTTCAGTGCCCGGATGGATCCTTCATTCATTGTCAGCGGAARGATCGACAGGTGAAATTGCGTGGGCAACGGGTGGAATTGGGTGAAATTGAGTCCCATATTAGTAGGTTCGTTGGCGATACATGGCGGGTTGCTGTGGAGCCGATTCGAGCAGCAGACGCACCAGATGATCTCTTACTTGCTGCCTTCCTAAGCCCGATTGGGAGCGAAAAAGACACGCACAGCACTCATGGACACATGCTGCTCCCCGAGGTACCGGACATTGCTTTCTCAACGCATCAGGCTGTGTTGTCTGCATTACCGCCGTACATGGTCCCAGCAGTTTACCTTGCAGTCCGGCAGTGGCCCCTCAATTCCTCTGGCAAGACGGATCGAATGCAACTTCGGGGAATCGGTAGTAGCCTAACAGCACTACAACTACGTAGCTACATTCCCGTGCATTCTGGTCTGAAGAGAACTGAGCTGGTCAGCAAACAAGACAGCCCTGATCGGAGCGAAGAGCAAGTTGAGGCCGCAGTCTCGCCAGCGAACGAGCGTGAGCGTCTTCTTCTCCAGTTGTGGTCTCTCATTCTTTCCCTACCCGAAGCAAGCATTGATAGGTCGAGTGACTGGGTTGGAAGCGGGGGAAACAGTCTCAAAGCCATTCGTCTGGTTGGCGCGGCGCGGGAGAAGGGCTTTCGTCTCAGCGTAGTCGACGTCTTCCAGAGMGCCAGTCTAGAGCATATGGCGACTCTACTCATGCCACTGGCAGATCTCCAACAGTCTGAGATGAACGGCAATGGCGAAAAGCCCTTCTCACTGTTGGCGATCGATGTAGACGCTGCTGTTGATCAAGCTGCACACCTTTGTGGCCTGGACAGGTCGGCAGTTGAAGACATATACCCCTGTACCGCACTGCAAGAGGGCCTTTTGGTCCTCTCGTCAAGACGCCCAGGTGATTGTGTGCTGAATATTCGACTGGAGCTGGAATCCAGTGTGGATTTGGACCGTTTACGTTACGCTTGGCGCAGCCTGGTCCGGATGGCGCCATCCCTCCGATCACGTATCGTGAACATTCCTGGACAAGGCATGGTCCAGGTAATTCTGGGAGACGATGGTGCAGCGCCGATCACGTCATTCGGCAAGACGATTGAACCCACCGCTATGGGTCTGGGTACCGTTTTGAGCTCTGTTCTCATTGACCAGACTGGAGACAACGAGAAGTACCTCACGTGGACAGTGCATCATGCTATTTACGACGGCTGGTCACAGAATCTTCTGATGCAAGCTCTGGAAAATCTATACAATGGGAATGGGGATCGAGCCAACAAGCCCCTATTCACGCCGTTTCGGAAATTCGTTGAGCATAGCATGAGTGTCAGCCGAGGGCAAGCTGCCACGGAATACTGGAAAAGTCAATTTATTGATCTGGATGCCACCGCGTTCCCCTCACTGCCCTCAAGTGGTTACAAGCCCCGAGCCAACACGGAAGCACATCTGACAATATCGGGACTGGAGAAGCCTGCTCGAGGTGTGACTTTGCCAATTGCCATTCGAGCAGCGTGGGCAGTCCTCCTTGCGGCATATGCAGGCTCAGAAGAGACTGTAGTTAACGTCGTAAATGACGGCAGAAGCGCCAATATTCCAGGCATCGAGCACATGGTGGGCCCCACCCTTGCCACTGTGCCTGTCCGAATCTCTGTGCCAGCAGACATGAGTGTGGCTGACCTGTTGAGGAACGTGCAAGAGCAATCCCTTGGTATGATACCATGGGAGGCAACCGGAGTGCAGAACATCCGCAAGGCCAGTCCCGAAGCAGACGTCGCTTGTAACTTCCCGACATTGTTGCTTGTCCAGCCATCACTGGCAATGCGGCCTCTGGGAAGTAGTCATAACAGTCTCGTGCGTTCTTTCACTGCTGAGCAAGTATTGGCAAGAGAAGGTTACCTTGCTTTCAGTGAGCATGCCATAATTCTGGAATGCGGACCGGAAGAAGAAAGCCAAAAACTTCACCTGAAATTCAGTTTTGACTCCAATGTCTTGACGAGGGACAGAATCAATCGGATGGCACAACAGCTTGAGCAAATACTGCGGGACATCTGTCATGAAATGAATAGGACGGACACAGAAACTCCAAGAACACTCGCGGAGATCAAACAAGCAAAAGGGAGAGATCTAACGGATATATGTCGATGGAACGCCACCGTCCCTACTTCCGTGGACGCCTGCTTGCCTGAAGTTCTGGCAGCAAGCTTTCTTCAACACGGCGAATCCACTGCCATCTGTGCCTGGGATGGCACATTAACTTACCATGAACTACAGTCACTGGCTATGAAACTGTCTAGTCGTTTGAAGCATGACTACCAAGTAGGCACAGAAGTTAGAGTGCCGCTGTTGTTTGAAAAATCTATGTGGACTTCGGTGGCAATGCTAGCCGTTATCATGGCCGGGGGCGTTGCAGTCCTACTTGATGCATCCCAGCCTCTGGATCGCTTGCGTTCAACGGTGCAGCAAGTCAAGCCCGCTGTGCTATTGACATCACCGTCACAAGAGCATCTCGCCAAGGCCATCGGACAAGTTCCCATTCTTGCAATCAATGGAAGCCTTTTTGACGACCAAAGGCAATTTGTACAGTCGACCGACGCCACGGGTGGGAGAAGCCTGAGACCTTCCAACGCCGTGTACATATCTTTCACGTCCGGCAGCACAGGCACACCGAAAGGCATTGTCATCACGCACGCCAACATTTGCAGTGCTTTGAAGTATCACGCTGGCCATCTCGGATTGTCATCGAGAAGCAGGGTGTTCGACTTCTCTTCGTACGCCTGGGATATGTCTTGGTATAATCTTCTTCACACTCTACAGGCGGGAGCATGTCTTTGTGTACCGAGCGAAGAGGAGCGTCAAAACAATCCATCGGGTTCCATTGTCCGCTTCGAGGCCGATTGGATCGCAACCACTGCAACGGTAGCCAGTCTCCTGAACGAGCAAGCTTTGGAACAGCTGCAGCAAATTGAACTCGTGGGAGAGATTCCTTCCACTGGCCTGATGGAGAGACTGAGACAGAGTGGTTGTCAATGTAGAAACATCTTTGGGCCGACCGAGTGTACCATCATTGCATCGGTCTCCCAGGACATGCGGCATCCATCTCACATTGGCACGGGAGCGGGCTCAGTGCTCTGGATCGTCAATGCAGACAACCCATCATATCTGGTGCCTGTGGGATGTGTGGGAGAACTCTGGTTTGAGGGTCCCCTTGTGGGTCGCGGATACGAAGGCGATCCAAAACAGACGGCTGCCGTGTTCTTCCAAAACGTTCCCTTTTGCGAGAGAAGCGGCCAATTTTACCGCACTGGTGATCTCGTCAGATACGAAGAAGATGGCAGTCTTATGTTTCTTGGGCGGAGTGACAATCAAGTGAAAGTGCGTGGGCAGAGACTGGAGCTCGGAGAGGTTGAGCAACATGTGCAACGGATCCTCAACAAGACCAAGAGAGCGGCATACGCCGTGGCCGAGACTCTGGTGGTCCCGGGGCATGGCAGCGGTCCGATTCTTGCATTGGGCCTTATCCCTGAAGGAGCTGCAGCCATGACGGACCCAGAACTACGCGCACGGGTTGCAGAGATTGTTGACGGTCTTGACCAATGCTTGGCCGATGTGGTTCCTGCTTTTATGGTTCCCAGTCTCTATACACCGCTGCGTGATATCCCTCTTATGTTGACTGGGAAGAAAGACCGTCATCGTCTCCGCCGGTTGATGTTATCAGAGGAGCCCATTGGTGCTGAACAGCTCAGAGGGAACGGCGATGATTCGAAAATCGCACAGCCTTCCAATATGGTCGAAGCATCCTTGCAGGAGATTTGGGGCAAAGTCTTAACACGTGCTCCATCATCTATTTCGCTCGATGCCCGATGGGGAGAGCTAGGTGATTCGATCACAGCAATGCATGCAATAGCACATGCCCGAAAACAAAAGCTGGACCTGAGGATGGATGATATTCTCCGCCTGCAAACCATTCGCCGCATTGCCGAGATGATGGAGAAGCGGATCAAATCTGTCGAATTCGTCGAAGCTACACCTATCCCAAGAGTGGAGATTGGAACAAGAGTCGGCTTGTCACCTGTTCAAGAATGGTACTTCCAGTACCATGGTCCACCAAAAACCACATTCGACATTTCAGTATGTCTGCGACTCAACGAGAAGATATCACCGGATAAGATCCACGATGCTTTGAGAACGATCGTGGCACGCCATGACATGCTTAGAGCACGATTCGAATGGAGCGAGCAAGATCAGAGCTGGTTCCAATACATCGACGACAGTGTTGAGACTTCACACCATTTTGAAGCATTGCCGGGCGTGGCTGAGGAGGATTTCGGACCCCTGATACGCAGCGGCCGAAATCGCCTCGACATGGAACGCGGTCCTATTCTCTCGGCCGCTCTACTTGGAGACCAAACCCAAACACTTTCTCTCAGTATCCATCATTTAGTTTGCGACTACATGTCCTGGCGTGTGATAGCGCAAGATGTAGAGAGCCTGCTCGCCACTGGCCATCTGCTGCCTTTACAATCCACGGGATTTCTGGACTGGACAGTGGCACAGAGAGAATTTGCCAGCACAAATCTACCACCAGAAACCGCCCTTTCCACGTATGAACAACTGATACCCCCACAGTGGGCGTCCTGGGGTCTCGATGGCAGTCACATAAAATCAATGCCAGTGACTGAAGTCAGCATCACGCTGAACTCTCGAGAAAGTGCGCATCTCCTCAACCCGAGCTCATACCATGCCCCAGTTCTCGACCGTATCATCGGTGCTCTCCTACATGCCTTCTCCATAGCGTTCCCGCAGCGCGCCGACAGTCTTCCCCCGTGCTACTGCATCGGCCATGGACGCGAGCCAGGGGACGGAAGTGTTGGAGATGTGATGCAGACAGTTGGGTGGTTCAGCACCATATACCCGGTACAAATCTCTGGCAAGGGAGAATCGCGCAGCCTCGCGACTACCGTAAACGAAACCGCAGATGCTCGTCAACGTCTCCGACGTAACGGATCTTCATGTTTCCTCTCTCGATTCGCCAATCCAAGAGGTCGAGAAGTTTTTGAAAAGGGCGCCTGCGAGCTTCTACTGAATTTCTTGGGCGATTCGCTCAAGACGATTGAAGGGGAGAGGGGGAATGGAGATGGGGTATTGTCTTTTGTGCCGCTTCCCAAAGAGGCAGAGGTTGAATACGCGTGGAAACCGCCGGCTGTGTTGGAGATCAATGGACGGACTGATAATGGGGAACTCCACTTTTTGGTCAAATATGTTTGTGGGGATGAGGAAGCGGAGCGTTTCGTTCGGTGTTTTCGAGATGCGCTGCTGGCTTTGGGGAAGGCGGGGGTGGAGGATGAATAGAGGGATTGAGGGAACAGAGACTCTTCTTGGAGCAACACTACATTGATGAACGACAGCAGGTCTGTTAGATCATAGGTAGCGTATACATTGACTGACTGGCCGTCAGTGTCTCGCATTCCAGGCGAGAAGGCTGTTTGGCAAGGGTGGGGATGGTGATGAAGCCCTTTGGGATAATGTGGTTTACTACGCTTGCCGTCCACTTCCAAAGGCCACTCGAGGCTGATCAACGCAACATGCACATTGATAGACTACAGTGTCTTCAATTTGGGCTCTCCATAAGAACGGCCAAGGCAGTTCCCTGAAATTGCATTCCCTTGAGGGACTTTCGAAAAGCAAAAAACAACCAACATCTTTCGCTTGGGCACGATCTCCCATTCTGCCGTCATTGGCCGAAGATCATAGTATTCTTTCACTAAAATAAGCACGAATCTAGCTCGGGTTCACGAGTCATAAAGCTTGCAGCATTATGTCAACAACCATGTCAAACGCTGAAGTAAAACGTTGCTACAAAACGCCGAGATCCAACGCCTCTAGGACTGCCATATGCGCTGGTTTGACTAGAAAACTGACTCTCAATACACACCGCTGTTTCGACCGAATCACGCTTGATGCTGTTGGTAGCTTTAATCAACTAGTACCCATCATCGACGGCCTTTCGACAGATCCTCACGACGCACAGGAGTACATTGTTGACGAAAAATGTCCGACTTACCGACACTCGATTTCTCACTCTTCACAAAGGGTACTGAGTTGCAGAAGCTCAAGTTGGGCAACGCTCTTGTCAAATCATTCCAGGATCGTGGCTTCGTAAAGCTCATCAATCACGGCCTATCCGATGCAACCATCGAGAATCTTCTGGCTTCGGTTCGTTTGTCACTTTATATATCCTAGGATAATTCATGTTTTCTGACCAATCTACCACGGCAGTCTAGGACCTTCTTTGACTTACCAGACAACATCAAGGGGGATATTGCATGCGTTCGAGGACCGCAACCTCAGCGCGGATGGAGTCGGGTTGGATCCGAACAGACATCCAAGTTGCGGAAAGAAAACATTCAGGGTCGAAATGCGGATGAATTGACCGATGAGCGAGTAAGAAGCATCCCTCTCTCTTTTTTCCATACACTCTAGCTTTTTGGATCTGACGGCGACATAGGAACATTTCGACGCCGGTCCACTTGACGATCAAGAATATCCCAATCTCTGGCCAGCGGAAGAAGCACAGCCAGGATTCCGCGATTTCATGGAAGCAACTTACAACACCTGCCAGAGTATAAGTCTCGAAATCATGGCGGCGATTGAAGTAGGCTTGCACGTAGAAGCAGGCAGGCTCGTGGATCGTTGTATACCCGCAGCAAGTGAGATTCGCATGAATCACTACCCAAGTATCCCCACCCAAAAACTGGCCGACGGACGTGTGAAACGCACCTGGCCACACACGGACTTTGGGATCATTACGCTGCTCTTTCAGGATGGCGTCGGTGGTCTCGAATTGGAAGACCGTACGAAACCCGGCACTTTTGTCCCTGTGACTCTTACGAAACCGGGTCAGAAGAGTGAAATGGTTGTCAATRTCAGTGATACTTTCCAACGATGGACCAATGGTTTCATTCGTGCTGGAGTACATCAGGTTGCTCCTCCACCGACGCATAAGATGGATCAAGATGGACTTCTTCCAGAGAGACACTCTTGTGTTTTCTTTTTCAAGGCTAGTAGAGATACTTCCGTCGGCCCCTTGCCGGAATTTGTCACGGAAGAAACTCCTGCTCAATATGATGAGGTCACTGCGCTGCAATATCAGCAGCGCAAGACTAAGGAGTTGTATTAGCGGTTTTGCGTCGCAATATGAGCTTGCAGGCGAAGACTAGGCGGACGAGCAGGCGGATGGCCTTCGAGCATGTGTTTACATCTATCTAAAAATTTTTAGAGCATTGCTGACAATGATGACATTGGCTGCTTGAAGAAGATCTCAAAACTTATTAAATTTTCCGTGTGAGTAGTTTCCGCATCAGCGAGTTTGTGAAAATCGCAAGGCCGTCGTCTGCAAATAAACAAGTCGTACATCGTTTCCCGAATTCTGTAATCTTCGTCATCCATTGGGTTTGAAGTCTCGGAAGTCTTTGATTCCATAGCATCCCTCCACCCCCTCCCTTTCTCGGAGCCTCCTATCTTTTCGCTCCTCCTACCCACAACCACAATGTTGGTGACTCGTACGTGGGAATGATCTCCGCTGCGAGGAGATGCTATATGAAGCGACAGGGGGGTTCCCTGAGCTAGTTACCAACGTGCACCTTTCTTGCCTCCTCGGTAGACCAAGATTAGAGGTGAAATTGAGCAATCCAGTCCCTAATCAGCAAAGCACTCTACCTCTTACATTCTGCGCGCTGAACGCACAATCGATGGGGAACCATCACAACCGTAGGAAGTGAAACAGCTAAGGGTTATCTCGGACGACCGACAACGATTGACATTACCTGCTTGCTTGCAAGAATGTTCAATGGACCAGGCGTATGATCAAACAAACAGAAGTTCATCACTCATCTCCCCCAGGGTCTTTAGAAGATTGACATGTACACTAACCAGCGTTGAAGACCCGAGAGGTCTCGCGATACAGGAGACATTCCGGCTTGCTGGGTATGGTCGAGACTCTCGGTGCTTGCGTCCACGAGTTAGAGCGTGACTCTGTGTAGTTCACGTGCTTGCAGTTCACGTGCTTGCAATCTGGCAAAGCCACGGCAGTCGGGTGGTCTGAAAAGTTTCTGTTGAGTTTACAGGGTGAAGACATGTCTTTGAAAGGGTCTCTAGTTCCACGCATCAGTGTCACATTTGGAGTCCGCCCCTACAGCTCTGGGGGTCCTAAGGCCACAAATTGCCGGCAACTTGGCAGAATGGCAAGCACGCGATTCAACACGAATCTTCGGTATGGCTCGTAGAGTAGATGACATTCTACATTGAGCGCATTCGGGAATGGGCAACTCCGACCGGCAGGAGATGGAGTTGAAATGACCCCTGTCTAGCGTGCTGCGGCCCGCGTCAAGCCTTGGCGAAACGAGGGCAGGAAGGACACCTCATCGTGCGAACAGTATGAACACGATCCGGCGGACATACTGATTGAGAATAGTTACGAGGCCCATCACGACAGCACGAATCGAACGGCTTTAATCTGCTCCTGTCTCTGGGCCAGCTGGCTGGTAGAATCCTTTACATGAAGGCGAGCTCGATTTTCACCTCTTCCTATCAGGCGTACACGTGCACATCAATGGACAGCAAAATACACATATCTAGCACACAGAGCGGAGCGTCGTCGTATTGCTAGGCTCTGTAATCAGATCCTAACGCAGACAGAATCAAAACAATAATTGCGAGGCATCCGGGGTTGAGCCCGCCAGATTCACTCAGCTAACACAAGCAAGATGAAATCCCGAATCATCGATATGCGTGGGCTTTGGGAGCTTCAGCTGGGTATGTGGTTCGGGAAGGCTTGGTCAAGATCGCACGACCATGACGCAGTGACTTCCCCGTCCATACTGATGGAGAAGACGATGACCGCCAAGAGGTATGACTCTCCAGGGAACTCTCTTTTCTTGAAAGATGAAGGCGAATGCTAAATTCTGATGTCAACTCAGCCGGATCCTTCGGGACACCCAGGACGAGCATCGGAGAGCCGAGTGTGCTTTTAGGTCCTTTGCAGTGGGTAGATCAACCATGTTGTTACATCCTTGGCACCACGGGACAGGCAGAATTCTCAACCATATGCGAGCTTCCTACCAAGGAAATTACTGCCCAATCCCGCCATCGGCGGCTCTACAGCATTGAATGTACCTTCGCCATTCGCAGTGTGAGATTCCTTGAAATATACCATCGGAGAAGACGTCGGCCCCAAAAGGAATCAAACAGATCCCCATCCAGGAATAAGCGATCCAAATGCGAGGGAGCACCGAGACGCTTCCTAAGAGAGCAGCCACGTTGTGGAGAATGGAGGMCACATAATGCTACCAAATCACATCCCGGAAGTCTATCGGGACCGCACCACAGGACCTGGGTATCACATGCTACTGGAGTGTACCACACCAGTTATCGAGCCAGGAACTACAGCTGACTACATTTGCGGCAAATTCGATTCCAGATACAACGTCTTGGCATATTCCCATAACCGGAGAGGATTTGAAAAGCCGCGGGATGCTGTAGTGCTTCATTCAAAGCCGCGGACTGTGGGAGATCTGCATGTCGTCTACTCGTGAGTAGCAACTCCGCTGTGATGAGAAGCTATGCTCACTTGATCAGATTCTCATCAGAAGTCATTGGAGCCTTTAGAGTTGTGGATTCACCATAGTCCGGAAGCTCCCGGCCCTATGCTCTCTAATCGACTGGCATCTTGTGAATTCCATGAAGCCATTCGTAGGGCTTTGAAGCCACGGAATGTACGGGATCTCTCCTCGTGAGTCGAAATTTCGATGCGGTAGGCGTAAAGCGTAATGCTCGATGAAGTTTGGAACGGGAGCCCCAGGTCCATCTGTCGCCTGGTTTTGTGGAACCTTTAGACTCTGCGAGGTCACGCTCATGGCCGCCAGTTCCGCTCTTTAGCTAACACTTTCTTAAATACCTCTCACTTCTCCAGTCCAGACCCTCCAATTCAAATTCTCCAATTCACAACATCAGATTAACACTCTCACATTCACACCATCCAACTCACAAACCACCTCCCAACCCGCCAAGATGCACTACACCACTTCCGCAACACTCTTCGTTGCCCTCCTCTCCGCCTTCACGCAAGCCTTGCCAACCAGATCCGCCACCACCGAGGATTTCGGCATCCAACACCATATCGTCGACCCTAACTACAGGAACTTGACGGCACTTCCCGGATGGGCGCCCCCTGCTACTATTGGCAAGCGCCAGTTCGGAGACAGCGGCGTTGACCCTTCCATGGCTACTGGCAAGATCCAGTGGGATACCGGCATCGCGGCGGCCTACTGCACCGGTGCGCTCGTTGGTCCCCGTCACATCCTCACGTCCAGGAAATGTGCCGTCAGCCATGGMTCATCCCCGGCGATGTTCAATCCAGCCTTCGWCAATAATAACCACGACAACGACGAAGGCGTTTCGAAATTCGGTGAGTTCAAACTATCTTTCTGCGCCCCAGGTATTTGAGCCATCGCTAATCTTTAACTTCCAGGTGCGACAACTATCATCAAGACTTACAACATCGAGCAGGGCACCGGTTTCTGCGAGGCCTCGCAGAATTTCGCCGTGATGGTGCTGGGCGCAAGACTGGGAGATGAGGCCGGATGGTTTGGAGTCGTGACCCCAGACTCCGATCACTACGACCAGCCCATCTTCTCCACCTATGGCTACAGACTGATCGGAAAGTTCAATAACTATGAGTGGGATCGCGCCAAGACTCCGGTGGCCTTCTCAGGTATTACCCTCACAAACCCCATTGAGGATGGTCGCCCCCAGCTCGGATGTGATGATACCGGACCTCTTGTAAGTTCATCAGCTCGAACCATGCCCTCCAAGTACTGACGTTACCTTAGTACACCAAGTCCGAGACCCCCACGCCCGGAAGCCCACTTTACGATGACAGACTCATGATTTGGGGTGTCCAGGGTGAGACCGAGTTCAGCGAGACGAACAATGGCGTTCCCGTCGTAGTCCGATGGGCATCCGGGGAAAAAATGATCTCGACCATCAACAAGGCACTCGCGGAGAACCCTTAAAGGACGGCGCTTGGTAAAAGGCTTCTCTGTAGAAGCTAGTACTTGAATGAAAAGGGGATGGCAGAGTGAGCAGTTTCTACGTAGGGCGTTAGTGATTTTCAAAGAGGTTTTTATTCACGCGAATGAAATTTCCCCACTCATACAACTGAGGTTCTATACTAAGCCTACTGCCGTCTCTACAATATCTACTGCCGTCTCTACGATACAAATAGGCGCCCTATCATTGGAGGGAATGATAATAGGCGTCTGCCCTACGAGAGGCAAGAGTTGCCGGTTTCATACACCGACAAATGCCGACAGAAGCCGATGGTGTCATTTATCCGGTCAAACTCAATAATGATAGCAAACGACTCCACCAACACTTCACTCTCGCCGGCCTGCCTGCTCTGCTCTGAGAAGTTCTTCCCGTGGCGGTCGATCGTATCTAGCCATCCGCCAACTGTAAGCGACCTGATATCTTTTGCTTCAGTCAACACATCACCCTCACTTCCTCACCTCACACACCACCTCCAACAACGGCACTCTGCCGTTACTTGCCCTCGACTTCACTTCAGTCATGGGCAAAACATTCACGTACCAGCAGATCCAAGAGCACCGCTCCAAAGAGAGCTGCTGGGTGGCCTTGTATGGCAACGTCTACGATGTAACCTCCTTCCTTTCCGAACACCCCGGCGGCAGTAAAATCATCCTCCAGCTCGCCGGCACCGACGCCACCGAAGAGTACGATCCAATCCACCCTCCCGGCACCCTCGAGACCAGTCTCCCGGAATCCGCCAAACTGGGCTCGATCGACACGACCACCCTCCCCCAAGCAAACGCCCCCGAACCCGCCAATGCCACAACCCAACCACAAGAAGAAGTCACGAGTCTAGAGGAATGCCTCAACATCGACGACATAGAAAAGGTAGCCACCCAAAACCTCTCCAAACGAGCGTGGAACTACTACTTCTCTGCCGCCGATGACCTCCATTCTAAGACTTTCAACAACACCGTATACCGCAACATCCTCCTCCGCCCTCGCGTCTTTGTAGACTGCACCAACTGCGACACATCCACCACCCTCCTCGGCAGCCTCGACGTCAAAGTCCCCTTCTTCGTCTCGCCAGCCGCAATGGCTCGTCTCGCCTCCCCAGACGGCGAACACGGAATCGCCCAGGCATGCGCAACGTACGGAGCCCTACAAATCATCTCCAACAACGCCTCCCAAACTCCCGAGCAAATCGTCGCGGGAGCACAGCCCGGACAAGTCTTTGGATGGCAATTGTACGTGCAGACGGATCGGAAGAAGAGCGAGGATATGTTGGCGCGAATCAAAAAACTCCCACAGATTAAATTCATTTGTTTGACGTTGGATGCGCCGGTGCCGGGAAAGAGAGAACATGATGAGCGGACGAAGAATGTGGGTGGGAGTCTACCCATTACGAGCGCTGTACAGCAGGGTTCGGCATCCACGACATCTCCTGCGCCGAAGAAGGGAGATGCTGGCGGTGGTGTTGGCAAGGCGCTGTTTGCGGGTACGGCGCCGGATCTGACGTGGAAGACTACTTTGCCTTGGTTGAAGAAACATACCGATCTACCGATCGTGCTGAAAGGTTTGCAGACGCAYGAAGATGCGTATTTGGCGAGTTTGTATGCGCCGCAGATCAAGGGGATTATCTTGTCGAATCATGGTGGGAGAGCAGCGGATACTGCTCCGCCTGCGATTCACACGTTGTTGGAGATTCGAAAGTACTGCCCTGAAGTGTTGAAGTCGATTGAGATTTGGGTGGATGGAGGGATCAAGCGAGGGACTGATGTTGTCAAGGCGTTGGCGTTGGGCGCGAAGGGAGTAGGGCTTGGACGGGCACCATTATATGGTCTGGGAGCTGGTGGGAAGGCTGGAGTAGAGAGGGTGCTGGAGATTCTGAAGGCAGAGGTGGAGACCGCTATGAGACTACTGGGATGTGAGACTGTGGATCAGTTGAGTCCTCAGCATGTCAATGCGAGGGCGGTGGAGAGGGATGTCTATGATGGCTCGGCTGGGTTGGAGAAGCTGGAGATGTGGGTTCGTAGTAAGTTGTAGATTATATCCAACTTTGCCTTTCGAGATCTTACTGCCTTTTCCAATCCTGTTGCACGCTCGTGACTGGTTGGAGATATGGTGGCCTCCTTCAAATACCTATCTCCGGAAGATATGTTCTCCACACGACTGCCTGAGGAGCCGACAATCAGAGTCAAACCTGCTCTCCAGAATACGAGTGTGTGGATGGCTCGTGTTGTACCTCTGAGTGATGAATTCGCTGCACTCATCCTTGATAGCGGAGCACTCCAGATTGTTCCCCTCCGCGCGTATGATGCTGTGAGTCTCGATGTTTTGGTGCTACTGGTATGTAGCAGGTGCATTTCCAATGCTTCCGACTGGGCTTCGATTGTTAATCTCAAGGTCCGCCATTCGCCGTCTCAGCGCCAGGGAGATGAGCTCTGCTCGTACATCCCGGACAATTATGCACGACTTCATGACAGAACACATCGCAATCAATGCAAAAGTGATTCTGACAAGTCTCGCACTCATACCTGCTTGACTCCGAGGCTCCCTCTGCTCTTTTTCTCGCCTTAGGGTTTCCATTCATCGCATCTTGTAGATTTGGGAACGCTGTCTGACAGCCATAGCATTGTATACTGCCAATTTGCCGTGCACGCTGCCAGGGAACTTCGACCCAATTCCGTAATGGGAAGAGATGGTGGTATGAGCGAGCCAAATGTGTCGAGAGGATGAGGGTCAGATCGCAAGTGGGACAAGTTGCGGGCAGATTGCACACTTTTGCTTTGCATCTGCTGCAGAGATATCCTCCTTGTGTGAGATTCCCGTGGCAGGCGCAGAGAGTCGGTTGGGATTCTACGATTCGTGATGGGAAGCCCATCATTAAAAGAGCGGATTGGTTGAGTTTCTGGGCTTCTGCATCTGTTGAGCGCACAACAGGTGGTGTCGTGATACCCATGAGCAGTTCTCGGAAGTGGACTTCATCTACTGCTACATTGTAGCAGTTTTCATCTCCAGCATTTGTTTTTCGGCTAATCTCAGCGCAAATGTGCATCTTTGCTGCCAATCCGATGATGCTGACCCGTATTCGATCCTTGATGCAAGCTTTGATTGTGTCGTGGATGTCCCCCGGATCGGAAGTGAGTAGAGCTCCCATCACTATCACGACCTCGCGAGTTCCGTGAGAAGGAGTGTGATATAGAGCTGCTCTTGCCATGTCAAGAGCGTTTTGTAAAGACGGATTGCCTTTAGGATCTGTGCTGCGCAGTGCTCTCACAGCAGAAATGTGATCATTCGGATTGCCAGACATGTCGCTGACGCGAACCGCCAAGCCTTCACGCATTCCCAATATTCCAAGCTGAGAGATGGGATTCTGTTCAAAGAACTCGCGGATGAAAGCAATGGTATAGGAGATTGTAAGAAGGTGTCTCGTCGGACGAAGATCCTTCTCTATCATCGCAATTGAAAGATCCAAAACCAGAATCGTGTGGCGAATAATACCACGCTGGAGAGGCGTTGTGTCTTTGAGGAGTCTGGCGAAAGTCAGGATGCGGCATTGAGGTCAAGGGCAGAAAGGCATGACCCACCTCTTTCGTTTTCCCGCCTCTTCAATGCCGCCTAGCATGCCTTCTATACTCCCGTCTGGTGCTTCTTGCATCTCATAACTTCGAGTAGCACCGGCCTCCCAGCTGGCCTGCGCCCTGCCTTTCGTCCTAGAAGGCATCGCACGGCCTTTGCCGTTGCCGGATTTTCCATTGTCGTCTGAGCCATGACTGTCATATTCTCCGTCCGAGTCCGCCATGTTGGAGTGATGTTGTGGATAGAAGTTGATGAAGTCCTCGATTCAGGCTAGAATCGGATACACCTTCGTGCTATCTCATCCTGGTGAACGTGAGAGTCAATCAAGATCTTGAAGTGATGGACCTTGTGTTTCCGGCAACGTGACTGGTATGCAACAATTTGACTCCACGCTGCTGTCTCTCCCGGGATAAGGTTGACGATCACCGTTGATGTCGTGTTTTGGACGAACGCGATGGCACGTGAGAGTCCCAGATCAAGACAAGCATCCATTTCGATTCAGGGTCCACAYGGAGAGAGCAACCTCCTTGAGTCGATCAAACCAGACCTCAACAAAGAGACGCCCGAAGACGACCACCTGCCAACACATTACCTCAAACCTTCAGTGCGYACTCGAACCCGGATCCAAACTACGACAACCACTCGGCTTCCTTCCGCGTACCTTTGCGCGCTCTCACCGCCGCGAGCGTCCCCGCCGCTGATACCCCTCCACTCCGCCTCCCGGCCACTTTAGCAGCAACAACTCCCTTTCAACACTCGCCGCCATGGCCAACAACGACGAATACGACTTTTTGTTCAAGGTGGTGCTCATAGGAGACTCCGGTGTAGGAAAGTCCAACCTGCTCTCGCGATTCACCCGCAACGAGTTCAATCTGGACAGCAAGTCCACCATCGGCGTCGAGTTCGCCACGCGCAGCATTCAGGTCGACAACAAGACGATCAAGGCGCAGATTTGGGATACCGCTGGTCAGGAGCGTTACCGCGCCATCACATCGGCCTACTATCGCGGTGCCGTCGGCGCGCTGCTCGTCTATGACATCTCCAAGCAACAGACGTACGAGAACGTCACGCGGTGGCTGAAGGAGCTACGGGATCATGCCGACACCAACATTGTGGTAAGGATGAGAAGGCATCATTGGAGATTGGATGGAGACTAAATGACTATCTAGATCATGCTCTGCGGTAACAAGTCCGATTTGCGACACCTGAGGGCGGTGGTACGTACGAAGTTCAATCTTCCTGCTCATTCAACAAGCTGACAAAATCTCCTCCCAGTCCACCGAAGACGCCAAGACCTTCGCCAGCGAGAACGGCCTATCCTTCATCGAGACGTCTGCATTGGACGCCTCGAACGTCGAGCTTGCATTCCAGCAGGAACTGGCAGAAATCTACCGCATCGTCAGCAGCAAAGCACTCGACCAAGGCGAGGCCGGACCCGGTCCAGGCCAGGGTAGCGCAATTCCTCTTGGACCTTCAAACGGCCCCACCGACAAGGCCAAGTCTGGACAATGCTGTTAATTGCCCAATGCCCACTTATCTTCTACACGCGCTGGTTTGTTTTGGAGGATGGTTCATGCAGCATCAATGCAGGCAGGTGGTGCTAGGAGTCTGGAGCAAAGTGTGATGATGATCAGGCAGATGCGATGTGACGATGCGTATCCGAACCGTTTACGTACGTAGAACGAATGTTTCTGAATTGAAGAACAGCCACGTTTACATGATATGCTCGACCGCGTCTATGTCATTGCTGCTATTGAAACACCCTTCCACCGTGCATCTTTCGATATACACTTTCGCAGGGCATTATCTACAGCTTCCTAGGCAAAGGAAGTTTTTGGGAAGACGGCAGTCTGGTCGTATCTGTCGCTCCCAGGCATCCGTTCTCATGGTGCTGCCGCCGTCACAGGCCATCAAATGTTACCCATACCTCTCCACTCATCCCATTCCCGCACGTTCACTGCATCACAACAGTAGCGTACTTCTGCTTGACCGCCAACAGATCCTTCTTGACCGCGTCAAGCTCGATCTGGATTTTGGGAATGGCGGCCTTGAGCGACAGACGGGCCTTGGCCTCCTTGGGATCCTCAATAGTGCTCTTGCCGACCATTCTGTCACACGCCGCATGCGTCTCCTTGTAGATTTTCGTGATCTTGGCCATGAGGTACTTGTTGACGTGCTTCTCGTCGTTGGCAATGATAGCCTTAACTGCACAGTGCTGAAGCACGGTGAACGGCGAATCCTCCTTGGTCTTGTTGAGATGAGCCTCGAGCTTGTCCAGAGAGCGTCTCGTGACGCCCGTGCCTGAATCCATCTTGCAGGAATCATAGATTGGCTGCATGGAGCGGCTGAAGTAGTTCTTCTCGCTATCCTGGGTCATGTCCAGCGCAATATTTCCAAAGTCCTTCTTGTACTCTGTAACGATGCCGTCGAAAATATCCTCCACGCCGACGATCTGCGCTTCGATCAACTCCTTGATCTTTGTCATCGGTAGCACAGTAGCGGACGGCTGCTCTCCGATTGAGACTAGTACACGCTGCAAATCAGCGATAATCCAGCCTTTGGTAACGTCCATGTTGCTCAGAAAGTCCTCTCCCCAAGACTGGCCTTCGGTATCTACGAGTTGATGGATGGCCCGGGTGAAAGACTCATTCCAGCAGTCCTTTGGGCATAACTTGGATGAATGATTGCCATTCTTGCGGATGAATGCCCGGACCGAAGCACTGTGCTTCTGTTTCTTCTCTTCGAACTTCTGGAGAGCAACTTCCAGAATATTGATCTTGTTTGCATCCAGGGCTTTGACAATACTCTCTTACACCACAGCCTTGAAATTTTCCTTGTGCTTCTGCAGTCTACCTGCCAGGAGTTTTTGAGGTACCAAGACCAGTTCGAGCAACTCCTTGCGGCGCTCCACGTTCGTAGTGTCGACCCACATGTGAGCGCTTTTCAGGAACACCGTCATGGTGTGGTTCGCGAAAGCGCTCAAGGATCCCATCAGTAGTGGGGCGGGCAGAGACAATGCATGTGCACGGAGAACGGGAACTTTGGTGGCTTCGACGGAGAGTCGAGGGCCACTCAGCTTGACAGCACCTTTGTGAGACCCGTAGTGACTGTTGGAGACGCAGAAAGTAGTAAGCGCAGATCCACCGGGGAGATGAGATTGCATTTCCTCTTGCAACTGGGCAGTGATGAAAGTAGCTCTCGCTTTGACGAGGAACTCGAACCGCGTGGCATCGATCGCTTCGCGCTGGAGAATGAGAGCTTTGAGCTTGTCCTCGGAAGTCTGGACGTCAAGGATCATTTGCTTAGTTGGCTTCTTGCGGTTGCGCATGGTTATGATGGATTTTTTGCATTTTGTGACCTCTTTCTTCTTGTCTTTCCACTGCTGAGTATAGTCGAAATAGGGACGCACTTCGCAACCCGAGTCCTCCAGATGGTTGGCGAGTTTACGATCAACGCTTTCGTCGGCGTGAGTACAGATGACTGCCACTTTGCCCTTGAAGCGTTGTCCGTACATGGCAAGGATGTTGTAAACGGAGCCGTCGTCGACTACGCGCTTGACTGGTGCCACGACCCAGAGATAGTCGCAAAGCTTGATGTGTTGTTTAGACAGCTCTACTCGAACGTTGTTGGTGTCCGAAATGCCTGGTAAAGTCAATACAAAGTCCTTTCCACTCAGCTGACGAAACGCTGCATCACTCACCAGGAAGGTCGACGATCGTGACATTCTCTAAAACTCTGGATCCACGAACACCAATGCTACGAGCGAGACGTTAGCGACCACCGGGAGGGAGGAAAAGGGAAACATACCCGACGTAGCGCACCAGCGGCCAGAGCGCTGGTTTGTCGCCCTTCGCTTTGGCACCTGTGAGTGGGTCGACGAGATCTCTCAGTCTTGTGCGGGTAGACGCCTCGATAAATTCGGCATATCCCAGATTGAGGGTGATCTTGTCCTTCAACTTCTTTTCGCAAGAATCGAGAAACATTCCGATGGCGTCGACGCTCGTATCCTGCCAGTTGGCCTTGAGGAATTCTTTGGCAACATTGTCATCCTTGAACTCCGTGAGATCGCAGAACAAAACCCGAAAAGTTTTGAGAGCGTTCTGCATGGCTCGCTTGAACTGGGTGCGCTGTTCGTCGTCCCAGTCTCTATCATTTTCAAAGGTGAAAAGGTTGTAGTCATCCAGCATCCCTTCCAGCACGCTTCGAATCTTCTTGATATCAAAGTAACGGATACTCGCAGCAAAAGCCTTGCGCTGCGTTGGAAAAGCACTGCTGTACTCTGTTGGGACGCAAGTGCAGGACTGGCCGCCGGAGAGGGACTTCGCCAGATCGTCGAGATCCGTTAAGGAGTTAAGCAAAGAGCTCTTTCCTGCTCCCGCATCTCCAAGCAGACCTATGCGAACCTTGAGGTTTTTGGGAACTGTGACAAGCTTCTTCGCGGCCCCAACAAGGGTGTCAACGTGCTTGCCACTTCCACCAAAGCATGAAATAATGTCCAATACTTGCTTGGGCACACCAACTAGCCTCTCAGCAATGCTGTCGATGCCGAGATCGTAGATGGCGCATGGAGGGTAGGTCTCGGTTGACTCGGAGTAGGGCTCCTGGGGAACGTCATGGTCCTCGACGTCATTGTCAGAATTGTCGTCATCGGGAGTGTCCCGCTCCTCATCATCATCCTCGCTGTCATCGTCAGGGACGATGAATTCATCATCGGGCATGAACAAGTCGTTGTCATCGTTGTCCTCATTCTCGTCGGAAATGCTGGCGGTGTCGTCCTCGTCTTCGCTACGCTTGCGCTTGCCGAGGAGCGGGGATGCAATGCTGTCACTCATTTCGACATCAGGCTTGACATCTACGCCGGCCGGGGTGTTCGACGACATGGCGTCCTCTGCTTGATGAGTTGTCGACGTGTTCYGAGGTGCCTAGATGAAGAGTGGGGGTGATGGATGGTGATGTTGAAGACTAAGAGAGTGGTTGTTGGAAGAGAAAGAATTGTGAAGATGTATGTCAAGGATGAGGGCTGGCTCCTGATGCGGAGAAAAGCATCATGCACATGTGACTGATTCGACCGTAAGTGAAGCAAGCAGTGAACGAGTATGTAGAACGCGAGGGAATCGGTGAATGAGCGTTACAAACCGCCGCTGATTGGCGTATTCTTTGGGTAGCTCCATGACCATCTAGATGCTCAGCTTTGAAGACCTGATTTCTTGAAGTGACAGTAATCCAATGAAGCATGGCTGCAAGGCTATGAAGATGGGTTTGGCAAAGATGAACGAGGTGAGGTCAAAGTCCCCAGGATGCCGAACGGGAGCATCGGATTTACCGACTCCGACTCCGCAACTCCTTCTCACCCATCGCCGCTTCCTTGATGCACACGACCTCGACTATCATCTCCTACTGTAGGTACACAAAGCCTCGACTTAGACTCCGAGCATTCACTGGAACGTGCGCCATGCATTAACGGAAATCTGGATCAACTTTCCGTGCTTGTCAACCATGTTCTGCCTGAGAAGTACGTATCGATCCGAACAGATTATCTTGCTTGAACCGTCACTGACATTCGCGTAGCCTGGGCGTCTCTCCTGGTTTTCCTCAGCACCGCGAGTCCTCTATATACCGTTCTATTCCTATTCGGCAACTATTGGCTTACCCGACCATGTGTATACTGTACGTCGACAGCCTCCGGCGCATTCTTCCGCGCGTTCAATATCGATGAAATATACTGACTTCGCCGTTCCGCCTCAGGTAGCTTCCTTCTCTGCTGCATTACCTTCTCCCTCTTGGATTTTGAAGCGGACTGGTTCGAGCCACGATGGTCTGGCGCATCGACCTCGATAACGGAAGCCGCAAGTTCGGTTATGAGCGGCAATGCGACGCTTACGGAGGCTGTATTCCAGACGGCCGGCCTAGCAGCATCAGCACTTAATGGGACCGGTGGATCCTTGGCTAGCGTGGCGATTGAGGGTGTGAAGCGCAAGATGGCAACGGGCGGGATGGGAGCAGAGGTCGTGAATGGAGCAAACGGAAGCAACGTGTTCGAATGGATCAAGGGAATGTTGGAGAGGCTACAATTCYGGATACCCTGTGTTAATGTTACTGTGCGGCTATGAGGGGGCTGGGCGAAGGAGCATGATATTACGAAAGCATGGATGGCGTCTGCATGGGATGGGATTTCAGGGAAACAGACACAGCCAACATACCCCCATGGCTGTGAGGATGTGAGGCACCAAGAAGAGAGGTTTGACGGGATCGAGACCTCACTTGATGATAAGATACTGTCATATTCGAGCAACGCTGTCTTGTTGTTCTACGACATGCCTAGGGAAGAGGTTGGATCGAGTGTTGGCCAGCTCGTTCCATCAAACTCTCATCACCGCGATTTCTGTTCCCAACCACTTCGCATTGAGAGATCGATAGGTCTACGCGCCGCGCCATTCCGTGTATTCACTCTGGGTTGAATGTCGTCCTTCTCGAGACGCTAATGATCCCCGCGGCCATGATATAGTTCGACGCGGGCGCGTCACATCTCCAGGGCATCTTTGCGGGCGTTTCTGCATTCAATAATTTGGGCCATCTTCCTGCATTCGCACTCCTCTACACTCCTCTCCGTGTGATGTCCACGTTGCGCGGCTCGCGACGGCTTACTACACAAGTGCAGCAGTCCGTCGCTCGTAGTGGGGCAATCTCCCGCAGTGCGCTGCTTTGCCAGCAAACCACCGCCGCGAGCTCATTCCCATTGACAGCGAGCTTTTCCTTCAGGACGCCTCCAGCACGAACTCTTTTGACTGGCCCTCGTACTGCTGCATCTTCATTCGGTCCCATTGTGACGCCGTCTGGTAGAAGAATAGACCCCCGATCAACCTCAAAAGTCCTGTCACTCCGCAACACACGACACTGCTCCAGCAACCCCGCCAGCAGTCTCGTCAAGATGGCATCCGATCGCGATATCCTCCCAGACGATGTCAAGCCCAGCAACTATGCCATCTCCCTTATGGATCTCAAAGCTGGCGAGCCATGGACATACCAAGGCAAGGTGGACATTGAGCTCCACGTGAAGAAGGCTACCAAGTCCATTACATTAAACACCTTTGAATTGCGTGTTCACGATGCTCAGTTTGTTTCGGACTCTGGAAAGACATCATCTGCGATCAAGGCCTCTGACATCTCTCACGACCTCAAGAACCAGCGATGCACTTTCACATTCGATCAAGAGCTGCAGCAATCGCCAGCGGCCGTTCTCTCAATCACATTTGAGGGTGTCATGAACAACCACATGGCTGGCTTCTACCGCTCAAAGTATCAGCCAACTGTGGAGGCTTCAAAGGGAGTGGCACGGGACAGTCAGAACCACTACATGTTCTCCACCCAATTCGAGAGCTCAGATGCACGCCGTGCTTTCCCCTGCTTCGACGAACCCAACCTGAAAGCTACGTTTGATTTCGAGATGGAGATTCCAGAAGATCTAGTAGCTTTGAGCAACATGCCCGAGAAGGAGACACGCAAGAGCAAGGAGGGCCACAAGATTGTCAGCTTCGATCGGACTCCAATCATGTCGACGTACCTACTCGCTTGGGCGTTTGGTGACTTCGAATACGTGGAGGATTTCACGAAGCGGAAGTACAATGGCAAGAACTTGCCCGTCAGAGTGTACACAACCAAGGGCCTAAAGGAGCAGGGCAGGCTTGCTCTTGAAAGCGCACACAAGATTGTCGATTTCTATTCCGACGTGTGTGATTCTTATTCGTAACCTTGCATGCAATCGCTAACGGCCCGCAGATCTTTCAGATTGAGTACCCGCTTCCCAAGGCGGATCTCTTAGCTGTTCACGAATTTGTAAGTCCTCGCTCCTTTTGTTCAAGTCGTCTCCACATCCGCACATCCTGCATTGCTGGGTGGGAGCTTTCCACTGACTGGCTCACAGCCAATCATATGTCTCCCATCTTGGGTATTCCTTCCACGCAAATTTGCTGACCAGTGTTTTGCAGTCTCACGGAGCCATGGAGAACTGGGGTCTCGTCACCTATCGCACTACTGCCGTTCTCTTCGACGAGTATGCTTCGGATCAAAAGTACCGCAACCGCGTCGTGTATGTTGTGGCCCACGAGCTCGCTCATCAATGGTTTGGTAATTTGGTAACCATGGACTGGTGGAACGAGCTTTGGTTGAACGAAGGTAACGACTCAATCGAAGACGCTCCCTCCGATCTAAGCTAATAGCAACAAGGCTTCGCGACTTGGGTCGGCTGGTATGCTGTGGACCATCTCCACCCGGACTGGGATGTCTGGGGCCAATTTGTCACCGACAGCATGCAAATGGCTTTCCAACTTGACAGTTTGAGGACCTCCCACCCAATTGAAGTTCCCGTCAGAAATGCGCTCGAGGTCGACCAGATTTTCGATCACATTAGCTACCTCAAGGGCAGTTCTGTCATTCGTATGCTGGCAGCCCACCTCGGCGTTGAGGTATTCTTGAAGGGCGTGGCGGATTACCTCCAGAAGCACAAGTACTCCAACGCTACCACCAGCGATCTGTGGGCTGCTCTCACCAAGGCATCTGGTCAGGACGTGACGACGTTTATGGATCCCTGGATCCGCAAAATCGGCTTTCCAGTGGTGACTGTGGCAGAAGAGCCTGGTCAGATCACAGTGAAGCAGTCAAGGTTCCTCACGGCGGGTGAGGTTACGGCAGAAGAAGACGAGACTACTTGGTGGATCCCGCTCGGCTTGAAGACTGGCCCGGAAGCGACTGATGCCAAGCGCGAGCCCCTAACGACGAAGACTGACACCATTCGCGACCTTGACACATCTCTGTACAAGCTCAACTCGGATCAGACCGGCTTCTACCGCACCAATCTGCCACCGGCGAGACTGGTGGAGCTGAGCAAGAACCTGACCAAGCTCTCTGTCCAGGACAAGATTGGCCTTGTTGGCGATGCTGCAGCACTAGCAGTCGCCGGCGAGGGAACGACCCCAGCTGTTTTGTCTTTCCTCCAGGGCTTCGAAKTTGAAACCAACTACCTTGTATGGAGTGAGGTCCTGTCCAGTCTTGGCAAGATTCGGTCCATCTTCTCATCTGATGCCGAGGTCTCGAACGGACTTCGTCAATACACTCTGAAGCTGGTCACTCACGCGACAGATAACATTGGCTGGGACTTCGACGCCTCCGACGACTACCTCAAAGGGCAACTGCGGGCTCTTCTCATTTCCTCTGCAGGTCTCGCCGGACACGAGAGGGTCGTCGCAGAGGCACAGAAGCGTTTCAAGTCGTTCACCGATGGCGATGCCAAGGCCATTCACCCATCTCTTCGAGCAGCCGTGTACAAGATCTCCGTCAAGAACGGCGGTGAGGAGGCATACAAAGCCATCCAGAATGAGTTCCTCACGACCAAGTCCATTGACGGCAAGGAGATCACGTTACACTCCATGGGCCAAGTCCAGAGCGCGGAGCTGGCAGCCGACTACCTCCAATTTGCATTTGCCGGCAACGTCGCCATACAAGATCTTCACTCTGTCGGTGGGGGTTTGGGCAACAACTCCAAGGTTCGCGACACCGTGTGGGAGTACATCAAGTCRAACTGGCCTATGATCAGGGRGAAGCTTGGCGGCAACATGGTTGTTCTGGAGAGGTTCCTCCGAATGTCATTGCTTAAGTTTGCCTCTTTTGAGGTCGAGAAGGATATTGAGAAATTCTTCGCCGACAAGGATAACACTGGCTATGACCGTGGCTTAGCTGTCGTCAGCGACACCATCAAGGGCAACGCTCGATATCGTGAGAGAGACCTTGAGATCACGCGTGAGTGGTTGAAGGCTCACGGCTATGGAAAGTAAGAGGCGTATAGCAGATTCTTGCGTAGGAATAGCAGCAAACTGTCTGGCCGTAGCAGCCTGACGACGATCTCCTCGAAGTCGGCGTAGGATAAGTGAGTACCTATGAACTCGAGTGTCAAGGTATAAGCAGCTCCAGGCTTCATCAGTAGTAAGTGTCTTGCAATGCATCCAAGGCGTTTCTCTTGCCTTGTGTCTCTGCGTTTTTCAGTACCCTTAAGCGGTAATCATTTTGGCTTTTGTCATATGCTTCGATGTGATGCCCCATTCTCAATATGTCTTAAGCAGCCCATATCGGTCCCTGTCTATTCTGGACGAGAAGAAAAGATCGTGTCCTTGGCTTGATGGAGGAGGAGTTGCCAGACCCTTCCGCGTCATGATCTTTTCGATCCCGCCTGCCCGCTCATTTGATCAACAAACACGCCTTCCACTCGGCCGCCAAGTTGAACCTTTCAAACTTCTTGCCACGCGACACAACAACAACGACGACATCAACAACACCAGGTGAGTCGTTCAATCACCGCACCATTTACGACGGAAGATCTTCACATCTTAGAAGGGTCTGCCATCCTGCAATCATCTTGTTCATTCACCGCCTGGCGAACGCCATCTCGCACGCGCACCCTTGTATCTTCAAGCGTGCCCCACGCCCCGCCTCCCACCATGTGGACTGGTTCACCCGTCAAGAAGAGCTCCTCCTCCTTCACCATCTTCGACGACAAAAGCTCACATCAGGTTTGTCCATCCCCTTTGCTGCATCTTAGTTCACTTCTAATCAACAATCTAGCTCGGTCTCAAACGCACCGCCAGCGCTCATCCACTCCCGCTCACCACCTCCAAGCTCGCCAACCGCTTCGGCCCATCGACAAGAGTAAGTCACAGACRGCGTCACCGCACCATGCTCGATACTGACTTCCCGGCTCAGACCGCAAAGATGGATACACCGGTCGACGAGATCCTGCACAAACTCAGCATCCAGCAGAATCTTCTGTCCCGCCAGCAGCGTGATCTCGAGCAAAATGAGAACCGCAGCGTCGAGGCCCAGCCCGTTGAGCATCGGAGCAGCAGCTCCTCGTCACCCACTGACCCGTTCCCTGCTGTGACGCCCGAGACTGAGGACGCTCCCTCTGCCGGCACCTCCGACGGTGGCGAGCTTCTGGAATTGAAGAGGCAACTTGGAGCAGCTCAGGAGCGTATGGCACTGATGGACCTTGAGCTCACTCAGTCCCGTCTCGCTCAGCACACCATGGAGGAGGCCATCGGTTCTCCCTTTCCGGCCGCCCAGCACCTGGCTGCCAACATCACCAGCAACAACGTCCCTCCAGGTGCTTTTGGCAACGCGGCATCCAGCATGCACGTCCAGAACAAGGCGTCTGCTCCATTCGAGCGTGGCGGCTTCAATGTCTCTCAGATGCCCCAGCATCTTGCGTAAGTTTCTTCTGAGCGATGCTGGAGCTCGACTTCAACTGATGACACATACAGGTTCGAATCGATGCCCACCTACGCTCGTCCTCAGCCCACCAACGGACAGCGCTCGGGTTACACGCCGCCAATGACTCCTAACCCGTTCCAGGCGCCGTACACGGTGCCAAACGGCGCCAATTTCAATCCGCAGCCGCCAATCGGTACCAGACTGTCGCCAACTGCCGTTGAATTCGGTGTCGGCCGTGGTCAATGGGCGACACAACAGCCGCCATACCCGCCGCAGCAAGCTGGCTCTACGTACGTCAACCCCATGGAGCCGCTCAACTACCGTCGCCTTCTCGATCGTGCCATGAATTGCAACTGGAAATTCATCGTGGACAAGATCGTCTGCAACAATGATCAGCAGGCGTCAATCTTCCTGCAGCAGAAGCTCAAGGTCGGCACTCCCGAGCAGAAGCATGAGATCGTCCAGTCCATCATCGATCAGGCATACCCACTCATGGTCAATCGCTTCGGCAACTTTCTCGTCCAGCGCTGCTTTGAGCACGGCTCTCCCGAGCAGATCATCCTCATCGCCCAGGCTATTCGAGGCAATGTTCTTACTCTGAGCATGGACTCCTTTGGCTGCCACGTTGTCCAGAAGGCGTTCGACTCTGTGCCTGAGGAGTACAAGGCCATCATGGTGCATGAACTCCTTCGTCGCATCCCCGAGACGGTCATCCACCGCTATGCCTGCCACGTCTGGCAGAAGCTGTTCGAGCTACGCTGGAGCGACTCTCCACCGCAGATCATGAAGTACGTTAACGAGGCTCTCCGCGGAATGTGGCACGAGGTCGCTCTGGGCGAGACCGGCAGTCTGGTGGTTCAGAACATCTTCGAGAACTGCCTCGAGGAGGACAAGCGTCCATGCATCAACGAGGTTTTGTCTAGCATCGATGTCGTCGCCCACGGCCAATTCGGTAACTGGTGCATCCAGCACATCTGCGAGCACGGATCCGTCCCTGACCGTACTCGTGCGGTTGATCACGTCCTCCGCTTCGCCTCGGAGTACAGCATGGATCAATTTGCATCGAAGGTCGTGGAGAAGTGCCTCAAGATTGGCGGCAACGACTTCCTGGATCGTTATCTCGACCGCGTGTGCGAGGCCCGCCCTGATCGACCACGCATGCCACTCATCGACATTTCTGGCGACCAGTTCGGCAATTACCTCATTCAGTACATTCTCACCAACGGTGATCCGCAGCGCAAGGAGATTGTTGCCGCCCATATCCGCAAGCACATGGTATCCCTTCGCGGCTCCAAGTATGGCTCTCGCGTGGCCATGCTGTGCTCCAACCCTGCTTTTGCCACTCGCCCTGGACCACCCGCTGGCCTTCCACTCGTTCGCACCAACAGCTCCTTTGGCGCCAACAACGGTGACCGCTTCATTCCAGACTCACGTCAGTACCCAAATGAGCGTCAGTACCCAAATGAGCGTCAGTACCCAAATGAGCGCCAGTACCCAAATGAGCGCCAGTACCCAAATGAGCGTCAGTACCCCAATGAGCGTCAGTATCACTCTGAGCGTCAGTATCAGTATCCCTCTGAGCGTCAGTACCCATCTGACCGCACCTATCAATCCGATCGCCCATTCCACGTGGGCCGTGGCGGCTTCAATGGAGGCTACCATTAGGTGACTGCCACTTGACGACCATATATTGCTGGCTGCAGCAATATACACACTTGTTCTGGTCAATTCTTTGCACTATGAAAACCAAGCATACACACAATCTAAGATCGCCGCACATGCATGCTTGTCTCTGGTTTCTACGCTCAAACCAACCGACTTTGGGGTTCACTCCATCGCCTTTACCGTCGTTGGACCCGGGAGCATTCTTACTGTTCTCATCTTGGCACCTTTGTCTTATGGAACAGCGAGGTGGCTGGCCGGTTCTCGTGTTAGCCGTCAGATCTTAGCCAATCTTCTGGCGATGTTCTTGTTTGTTTGGTGAGAGACGAGGGAGTTGCAAATGACGATGAGAGGAGGTAATCACGGAGACAAAAGCTGCCTTTTGCAGAGTTTACATCTTGCGCAGGTTGATATGAGGGTAATGGGTAATGGATAGTGTGTAGTGACAGCTTTCAAAATCAAGTCGAACTCTTCGTAGCGCGAGATCCTTCTCAGTTTCTGTCGATAACCTGCGTCGAGGCGCAGTGTTGCAGGGCTTCCAGAAATGGGCAAATATTTCCCACAAAAGTCCTGTTGTCTATTTAACTTACTATCCTTTTCGTGTGATGCCCATCAGATCCGCATTTGAAGGAAGCTCCCCGCTCCAGTGAACCAGCGTGGGTTTCGTTAGGGTTAGGGTTTGGGTAGTTGGCGAGGTTGTTCACTTGTCTTTCATGGACCATGTGATATGCACTGATGTTGCTACCCGTTTCTAAGATCCAGTAAGAGAGTGTTGCGAGTATGTATGGGTGATATATGTTTACAGTAGACATCAAATTGACCCATTTGTAGTGCCCGTGGTTTACCGGCACAAGCGAGTGCAGGTTCCTAAGAACACGACATCTCCAGTCCACCGATCACATGATATGAAGAGCACATGAGACGTATTCGAGACAGGATGCAAATCAAACATATTCGTCATTCTATCTACCTGTATTGTTATACTCATGCTGRTAACTCGGAAGTGGTGGGGAGACTGAGCTCTTCTCCTGATCGCGGTTCTTCTTGACGCTTTTGTTCCGAGATGGAGACCCCGGAAGCTTCTCATGAAAGAGACCAATAACCACCCAAAGCCCAATATTAACGAGCAAAAGGATGACAGTTGCCCAAGCTAAAGCGATGAATTTGCCTCCGTACTCCGTCTTCAGCCCGATGCCGCTTCCTAGTAAGTTCAGAAGCTTCGAGACGGCGACTGCAAGGCCATGGGTGAGGATAGTCGCAAGTCCCAGGAAACTCAGAGCTGCGACTGAGATGATGCTGTTCAGCCACGCCTTCTTATACGTGTAGCGAATTGTAGACCATATCGCGACGATAAGCGCGAGACCTGTCAAGCCGATTCCGATCTCAAAGAGGATGCGGATCAGGCCTAGAGGGTTGAGAGAGGAGTGGGTTGAGCAGGAGTCGACGTTCTTGTGTGTACCGTTCGGGGGAATTGGACTGTCTCCGATGGAGATATTCTGGCCTGAGGGTGTAACGTACTCGCCCTCACAGGTAGTGCGCAGGTGGATGGAGTAGAAGCCCTGTGATTTCTTGTTAGTCATGGTAGTAAAGCAGGGGGAGAGGAATTTCTACTGACTTTAAGTTCTAGCTCGTCAATCCAGTCATTGTAAGTACCGTTCACTGCATCAACGACGGCGGTCTGGGCAGAGTTGATGGCGCTGGAGATCTTTGAGGCAACGATGCCTTCGACAGAAGACGCTTTGCTCTCCACAGCGGATGCGGCAGACGAGATCTTACTCGTAATGGCCGTCTGTACAGAATCGATGGCATCGCCCGCGTCGGATTTGATCGAGCCGGCACCTGCTGTCAAGTCTGAGAAGATGTCTCCGATATCTTGTCGGGCGTAGAGATCAGGCGCGTCAGTAATCATTGCAGGGTGCACGATGGCGGCGGCTGGGAGATCACGCTTTGTGATGATCTTCGTCGCGTTGAAGCTCATAATCTTCTCGTCGATCTTCTCGATGGCGTTCTGTCCAAGGCGGGTGGTGTTGAGTGTAAAGACAGAGTATTGCTCCATGAAGCCAGGGGTGTTGCCAGCAAAGACACAGAGAAATGTGAGGATGAATGTGGTCGCGGTCACCAGGACCGGGAGGATCGCATAGGGCTGGAAGAAGGGCTTCGATTCGCCCATGTTGAGTATTTGATGCGTGTGATTTCTGAGTAATGCTGATGGTATTACAGTAGTCTTGCCTGCAAGTGTTGGATGTTGATGTGTGCGCTGCACGTGGAAGAAATGGTGACCAAAAAGGAATGCTAGTGAATAGAAGGAAAAACTTGTTATTGTTATCGAAGGCAGTAGTGAATGATCGGAGCAGGGAAGGTCACGGAACCGTGGAAATGGTCCCGTCTGGGGTCGCGATAGGGTGACCGCTTTGTTCTGCGTCACCCGACCTGCACTTATCTTAAATGACAATGAAGTCCATCTTAGAATAGATGGCGCGTGGAGCTTGGGACAAAGAAGAAGGCCGGGGTGTCAACCTGTTGTTGAAGATTGGGCGCGTAGATTTGAAACACCTCGCTTGAAACACACAGCGAACGGGCGCACGGACCCATTTCGTCACTTCTGTCAGCGCTAATGAGACGACATCGCTTCGAGGAATGAACTGCTAAGGTTGGAGGAAAGAATAAGGTAGAGACGTGAATTGGTCGGTTCATCGATTGCTTCTGAAGATGGACCACGAACAATGGTCCATGTTCGCCGCCCACGCTTTGTTAAGCAGATTCCCTTCTCAATACCGCGATCCTACTGCCATAGTGGAGCCACAGTGTCCACAGCCCTCTCGACTACAGCCCTTACCCGATCTGCCAGCGTCTTGTTACCACACTCAACCTCCAGCTTCTCCAGCCAGACCTTCGCAACAAACTTGTCAACCCGTATCYCCAGTCCAGGAACGGGAATCCCGAGCCCGTGCAATCGCGCAAGCTCAGCAGCCTCCGCCTTTTCTTGTGTAGTCTCGTCAACTCCCGCATCTTCGTCCTCTCCCTTCGCATCGCCGTTCACTCCGTTGATGACAGGCGCACGAGGCTTCGCGATAGGATTGACCGCATCTTCCCCGAATTGTGCTTCAAGAAACATGCACAGCCGACTCAGCTTCTCTTCGGGAGAGACATTCGCATGTGGATTCTTGCGCTTCACTGACAGACCATTGGTCTTTGTTTCGCCATCATCGCCGCCGAAATGGTCGTGACCATGATCATGATCATGAGAGTGCAGCTGACTGCTCTGCTTCACGGCGGCAGGTGAGCTCTCGACCGTCATCAGGACCGCCATTACAGCATCCGCAACGCTGTCGTTGGTGGCGTTGCCTTCCCATTCCAGCTCCAGCTCGCCGCGATCCCGGCAGGTGATACGTACGGAGCCACCCATGACGTCGAAAATGGTGTCTTCATGTCTAGGTAGCTCTTGATCCGCGACCTCCCCCTTGTTGGCAGAAGTGCCGTTGGTTTCCACTTTACCGGGTGACACCACGCTGACCGTACCGAAAGTGCCCTCCAATGCCCATTTGATTAAATCGACACCTGCGGCGCCGAGCGTGATGCGTTGTCGGCAGATGATGGTCGTTGTGGTGAGACCGGCGTACTCCTTAAGATCTTCGGGCGCCATCAAACTCAGCTTAAAGTCATTTTGCACCAGGACGCCACTAATGATTTGCCCCTGGCTCTCCGAGACGGCCTCGGATTTGATCTTCTTGTTCTCACCCTCCTCCATTTCCTCGTCACAATCATCTCCAGAAGCAGGTGGGCTGGGAAGAAGCGTTGGGGGTGTGATCTCGCTCGCAAGACGGCCCACAACCCTCGCAATCTTGTCTTGTCGAAACGGGATACGTACTTCCTCACAGTTGGCAGGKGAATAGACTTTCATCTTACCCAGTCCAAGTAGTCTGCTCTTCAGACGTGCCATGTTGTGCTTTTCACCGTGCACAAGGATCACGACTGGGGCGCCGACTTCCTCAATGAACTCCCTGTTCTCCTGCCCATCCACGTGTACCGCGAAGTTGAATTCTTGCACGGTGCATCTTCGAGGAATCATCTGTCTCTCGCCGTCGGCCAAAGCTCCTAAGCGCTTCCCTAATTGCATACCAGCGTTCCGCTTTCCTGTCACGGCCTGGATCTGGTCAGGCTCCTTCATGATCTCCTTCGCCATCGTACCTTCAACACTGTAGCCGGTGATGATGACTCCGTTCTTCGCATCAGGAGCCCACTTCTCCAGAAGCGTTCGGCTGGGTCCATTTTGAAGCATACCAGGACTAGCAAGCACTACGCTAGGACCAGAATCCTCAAAACGGTCCATGCTCTTCAGTTGAMGGATGTAGTTGAAGTCCCAGGGCCCACCGCTACTTGACGAGTCAGATGCCGACGCGGCGCTGGCTTGAAACTTGGCTCTGATGGTCTCGTTCATGGTCTCGACGTAGGWCTGGTACACGATCATAACCTTTCTAGCAAGACCRGACGCGTAGTACATTRGGAAGCGCCGGTATTCTTCGTGCCGTTGCCAGTAGTCCTCCATGATCAGCATGAGCTCCTGTGTATTCCCAACAGCAGTGGTGGGCATGAGAACTCGACCACCCCGGTTGAGAATAGCAGTGATGGACTTGATGAGCGCGTTCTCACGCTCTTGTCGAGGAGTTCGCGTGGATATGCCAAAGGTGGATTCCGTGATGAGACAGTCGACTTTGATGTTTCGCGGTACAGCAGCTGGGATGAGGTGACGATCGGTCTCTCGGCTGTAATCACCAGTGAAGAGAATGTTCAAGCCGGCGATTTCAATCAGGTACATACATGCTCCGRGAACGTGGCCGGCCGGGTAGGGCGTGAAGCGGATGCCGTTGTGGGAGTGTGTTGTGTGGAAGCTAATGGTCTGGATCATGGGGAGAGTCGATAGTATGTCCTGTTCGGTGTAGAGCTGGCTAACGTATCCGTCGGTGCCAGACGTCGATGAAGACGGAGCGTGTGTGTTATGCACGCGGACAGCGTCTTGAGTAGTCCACTTGTAGATTGCCTTGGTCGGATGTGTCATGTAGACGCGGCCGGCAAAGTTCGTCTTTGCAAGCACATATGGAAGAGACGCCGAGTGGTCTTGGTGGAAACTTGACACGCAATGTTAGCGGTGATGATAATTGGTTGCTTGGTTGGATGGGTTATAGGCAAGATTGGAGCAGAACAGGCGCGACCACCACGACAGATGCTAAAGAGCAAGGAAATGCAACTGTGGAGAAAGAGGTGGCATACAGTTGCTATGAATACTACTGGGAAGTCGTGCATGACTCGCGTAAGTGTTGGAAAGCAATCTTTCAAACATCCATACGGGGCTGGTCATGTTCTTTTGCTCTCCCATCATGAAAATTGCCCTTCTGCCCACCTGACATGCCCAGAGTGATAGGATGGAACTTACTGCGTGATGAGCAGCAAATCGACAGTGCTCAGATCGAACTCATCATAGAAAGGCAACGCGCCTAGTCCCTCGTACGAGGGATGGATGCCCGCATCTAGCATGACCGTCTTGCCCTTGTATTGAATGATGTGACATGATCGCCCGACCTCATTGCCACCGCCCAGAGCCAGAAACATGAGCTCGTCAGAGGGGTCAACAGGCTCATTGTCCTCTGCCTTGGCATTCATCGCGCTGTGCGGCCGCTTCGTGGCCATACTGGCGGATGCTCGCGCGCCGGGCGCGACTTGTCGAGTGCGTGCTATCGATGATGGTGTGTATGATTTTGCTGACGGCTGTCACGTTGATACCCCAGTTGCAAGGCGAGATGGAGGTGGATGCAGAGAGTGTTGATGACATTGGCAAGAAAGGGAACACGCGTGTTGGTAAAGTCGAGGTGGATCGGCGCTACGGCGCGGCACGGACCACTCGGTCGCTGCTGCCTTTCCAGCGGGCACTTTCAACATCAATCAACCACATCCGCAGGATCACACCCACATCGCGCCGCAAAAGCTGGACCTAGCATCTATCACCACAAAAACGACTCCGAATACGATCTCATTCTCGAGAAATTTCCGCGCCTGGCCTTTCGATGAAGCGGCAGTCCGAGACCACCACGGACTGAGGACGGCGCACCGCGCGTGCCTCTGCGCCGCTTGAATCACCCCCAAACCCGCCATCACACGTTCACCACCAGTCGAGACAGCTGCACTGCGATCGCGACCGCCGACGCTGTCATGTCGTACTCGCACATGTCTCCGCCAGTGCCGGCGCTGAAGCCACCGAGTCCCTATCCGCCTTACAGTCCCAACAACGCCGCATCGCCCACCGCACAGTCGCCCTATGCGCCGCCACCGGCCAAGCGACAGCGACTTTCGCCTGGACCAGGTCCAATGTCTCCTCCGAATGGATCACCAGCATATGCCCATGCCCCGCACGGTCTGCCGAATGGGTCGAGTTATGGAAACCCGTACGCGAACCAGCCTGTGCAATCGCCGTACAGCCCTGCATCTTACGCTGGCTCTCCGCAAAATTCCTTCAATACCCCACAGCCTTACCAGGCGCCGCAGCAGCAGATGCAATGGCAGCAACCTCAAGGCCAAGGGCAACTTCAGCAGAGGCCGGCACAGACCAGCCCGGGGCCTCCGAACGGCGCAGGCATGATGCCACCGCCGCCGCGACCCAATAAAGAGGACAGGGATGAGAAGGTGGGTGTGGAAGACATTGGAGACAGTTTGTTCGGCAGTGGCATCAATCTGAAAGACGAGGAGAACTATCTGCACAACACGTGGAACAACAGGCTGGGGAATGAAAGCTTCGGCACGGTGCAATCCACGTCATTTGGATCAAGCAACATGAGTCCAAACGGCAGTTTCAACATGCTCACCCAAAGTACATCATTTGGCAGTCAAGGCCAGAACCCCGCGTTCGCTGGTACCTTGAGCCAGCCTCGCTCACAGGAGCAGATTGAGGCTGAGTTACGCCAGAAACGCGAGGCTGCAGCGAGGAAGCTCGCAGAGTTCCAACAGCACCATCTCAACAACCAGTTCTTGTCGGGAAACTGCTTACGGCACCGATTGCACAAGCGCGCGACTGAGAATTCTGTACGTCTTGACACTACCGGTGTTTATGTGAGAAATCCTCAAGTGCAGCCCAAAGTTCGAGTGGCTTTAGATGGCAATGCTAATGAAGGCATTGTGGAGGCCAAAGCAGAGAGCATGATTGAAGCCGGCGTTAACTACGAGCAAATTCTGTCCTTGATCAGCCTCGCGACTGGCGAGCGACTGAGAGGACTGATGAGCGATGCATTTGGTCTGGCACGTGCAAGACGGTACGGCGACCACGGCCGAGTTGTGCCACCTGAATTTGCGGACATCGCCGTGGGCCAGGGCGAGATGAGTCAGGACAGCGTTGTTCGAGAGAACGTCACAGACTCGCAATGGGAGCAGACGGGAGAGCTGCCGGACGGGAGTGGAGACGCGGCTACCCACAGCGAGAAAGAATCTTCTCTAACCGTGCAGACGGTGGCTTTCCCCGGCACGATCAACGCGCATCTTCGCGAGCTTGCATCAATCGATAAGCAAGCAGAGAAGGAGCGCGCAAGAAAGCGTGAGGCTCGCAGACGCAAGCTTGCTGCAGAAGGCGGAGACGAGGGTTTGCCAGCTGATCTTGCTGCCGAAATGCTGGCTCAAGCACAGGCAGCGCCTGCAAAAATGACCAAGAAGGAGCTTAACAAGAAAGCAAAGGAGAACAGTACCGAAGCACAGGGCGTCAAACAATCCAACCAAACAGCCGCCTTGGCCTTGGGCAAGAAAAACAGAAACAAGTACTCGTGGATGACAGGTGGTGCTGCCGAAGTGCCCGTGAATCGGTTCGCCAAAGACACCAAGTCATCTACTCCGGCTTCTGGCACAGCAACTCCAATGGTTGATGCTGGCAGTGCTACATCTCTCCCTGTTGCGGCGCCCAAAGCGGAGAAGATGCCCACATGGGGTGACTGGAGAGAAGATAACATCAATGGCAAGGCGATTCAGCTGCGCGATTGGATTCGTATCCTTGACCGCGATGGCAAGGAGAAGAAGGCGTTACAATCAGCTTTGAATAAGCTGAGCTGAGTAATATGATGTGGCTGCCTCGAGTTGTGCATCTAGCTTTCTCTTCGCTAGCCAGGCAAGGATTGACGACTTGAGATGGACTGGTGTTTCGAGCGTCGGCGTTGGGGGAAGATGGTGTCTGCGGCGGAATCGACTTCCTGTTCTTCGAGGAGTTTTGCTACGGCAGCTTCCTACAGAGTAGGTGTAATAAACTGAAATCATTCCAAAAGTGCAACGTTCCTGCAAATCATGCTCAGAGATGCAGCAGGGTGGTTCTAAAGTGGTATCTGAAACGCTCAAGGTCGAAGAGAATCAAAGTTGAATGTGATCGAAGAATTTGGTGCCGTTGTCCTCCCCTAGCAGGGCGTGGCAATCTGGACACTGTGCTCAAGGAGTGCCTGCTTTTTATGATCTCATGATTTTGGTGCGCCAAAGCCGATATTATACATTCCGTGCAGGTCTCGTTCCTTGCTTCAATCAAGTCTTCATCCCGCATCTGCACATAGCAACAATCAACAAGAGCAAACAACGGTTTCTCATCACCTCATCCATTACATCGGCATTCAATTTGGAGACATCAAGTCAACCAACATGCTCTCTCCATTCCTCGTCCTACTCGTGGCCAGCGTCACGGCCCACGCCCTTCCACGTCTCCTCCCAGGAGCAGCAAGAGCAAGCCCAGCACTCGACGACTTCCTCTCCGAGACCGCAGAGCTCGAGATCCGCTCCACGAACACTACGTCGGCTCTTCCCAGCGCCAGCGTCACCTTGTGYWCCGAGCCGGAATTCAAGGGCGAATGCGCCGTCGCAGTATGGCCCGTGAACTCATGCATCAGTCTGCAGGGATAGTAAGTAGAATGTCCAAGCCTCTGGAAGATGTCGATGACTGACGACGCTATAGCGCGGGCGTTGTGAGCAGCTTTCTTCCCGCCAGTGGATTCGAGTGCCTGTTGATGCAGTATGTCTTCTTCCTTCACAAAACTAATTGCAAGAGCTGACGTTTTGGGGTAGGAACCAATGCGATGCTACGGCCCCATATGCGGATATCGACTCCAAGGATGCAAAGGAAGGCAGCGATCTCACTGGTTTGGAGTGGATCAAGGATTCTTCGAGCTACATCTGCTTCACTGAGCTCAAGGCTCTGCAGCGCTTCGTGAGGATGTCACGGCTGCGGGTCGCTGATGCTTCGATCGATGTTACTCCTTTTTGATCGTGAATCAGAATGAGGGAGTGGATACAGGAGCTCCATGCGTCATACTAGTATAGAAGACTATGCCGATGGAAACATGCAGTACGATGAGAATGATTGGGAACAGTTGGAGAGATGAGAGATTTCTAAATACAAACTTGTCGAGAGGCATGCAACTGTTCCTCCCAGCATGACCTCGTCCGTGATAACCTTGTCGGTACTTGCTTGCTTTTGCAGCTCTTTGGCTTGCTTGGATCTGGATGAAAATTCCGGTGAAGCAGCATAGACTCGATGGCTCATGTCATCGCCAGCAGAGTCTCGAACCACGAGCAGACGAATTTCAAAAACGAAACAGAACTCAAATCACTCTGCCTCCAGAGTACCTCAATTCCACTCACATCCCGGACCACTTCAAGAGGACACGAAACCGGATGGCGGGTTGCCATGATCCAGGCTGACGCCCGTCTCGCGCTGGAAGATAGCCACACTCACGCTGTGATCTGTGTCAGTACAATACTAATGGTAACCAGGAGAGAGGACAACTGACGCTTTGCCATTCTTGGTCCCGATGTTCTCCAAAAGGCCAACCTCTTTGAATGCCAACCATCCTTCCAACCACCTGCCCACCCACTCCAGCCTCTCAGGCTTCTCGTACGGGAGGTTGATGACGACGTTCTTGATGATCCTGACGGTATCGTCGAGACCATTGATATCGTCACCTAGAGCCTCGTAGCCACCGCGTTCCTCATACGTCGAATCCAGAAGTACCATGAGTCTATCCACCAGGCAGCTCGCGACGCCGTTCATGTAGTCAGTGTCTCGTGTGTAGAACTTGATCTCCGCAGTGAAGCGGTACATTCCCCGGCATTCATTGTAGTCATCAGCCAATGCGAAGCCCACGATCGTGTCTGGAAGTTGGACGTCATCGCGTGTTGGGTGGTTCGTTTGGTTCTTCTTGTTGCGCGGAGCCTTGACGACGCCGCCGGGCTTGTAGGCCACCAGGAATGGCATTCTCCGCATTCTGATGTCTCTGTACCGCTCGACCATCTGATCCTTGTTACACCGATCCATTTCAGGTGCAGATATTGTGTTCTCAATATAGTAATTGTAAATGTCCTTCACGGCAGCCATGTCATCTACTCGAGCGGATCGGACGTAAAGCTTGAAGCCTGGTTTGATGCGGTTCGGGTTGTTTGGCGTGTTGGAGGCAGCCCTTGCGGCGGCCAACTTACGCTGCTTTTCTGCGATACGCCTCTCCTTATCGACCTTCTCCTGTAGGCGCTCAAGCTCGTAGCGTCTCCGATTTTCCGCAAAATTGCGGCTTCCCTTGTCATGCTTGCGCTTCAGTCGCTGCTCATCGTCTTCCTGGTCTGGATCGATACCAATGACAATCGGGGAAGCGAGCTCTTTGAGGAAGGTTAGGCTGAACTCCTCACTTTTGACGAACAACTCCCACCATGGCTTGGCGCCCTCGAGATCAATGGGGTGATCAGGCGATGGAGCGTTGGACAGCACGAGCTCATTCCAGAAAACCTGCGGAGCTTGTAGACCGATGATCAGGGGGATCCAATAATGCGGCACGATTTCACCCATCTGCCTGATGCTCGGGTTGATTGGAGGCTTGTCTGGCTGAAGAGTCGACAGACAGAAGACATAAGTAGTGCCGTCCGCGGCCATCACATTGTCCAGCGACACCTTAGTATCGAGGCCACAAAGCCGACTTTCAATCTCGCCCATCCACTCCATGATCTTCTTGGAGGACTGATCCACTCGAAAGCCGGGTCTGCTGTCCCAGTCTGGCGGGGGAGGAGCAAGCCCGCCACTCCAATCGACTGCTGGGGAGCCGCTCGTTTCACCATTGCGCTTCTTCTTCTTGGTACCCCATCCGCTGGAAGCCCTTCCGGTGTCGACAGAGCTGCTGTCATAACCATTGTTGGCGTTCCAGTCTGTCTTCCATCGATCCGGGTCGGGCTTAGGAATTTCTGCACGAGCTGCTGCGAAACTATTTCCGCCGCCTCGGCCACCCCGGGTATTTCCTCGACCACGAGAGGTATCGCTTGCCTTCGACCGATTTGGAAGTGCACCTGCATTGCGACCTGSTCCATTCCCAATGGCGACGCCACCTGAGGATGCGGTCTTCTCAGTGGCGGATGCCACTTTCTTCAAATGGGGCGGCACCGATTTTTTGGGACGGGCCATTGATGCTTGGGATATCTCGTCCATATTACGAGGCTTCTGTGAGGTATAATTAGAGCTGCGTTTCAGAAGGTGCTGTGTGGAGGTAGGTGCAAGTGTTGATGCAGCAGCGGTGGAGAGTTCCTGCAGGTGATTCACGACTGTTCGCGGGATGGCAGATTTTCGAGCCGCTGATGATGACACAGCGTCGTCTTTTTCGTTATTGTCGTTCATTTGGAGAGATTTCGCGTTGCTCCCTCCTGCATCGGCCTGCTCTGGTTCAACGTCGCCCTCAGCACCACCCTCGATATGGACAACATTCGCGAACAGCATATTGTTATTGCGTCGCCGGCGACGTATTTTCTGGTCTCTACCAGATCCGTGAGCGGTCGAAAGAGTGTTGCATGCGCCGTCTCCTGGCTGCGGTTGGGACGAGGATGTTGCCATGTTACGGCCAGTAACGACAAGTTCTCCAGTGGTGGCACTACAATTATGAGACGCACAAGCTGATTGTTTGCAGTAAAAGAGAACACTGATGGGTAGATAAGTCAGCTCGTCTGTGGCACATGCCCATACTCATAAAGTTCAAAGTGAAGAGAATCACCTGCTGATCGCCTCTGATGACTTGGTCAAGGCAACTCCGCTGTTGACCAGAAGTCTTCGGCGATGTTCGTCGAGAGAATGTCGAGAAGAGCAAGCAGCAACCAGAAGCGGCCCATTCAAGACCAAGATGATAGATATCTGTTGAAAGTTTGTCTGCTGAAGTGACACGCACGTGATCTGTTGTTGCCAGGGTGAGTTCTGCTTTTCATCGGCTTCTCCTCCTCCTCTCACCAAAGCAAGAAATACGAAGACCTCAAGATGCTGTCGATATTGAGGAAGGCACGTCTCAAAGACAAGGAGATGCGGATTCTGATGCTGTCAGTACTCCCCTTGCTCGTGCTGTCGTGCTAGCTGCAAGCTGATGTTGAGGAAGGGGGCTGGATAATGCTGGAAAGACCACGATCGTGAAGAAGATCATGAATGAGGATGTCAACAGCGTGAGTCCGACACTAGGTTTTATAATCAAGACCATTGACTATGAAGGGTGAGATCGGACACGCATATGAAATGAATTGCATGTGCTAATAAGGAGAAAGATACAAACTGAACATCTGTGAGGCTGGACACCCGATCGCTCAACTCTCTCACTAACCACTCGCAGGGGACGTCGGCGGTCAGAAGACACTGCGCACATATTGGAAAAACTACTTTGAGAAGACGGACACCCTCATCTGGGTGGTTGATGCCACTGACAGGGAGCGGCTTGATGATTGCCGTCAGGAGCTGAAAGGCCTGCTCGTCCAAGAAGTACCCGCAGTTGCCCTACCATTGCCGAAGATTCGGAGCTGACCTCTTTCTAGCGTCTCATGGGCGCATCTCTGTTGGTGTTCAAGAACAAAAGCGATGTGACGGGCTGTATGAGCGAAGATGACATCCGCCAGGTGAGCAGCCAGTTTCCCGGAGAATTTCGCTCCCGCTTACCTAACTAACCTATTTGCCGTTGCAAGGGATTACAATTGGACAGCATCCTCACGCACAAGTGGCACATTTTGCCTTGCTCGGCGATGACAGGACTTAACCTTCAAGAAGGTCTTCAATGGGTCGTTCAGGACGCCAAGGACAGACTCTTTCTCTATTGACGGGACTGGAAGCCGAAGATGCGAAGAATGTCGGTGGGGTTTCTGCCTGAAGGATCGCTTAAATTACGCTTTCCGATCAACCAATCCATGGGAATAAGACGCAAGCCCCGGTCAGCATTGGCAACGGAGCTCTCAGCCTCCCACAGGTGTTTCATGTTTTATCAAAGGTCCAAATAAGAACGTCCTGCAGCAGCACGCCGTTCATGTAGGGACCGAGGCCGCAAAAATGCGGCCAAAGTGATTTGAAGAAGCGCATTCCAACGCTCTCGGAACGGTAATTATCAGAGATCTGGGTCCACATATAGGTAGTCATCACGCGCGGCAGCGCGAAGTGTATTTGCCTTCACGTACGGAGTACCGTATCTACTTTACAATCAACCCTGGCGAAAGCCGTCCGGTCTCTCCCTGTTTTCGGTTTGTGTTCTTCAGATGTGCATCCCTGCATGTTACCCAGGTAGTCGCATGGTCCGATAAACAATAATAGCCGCGATGGCATCCACCACATCCCCTCACGACGCGCCTTCGCAAAACGAGCAGCAGGATCTTGACCCACAATCGTTTCTGATCGCCGTCCGGGAGCTGAGTGAAAAGAAGGAGCGCGAGGACGAGGAGCGCTATCGAAAGCTGGAGGAAGAGGTCATAAAGGGACGGGAAGAGCGAGCAGCGCGGCGAGCAGGTATGTTTTGATTGATACACGTCGAGGCACACTTTGCAATGGGCTGTTCCATCCCACCTCCGCGGTTGCTTAGGGGGCGCTGTGCTACAAACAAAACCGTCTCCACGCAGCGCAAGGGCATCAAAGCTAACCAGAATTTCCACAGAACGTGCCCGCTCCATCTCGCCTGAGAAAGCCAACACTTCGACCCCGAGCAACCGCACCACGCGAACGCTGTCGCGAGCGACCACCAATGCCAGCCTAGCCAGTCCGCCGCCCTTAGCAATGACGCCGCCCTCATCCGTCGGCTCGCGCGACGCCGTGGTGCATAGCGAGAGCCTGCACCGATTGACCAGCTCAAGTCAGTCGAGTGTCGATCCCGAGAAGATGAATCCCAAGGTGGAAGATGTGCCCGATTTTAAAGGCTTCGGCGCAATCAAAAGATCCAGCACAATGAGCGCCTCAAGTGCATCCTCGGCGACATCAACAACAACACCGGCCGCACATCGCAGCTCTGTGCCCGACCCCACCCCGAGTGCCACAAATCTAGCACGCTCTGGGACACTCTCGTGGCAACAGCGCAGACCGATTTCGAGAATTGGCGGGTCCAGCAGCCGGCCTCTGTCTGTCGTCGCTACCCACAACAATGCCACGCCTTCGAGACCGGATTCCGTCGAGGAGCCAGAGCCAAGCCGGGAGCAAATTGCGGCATCTCTGGGCGCCCGAGACCCATCGTGGTTCAAACAGACGGCTGAGCGTGGCGTTGGGTCTGCGGCGTACAGGAAGAGCAAAGACGAGGCAGGCATGCAGGAGACGGCTCCGTCTGAACGAAAAGGACTGCCGGGTCTTTCACAAGAGGACTCTGTTGCAACCGGTCCCCACGTCAGCCCGACAATGTCTGAGAGCATCAAGTCTGAGTCGGTATCGCGAAACTCGCAGCGCGAGAGCGCCTATTCTGCGGGCAGCCGCTATTCTGCCACTTCCTCATCAAGCAGCGTCAAGCCGGATCTCAGATCACTCATTGCGGCAGACGAGGGTCAACGGCGTGTGTCTCCGACCTTTATCTCGGACCAAGAATCTACGGCCAGTGCGGAGACTGCAAGCCTCGCGAGAAGCATTACAATGTCTAGCTCTCAAGCTCGATTGACAAACGGTAGCGAGCGTCCCGTGTCTCCAACCAAGGGCATGGGAGGCTTTGTCCAGAGTGCTATGATGAAGCGCTCCGACAGCCAGAATAAACGATGGAGCGCGCAGCCCAGCTCAAATGTGAGCAGACACAATTCGGTTGCGAGCACCCGCAGTGGTCACGCTGGGCTACAGAACTCGCATAGCATGCCGAGACTGGAGGCCGCAGAGCCAAACACAACATTGGGCGAAGATACGACCTCCCGTCCTTCTAGCTCCAGCAACCGAGACAGCCCAGGGTCGACCGCCCAGGAAAGCGACGTTTTCGTGAAACCGGCGCTACCTCGCCACAGCCGCAGCAAGTCTGTCGCTTCTACCTACAGCACAAATGATGATTTGCCACAATCACCAGGCAGTCCTTCTAAACGCTTCAGCCCAAATAAGTCCAGCTGGCTTGAGAGCTCGCTAACAAAACCGGAATCTCCCAAGCCAGCTCCATCCAAGAACTCTGCCCCATCATGGATGGCAGACCTCGCTAGCCGCAAAGCTCAGCGGGCGAGCGTAGACTTGACGCCTTCCGGTGGTGCATCTACGTACGGCGAGAAAGAGGAAGTTCCAGCGAGACCAGTATCAAGACCCGGCTCGCCGCTCAAAAACTCCCCTTTCGGACCAAGTTTGATCAAGCGGCCAGAGTCGAAAACTCTTACTGGCACGGTAGGACCTGTCACCCCAACCGGCAATGTGAAAGTTGGTCGGCTTGCCGACAAGGACAGCGGAATGCCACTCGCATCCTCCCTCTCGCCCGTGAAGCGTACTCCTGAAACGATGCAAAAGTCCAGCAACACATCCGACGCTGACGTGCCTAGCAACGATCAAGGGCCTCCGTCGGTCGAGTCAAATGCTACGCCTGTCGCATTGGAATCTGTGCCGCAAGCCTTTGGTGAACCACAAGGGCCTCGAGATCAAGCTCGCTCTTCCACGCCGCAACAATCCCCTGCAGTGGGCATGGCATCGACGCCAGAGATCGAAACGACACGGCCACCCGCGAAGTCATTCAAATCTCCACCACCGCCAACAAGCGCTCCGCTCATGTCAAACTCCACCACTCCAAAGGTTCCAAACGACTTTCGCAGCCAACTTAAGTCCCGCCCTCCGCCTGAAATGAAGACCAGCGGCCAGCCCGAGTTCCTGTCCAAGTTTGGCAATCTTCGCAAGACGCAGCCAGAAAAATTTGTGGCGCCCGATGTTCTTAAAGGTAACATCTTGCGCGGCAAGTCTGGGCTCGCTGCCTCTGCAGGCCCTGTCAAGACTGAGCGCAAGGATGAATTGAGGGAGAGCCTGTTGGCAAAGAAAGAAGACATTAAGAAGGCAAAAGACACAGGTCGAGATCTGCCCGGTCAAATGCATGAGCGTAAGACCAGCCAAGTTGCTCAAGAGCCTCCGCCCAAACCCGAAGCTCTGTCGAGGAGGGAGCTATTGGGACGTTCTGATAGCGGCCGGAATGCGCATCAAATGGAGAAGACCAGAGAAGCCACGCCGGAGGCCCTCTCGAGGCATAAGAGCTTGAAACACAAGTCGGCGACCATGCCTGCGCCGGACAACGGCTCTCCAATCGACACGGCAATGAATACACTCAGCAAACAGGTGAGCGCACCGAGCAGTGCCGCTTCAAAACAGACTGAACAGACCTCCAAGTTGGCAGCTCGTTTCAATCCCGGACTTGCTGGTCTGCTCGCTCGTGGCCCGCCTTCAACTACGCCCTCCAGAACTGCATCTCCCGTGACAGAACCTACATCAAACGGCGCTGTCGAGCCGAGTCCTTCAACCGAGCCGYTTCAAGATATGCGGAAAGATCGCGCCAAGGGCCCACGACGTAAGGGCGGGACGAAGGCGTCCTCAAGCAAGGGAGATGCAATCTCGACGCTCGTTGCGGCAGATCAGCCAGTCAAAACAATAGAAGATCAGCCCGTGGTGCAGTCATCTAAGCCCATAAGCGCACCCGCACCCATCGACCCGGCTGTGACCAAATCACCGCCTAGCCCAAACTTCTCGCGACCCAAGCCGCCGGCAGCAATGTYAAACAAACCAAGCGTCAGCGGCGGCTCATTTGAGGCCAAGTCTTTCGATATCTCTCGGAGCTCAACACCGCAATTCGAGGGGCCACCCGATAGTCCGGTACCAGTTGCGAAGGCAAAGCCGCAGGCTCTTCCCGGTTCTGCTGCTTCCGTGCTAGCAGCTTCATTGAAGAAGTCAGATGGAGATCTAAAGCCAGCCAACTCGACTACCGAGTCGAATAAAGTTATCGCCCCAGCGAAAAGCCCTTCGCTGGATACCAAGCCAAGCGGTCCCCTTGACAAGGCATCGACAGACCCAATTGCTGTGCCGGAGTTCAAGGGCTTTGGATCGATGAAGAAGCAAAGGGCATCGCAGCCAGCGGATGCTGATAAGGAAAACACAGACGACACCGTAACACCGGTCAAAGCGACGACTTCATTTTGGGGACGCCGAATGTCACCCGAGAAGGATGGCCCGTCTTCATCCGTTCAGCTACAAACTAAAAAGGATGAAGACGCCGCGATGCGATCAGCTGGACTACTAGCATCGAAGACTGGCCTCGGAGTCTCCCCTGATCGGACTGGCGATCGATCGGCAACGCCACCTACCTCTGCAGACCTGCCTCCCAAACCTGCGAAGTCGTCCCGGATCGTGAGTGGGCAGCTTGCAGAGGCTTCTCCCAATAAAGGTCAGTGGTAGACGCGCGCGATCCCGGTTGACTCCCCTGTTTTCTCGACCTCCAATCTGACGAAGAAACGTACAGTCACGTCGTAGAGCTCCTTGCCAAAATCCTTGATACTAACTGTCCGTCCAAGGTTCCACGAGCTCGGGTTCCTCTGAACGACTAGTCACCGAGGCAGGACGTCTGCTCTTGGACGCCTTCGGAGCCGTACCTAAATCYCGCACACCGTTGACTATCACCGCATCGGCTGTTATATCGAGTTGCGACCAGGCCCACGACACAGAGGAAATGAAGTCATCGCGGAAATCGGTGTCGGTCGTGTACCCCGATGGCTCCTTGCTTACGCTTCCACCGCAAGAAGAGTATACGCTGTTTGATGAGTCTGTCTACGTCTGTACCAATGCCTTTACAAACTCAAAGGGCGTCAAATCCTCGCAAGTTTTCATTTGGATTGGCGATGCCGCGTTCGGGGCGACTGCCGATGCAGCAAATGTGCACGCAAAACGCTTTGCCCGAGATTGTGGGACCACCACCGTGACCACCATTCGGCAAGGCCGGGAGTCTGCATCATTCTTACAAGCCTTCGGTGGCATCCTCATCACACGGCGGCAGTCAAGGGAAACAGCAACCAAGCAGTATATGCTCTGCGGGCGTAAGCATTTGGGACACATTGTTTTCGATGAGGTGGACTTTGGCGTGGAGTCTTTACGTGCCGGCTACGTCTATTTGATCTCCTTTCCATACACACTTCAAGAGACAAAGCTGTACCTCTGGAAGGGGTCCGGTTCTTCAGTCGAGGAGATCAGTGCTGCTCGTCTCGCCGCCATGGACTTGTCGGAGACTGGCGACATCATCGAGGTGACTGGCGGCGCCGAATTCTCAAGTTTCCTCAAAACCTTCGGCCCAAACACAACCAAATCAGACATCCCGATGGCTTCGGAGCTTTGGGAGCAGAAGGCTTTGGCGCCAGACAAATTCACGGTGCGACTGTTTAAGATACAGCAGCCTGAGATCAAGAACAATTTAATCACATCTTTGTGGATGCGGCGACCATCCTGGAATCGTCTCTCTCCCGCACGTGCGCCTGCGGTCTCAATGGAAGACATCAAAGTCGAGGCAAAACACATCACACCATTCACGCAGTTGCAGATGGAAGCCGAGGGTATCTACCTCCTTGATGCCTACTGCCACCTGTACATCATCATTGGATCGCTTTTCCCTTCACAGCCTGACAATGTCCGGGTCACTCTTCTCGCGCAGGCGCTTCTTTTTGCTTCAGATTATGCAACATTATCAGCTTCGATGGAGAACAGACTCGCAATACCGAAGTGCTCGGTGTTGTTCTCTGGTCTTCCCGATGATGTCAAGGTTTTGTTCAGACATTGGGACGATAGCAGAGGATTATGGGGAACTGCCGGGCTCATGGCCGGTTCTACCGTCAGTCAGGGACGAGAACTGAGGATGATGCCGTTGGAGGATGTTTTGACCGAGGTGTGTAGAGACTAGCGGACATCAACGTGCTGGGGGTTCGGTATGAATCTCGAGCGTTACAACACATGCATAGCATTGACACTTGGGATGGAAACGAGAAATGAAAGATGATGCGTTTGGACAAGTACATGCGTTTTCATGCACATTGAATGCCGGACTTCACTTGCCCTTCTCGCTGCCATCATTATTCAAGAAACAGAGTGGGCGAGGAGTGTGAGCTCAAGTGAAGTGAAGCATGCTGCAATAGCCGTATCCTCTTGGGATGCTCCACACTACAGGAATGACCGTCAGGAGGGAGCAAAATACAAACATCAACCAGGCTACCCACTCTCTTCATCTCACATCAAACCATGAACTGAAATATTACTTGCATCAGAATCACAACAACGTCTATCTGATGGCTGCTGAATCCAACATGAGTTCCACCACTGTCGCCGCTCCCACAAACCTCCACGATGTTCGCGAGCAGATCTTTGGTAGGTGGTTGTCGCATTCTCACTGTTCCCCAGCTCTGCGTGCTAATAGCAACATAGCCAACGCAGCCGTGCTGTTCCGGCGGATCGTAGAAGATCATCCCAGCTTTCGAGAAACCCYCGTAATTCGTCCTGGCGAGATCTTTGATGTGATCATCAGTCGTTCCCCGCATGGTGGTTCCGGATGGTTCGTCGGAAAGTAAGTTGAAGTGAAGTTTGAAAGGCAACGAGCATGTCTCGAAGCCTTCGCATGACTCCACTGTATTGAAGATGTTGAAGGCAAAGGCTGACTCTGTTATCCATCGCTGCAGATACCAGGCTGTGCTCGTCTATGGTAGTCCAATGAGACGCAAGGTGGCGGCGAAAGGGAAGAAGCGCGGTGATGCTGTTGGGGCGCTGTACGGGCTGCTTGGAGTGCTGGCCGATGCTATTGGGCACAACTTCAGGGCGAGCAGTATGGAGAGGCCTATCAGTTACGGCAACCACTCTGTGGTTGATCTTGGCCTTGTGAACTAGTTGGGTTCGACGGCACAAGGTGACATCAGCGAGGCTGGGAGTGAATGAGTGGCGGCAAGTGAGATTAAGCGTGCGTGTAATCTACTCATTATGGTTCGTGGGATGTATCAAGCGGAGCGAGTAGTCCATCTGAAGATTCAAGGAACACTGAGGGACGTTTCAACGAACCTTCCCGCTCTTTGCGCCATAGCAAGCTCACAGTCACCCAGCAATGACCACAACAACGACACGTCCAGTTGAGAGCGTGACATCACTATGATAGCTTCGTCGTTGATATGATAGAGAATACCATCTATCTAGCCATATACACATTAGGTAAGGCGTTAAGTTTCACTTTCGAATTCACTGCCCTCCAACGAGTGAATGTTACAGCAAATGTCGATCTAACCCTTTCTGGGATCTGCCTTGGCTTTCACATGAACTCGTACGTGAGCTTCCAGAATTCTTCTCCCGAAACATCACTTTTCACTTCACATTCGCCGTTTGCTCAAAATCAACTCTCCAGAACAAGAACATGGCGCACAAGATCTTCGACTCGGACGATGAGTCGGAGGACGCGCGGCCAGCTATATCAAAGCGCAAGAAGCCTAACTCGTCTCCAGCGCCGAGTGGCAGGAACAAGACGCTACGCCGGTCTGGTCGAGTTCGAAAGCCGCCGTCATCAGCTCTCATCGAGGAGTCTGTCGCGAGTGCTCGTATCCCCGCACGTAAGGCAACAAATCTTTGCGCCGACTAAGTTCCTGTTTGCTGACCCGAGCAATCAATAGGTCGCAAAAGAGCGCGCGGAACWTCCAAGATGCCAAACTCTCTTTCCACTTCCTCATCCCACAGCGGAACTACGTCGTCAGAGATGGGACAGTCCGAGACACCCCCACCCCAACATCAAACACTCGATACACCAGACAGCGTACAGGCTTTCTTCGACGACCTCGAAAATGATTTACACGTTGAGCAAGACAAATCTCAGCGTCAGCGCCGTGAGATTGAGGACCTCAAGAAGCAACTTCGCGAGAAGGACAAGAAGCAGACTGGCTCGTACCATGAAAGCCCAGCATCTACGTCGAAGAGAGACAAAGTGATCGAGGCGAAAGATGACGAAATCAAGGAACTGAAAGGACTGTTGAAGGCCACTCGAGACTTCCATGCTGCGTCGAAATTGGCGGTTGATACCCGCGACAAGGAGCTTGCGAGGCTGAGACTCAAGCACACGCTGCTCATCAAGGCGGCAAAGAATGCGACAAACAGGTGGGGCGGTATGGGCGAGCTTGCGGAAGCTGTTGAAGATGCTGCAGAGTGAAAAATGGGGATATCAATGCTATCAAGCTGGAGTTCGATTCATACTTTCTGYCGTGATGGGCGGTCTAACTAGACGTCCTAGTCTACGAACCAGACTCTTATTTGAAGCCATTTGAACACATTCACACAGCTTGATATACTCGCCAGCTTCTCCTACACTGTGTTAGTCACTGCTTCGACGTACTGAATTGAACGGCTACTCACCATTCCCAATAAGCCGTTTTGTACGCAGTATTGTTTTTGGTAACAAAGTCCGTACAGAGACCAGGACAAGCGTCTTTGGTGTTGTAAATGCTGGTTGCACCCGCCCACGCTCCACAGAGATCGATATTGGCAATGATGCTCTGGTTTTTGAAGTGGCTGCTGACATCGCAATTTGTACTCGGGAAATCTGCCAGCGGTGTAGACCATTTTCTTGGGTCTGGTACTGTGGTGTTCGCCACCTCCTCTGAAAGATCGTGTGGGATGGAGTCTCGATCAAAGAACCACACCCGGATGCCTGCGGTCCTCCATTCCAAGGCGTATATGGCGCCTCCGTTCTCGTTAAATGCTTGACCCGCTGTGTTTACCTCACCTCTAACTCCGCACCCTGCATTGTCGTTTGTGGAGTTACGACAATCCTTGTGAACCACGCTCCCGGTCTCCTTACGCTTGGCGATCATTTTGCATCTGTCGAATATGTCAGTGCTGGGGTCTTGCTAGGTATCCTGTCAAACAAAACCCACCCGGCGGAAGTATGTAGCGTGACCTGGTTCCCTGCAGCCGCTTGGTTGACAGACTCCATCACGTCAATCTCGCCGTGAGCGGGCCAGTGTGATGGGTCTGCTAGCCATAAAGCGGCTGGATCTGGGTTAGCATGCAAGAAAGTGACAAATAGCCGCAACTTCCATACGCCAGGTACTGCAGCCATAAGGGGCACTCAGCACGYCGAAAMCGAACAAGCCCGCATTGTATTTTCTCTTCGATGTGATTCTCACACTGTAACGTCCGGTGCTGGCATTCGTTTCCGACGTGTCGACTCGTAGGACTGCAGAATAGGACGAGGCGTACGTGAGGTTGTACTGAGCCGACGTAGCTACGGCGGAGTCTACATAATGGACGAAGCCAGCGGTTGGGTCATCTCCTGTGAAGTAGTCGAAGTTGTCGAAGAAATCTGTGCCGCTGTACGTATCGATGAGGGCGTAGTTCAAGGCAGTGTAGTCAGGATATGCGTTTGATCTTGACCCGAAGACTGCGCCAACCACGACTCCGACAACGATGATTACAACGACTGCAATCACCCCGAGTGTCGCAAGTTTCGACCGGTCTCTTGCATACATCTTTGCTCTTCCCTTGGAGTCGATGTTTTCGTACGCAGGCGGAGAGCTTTTCGAGCGAGAATAGACCATTTTTGGGATAGAAGAGACAAGAAGCAGACAAAAAGGTGTAGGACGACATGATGGACGGCGGRAGCAACTTGCCAATGTTGTTTTTGTTTTTGATGAGCATCGTACCTGCTTGCTATGCTGGCTAGCTCTGCCGGCGCCACTTCGACATACTTTCGACAGCCCTCTTGAAGGAAGCTGCTTACAATTCGACTCTTGGAGCCGAGCACAAGCAGGAGTACGTCCCATTTCCAGCACATGCTGCTGCCTGATACATGCTTTGAAGCGTACTTTGGAGAAGATCTCGGGAGGAGGTACATGCGTCTTTGAAGGCACCGGAACTCATCAGGCTTGTAAAGATGATGAGTCAAGTTCCGAAGATATGAAATTCCATGGAGTTATTGAGGATACGTCGTCAAGAATCGCGTCGACTCAAACTTCGTCATCACGTGATATCGGGCTCACCCACTCGTCGCTGATTGGTCGTAACGGGTTAAGGTTCAAGGTACTTACCTACCAAGGTTACTTTGTTATTCTCAACTTCAGAAGCATGCAACACCCGCAAACATCGCCCTGAGTAAAGAAAGCATCAACCAAGTCGGCGCGCGGCGCGTGATCTTTCCCACAGCACAACACAGTGCTCCTCATTCGAATCCCATCAAACATCCTCGGGATTCTGCGCTCGCAAGTTCATTTCGTGACGACGTCCTCACCCCACCATATGCAGCATCGCCAAGCTGCTCAATCTGACGGTCAACACATCGTTCGACTAGTCGCGTGCGCGCGCGCGCCTCACAGCCAGGAGCGACGTTGCAAAACGCCCGCGTATCGTSAGGACTAACATGTCTGGCCGCTCTCGTGAGTCGCGACGTTCCGCGTTACCACAGCAAGAACGACCAAACGCTGAGGCTTCATCGCCCACACCTGCGCCATTCACTGCATCTTCACTTCTCACCAACGCCAATCCGATACCTCGATTGAGGAGGTTGGGCACCCGTCTCTCAGCAAGACGTACTTCACCACGGCTTCAAGCGTCCAGTAGCAGGAATCCGAACGACGACTTCAACCCTGAAGCACCCGAGTTCATTCCAGGCCCAGGCCCAAGAATGTCTTCTAAGAGAAAGGCATCCTCGGTGGGCAGGTCGGGAAGGTCGGCCTTGTCCACTCCACGCAAGAATGCGAGCAACAATCAGTCTCAAAACCAGCCCATCATTCGCTCTCATGAGATCTTCGGCCGTGCTGTTGCCACCAGGAATGTGAGCAATGCTTTTGATGGTTTGGCTGACGACGACGAAAATGATACCGACGCTGAAATTGCTGAACTTGCTGAGCTTGATGCCATGGGCTTCGCGGATGATACTGTAAGTCGCGGTCATGAGTCGGTGACAGACGCACTCACGCTCATGCGTAACCGCCTGTCCAAATCTCAACGTCTCCCGGATCTGCTCCAAAGCGACTCTGCTATCTTGTTCACCTTTGAAGATGGAAGTGCCGCGGATGATGCCGATGGTTCCGCGCGGTTGCGATACCTGCCACTCTGTGCTGCAACCACGCCCGGTTGGGCATCGTCGGTCGGTAGGGACACACCACTCACCATTCTCCCGCGCCACCGCGGACGTATTGACCAATTGGAGCCCACACCTCCATCCACCAACATCACCTGGCCACCCAATGAGGTGCCCATAGAGTTGTTCGACCTCATCGCCACGTATCTATCTCGGGACGCTGTCAAATCGATGAGACTGGTCAGCAGAGAGTTTGAGGAGAAAGTCTCCTGTGCCGTGTTCCACACCTCCGTTGTTCCATTTAACACTGAACTCTACGACATGATTGACGAGGATGCAAGAGCCGCCAGCCGTGCCTCCAAACGGACAAAAGGCAAAGGCAAGGCAGGACCTTGGGATACCCCCGCACAGAGCGCTGATTCTTCCCATGGATCACTGCATTGGACAAATGCCAAATTCGACGCCGAAGGCAAAGTGTATAAGGGCCACGGTCTTCGCGTCTTTCAGGGTTTTGGGCCTCACATCAGGAGATTCGGTATGAGCTTCGATGTGCTGGAGGGTCAGCTGTCTCGGCCGCCGATCAAGCGCGAACTTGATCACGTCGACTCATACCACGGTGCCTACGATTGGCCGCCGATATGCTACACTCGATTTGCCAATCTTGCAGGCCTGGAGAAGACTGCCGATGAAACATTGCGTWTGAAATCTGCCTTCTCGCATCTCACAAATGTCCACGATCTTGCTCTCTCAGTGGACAGCGGTCTTGGCTGGCTCAATGGTCCAGACAAATCTATCCATGCGCGAGTGTTTCAGCGTCAGCCTCCCATCTTTGGTAACTCTCGACGCGTTCCCGACCACCAAACTCAGGATGCAAAGGAGTTTTGGGCCACAATTCAGGCATGCRACCAGAGTTTAAGCGATACCATCAATCCAAAGGAGGTCTCGTTGGTCCGGCGACCTATTTCAAGGCATCCTACCGAGCTCTCTGGGCTACGGGGCACACAGTATGGYAACAGCAGACTGTGGTCTTCAATTGCTGCGAACAGAGCGGCCCCGACCGTCTCGACTAACTTGTCTGAGGACCTCCAATATGGCATCATGTTCACCACTTTCGCCACGCCTGATTCTACTGCCCAACCCATATACGACAAATTGGCGCTTGTGCCGTCTGAATTGAGGAAGGAGCAGAAGGAGTGGCTTTTGGAGACGGAATGGGCTCAGCGGGCGTTCCTTGAGTGCTACATGCTTGCAGTGATGGACAACCCGGACAAGTTTGCAATGGTCAGAACGCTTGCAATTGTCAAAATCTCAAGCGGTTTCCTCCCGGTTCTTGCCAGAGAATCATTTTGGGATGCACTGCCAAATCTGAAAGACGTCACGGTTCTGGTCAAGCCGGACTGGCGGTCAGTGGAGAAGGACAACGCCGGCTTCGCTGAGACTTGTCCGCAGAATCCTTCAGAAGCGGTGCGCACGTTTCATCGCTGTATCCTGAGGGACCGTCTCTGTCTTCGAGAGGGGATCAAAAAGCTCAACATTGGTTGGAGCGCCGGAGGTGAGCATGCAGATGGCATCTTCGCCCGTAACAATCACATCATGCCGGCTCCCATCTCCCAACTTGAGCATACCACTGCTGCGAATGGGAATTTTGGACTGGTATTCAAATATGTCGAGCATCTCACATTTACCAATTGTTGGATGACGCCGCCGATGCTGGAGGATTTCGTCAAAAGCCACGCGGAAAAGAGCTTGAAGGTACTTACCCTGGACTCTGTTTCATTGACSGCTCATCCACGCTTCCCAGCCGGTGGTCAAGGAGGTGTAAACCAGCAAATAGCACAGGCCCTTGCTGGAATTGCTGGATTCCAAGGTGGTGGAGCTCCTAATGCCGTGCACGCCCACCAGCCGAATGTGCACAACATGCCCCCTCAGCACCACCCGCCAGCTTTACCTCCACCACAATGGCTGATGCCTAATATGGCTCCTCCTCAGGCCGTCAACCAACAGCAACATCATCACCAGCATGCCCTCCACAACTTCCTTCAGCAGCAAGCCAACAACGTCTTTGCTCCCGCGAATAATGCCAACGCCCATGGCTTTGGCCTTTGGCATGCCGCGGCCAACGGTCTGGGACCTGGCTTACCAGGTCCGGTGCTTCCACCTCTCGCTGTGCCTGCTCCAAATGTTCCGACCATCCCCACGGCCCAGCTTGCTAACACACACTGGAGCGAGGACCATCGTGAAGGATCGTGGCCCGAAGTGCTCGACAAGATCTCTCCAGGCCCGACATTCGCCGATTATCAACCTCAGCCCGCACCTTGGGAGGAACAGCAATCGCCACGTGCGCCTACGGCTCTCCGAACACTCGAGCTGAAGTCATGCGGCTATGCCAAACTCTCTCACAGCACTGCGTTCGATCAATTCGCTGTCGAAGCCGGGCACGATCACCACCTTTCCCTATGGTTCCGCAGTCGCCAAGCAGCTTTATCTCCCGCAATGTTGACGACCACAGACCGCTACCTCGGTCGTATCATTCAACATATGCCGCCGCGTGAGCAGGACGCGTTGCTCTTTGCTTGGGGCCTCACGATGGGATGGAACGATCACTCCAAGGCTACCGAGGCGGAGTATGATGGCTTGCTCCCAGGCGGCACGGGAAGATTCTCAGGCAAGATTGAGAAGGGCATGCCGCCAATCGGTCAACAACAGGTGTGAGAATCTCGATTGTATGACTTTACATTGTTTGAGGTTTTGTTTGTAAAAGGGCGTCACAACTACAAGTATGTGCTATTCTGCGTCGTGCTCGATCATCCATATGTTGATGAGCACAGGGAGTTTGTCGGGATGGGTGAGTGTAAGTGGAGATACGATTGTTACGGCCGCCAGTTAGACGGATCTGCATGGTCCTCAACTTGATCCATGACCTTGTACCATCAACTAGCTACTTTGTAAAAAACATTAAAAGAAAAATGAACACGAACAACGTTGCATTCTCCATGAAAGCTACATGGTCGAGGAAAGACACGCAATAATCACAAGAGCTCGCCGTGAAAGCTGGGCCAGAAGCCATCGTCCAACGCCGTCTTGGGTATCATTCTTCCTTTCCACCGTAAAACGCCACGCCAAATCGCTCAAATGAAAAACCTCTCGCCATCTACTTGAATCCTCCTCTCCCCACGCTTTCAAATCTCCATACCCTCATTGCGCGCCTGTGAGGCGCGCGCTCAAGATGGAACTTACCTGTCTACTAGACGCGGCTGACGCTGCAACATTTCCTTGCAGCAGCTTGTGCGTGGTCAATTTCCATGATTCTGTGCTGTGGTTAGTATCTGCAGGACATCGTATTAGTCGTACCGCCATTGAGCGGATCGGATGGGAAAGGTGTGGAATGATGGTGCCAAGCCTCCAGAAGGTGGGCTGGCGAGGTGTCGCGCGGGCAGGATGGGACGATGCCAATACATCATCTCGAAAGCGCTTCATGATMGAGCTTTTTTGGGCTCCTGCTCTTCAGGGACGTCATCTTGGCCGACATGCTCGTCGAAGGAACGCTTGCCGAGGGGCGAGTTAGGTGTGGGAACAGCCTCTTCGACATCATCGTTGAAGCCAATGTCGTCGTCATCAAACTCGAGGCTGTCGGCGGGCTGGGCTGATTCGCCATTTTCTGCTGGACGCTCAAAATCGTGACCCTCGAGCAGATCGAATGCTGCGTCGAGCTGTTCGCCATCCAGCTGCTCGTCCTCCTCGGCTGGAAGGTCATCGTCGTTCAGATCATCGTTCAGATCTTCTGCGACAGCGGGAGGATCGTCTTCCCGCTTGTGCTGGTCGACATTATTGCCAGATTCGGCTTGGGCCTCATGTGGAGCAGTGTTCTCATCTGCCACCTCACCGTCCAAGTCATCAATGGCTTGCTGGTTATCAAGACCTCCTGAGTCGGAAGCAAGCGCGAATGCCTCGCTTGTGCTGTTACCGCCCACAGGTCGTTCGTTGTCATCGGCAGACGTGCCGTCAGGGGTGCCCTCCGCATCGTGCTCGCTGACAGGAGCAGAGGATTTGCCATTTCCATCGTCCTCATGCAGATCTGCAGTTTCTGCCGTCAGGTCGTCGTCATCAAAGTCGATGAAATCTTCGTTGTAGTACTCRCCAATCGAATCGTTCGGGGGGTCGCCACGAACAGTCGTTGAACTTGCAGCGGATTCTGGTCGGACTTGCTCCTCTGACTCCTGAGCGGCATGCTCATCAGATTGATCGGGCTCATACTCGAGCGAGTCATCGTTCGGCAGGTCATCATTCTCGTCTGCATCTGCTCCTGGGAGTTCGACTTCATCACGGTAGTTCTCCAGTCCAGCATCGGGGCCCGTCTGCTGCTGCTGCTCCTCGTGCTCCTCATACTCCTCATAGTTGGTGTCATCTTGTGGGGCATCTTCAGCTTGATCGGCGTTATACTCTGGGTCTTCATCCTGATTCTCCGGATATTGGTGCTCTTCGTACTCTTGACCTTCTTCCAGGTGTTGTGATACTTCTCCTTCTGCTTGGTCATCGGCGAAGGCACCTTCACCTTCGCAAGGGTGCTCCTCACCATCGTTCTCGTCATCTCGATATTCTTCGCCGTCATTCTCGCCATCTTGATATTCTTCATGTTGTGCATCTTTCTCTTCATCTTCTTCGTCTTCTTGATCATACTCGTCCAATTCATCGGCGCCGCCACGCAGAAAGGCGAACTTTGACATGCCTTCTCCCTGCTCAGCTGCGGCTTTCAATATGTTGAAACTGCTTGTAAATTTTAGTTGCAAGGAGAGAGAGAGGGCAAGTGGCGGGATGGCATGAGTGGCATCATTCCTGTGCAATTTCAGATATACCCCGAGGACGTCATCAAGACTAGTCCCAAAAGCATGGGGGGAGTGCTGCAACGCAGTTAGCGAAGGTCCAAAAGTAGCGCGGCGATGATGACAAACCTCGACAAGCTGTAGACCCATGTTTTCGAAGCTCAGAACGAGCTCCTGATCGGCAGATATACTCTCGCCCACCTTGAGCGCGAGACGCTGCCTACAATTATCCAACAGATCGCCAAGACTGACGCTAGCCAGGTTATCGTCCTTCAACAGACCGTCGCTTTGAGCGCGAGATTTGAAGAGAGGCATCACAAGATCTCCATACCTAATCGTGATGGGGTGTATGCCCGTATCGGACGGAGTTTGAGGCCCGTCTGGTGCGAAGTAGGCTGTGGTATCGAGCCCGGAGGGGAACTTGGGCGGGGCTTTCAACTCTCGTGTCTCGTCGTCGTGCTGCTGACGATCGGAGGTACTCGTTGATTGAGCGACCACCTCATCTGCTTCGGTCGCATAAGAGTCTGGCTCGTCTGCCTTGAAGGCTTGTACTCCAAGTTCCTGTGCCGCGGCTTCCTCGGCTTCTTCGGCGTCAACTTGACGAGACAGCTCATCGACCGCATCGTGGTGATCTGTATTGAATGCCTGATCGTCGTCGAGAGGAGCGGCAGCGAGGGCAGTTTCATTATCAGCGTCTGCATCCAAAGCATCATTCTCTGCGACTGCTGAGAGAAAATTGGAGGTCGGCTCTTCCACGACTGCCGCTCCTACAGGCAGCAGCGGGACTGCTTCATCTACAGGCTGGGAGTGAGTCACGTTTGGTATGAGTGCGGCAGAGCTATTCTCAACCTCCTCAATGATCGGGACAGCGGCATCGTCCAGTACGATCTGAGTATCGTCCTGGTATTCGTCATCGCTGTAGTCGATGAGCTCTTCATCTTCAATGTACGTGTCAGGCGCAACAGGGTCATCATGCATCATCTCTTCATTGACCTCAGATCTGGGCTCCGCATCTTCCATCATGTGATCCGTGGCAGTGCCGGGTCTGATCGGTTCGCCGTCTTCGACCATCGGCTCGTCCTCGGTGAATGGTGCCGTAGCATAATCGTCGTAATCAATGAGAACCTCGTCATCGTAGCTATTGCCAGCAGGAGATAAGGATACTTCCATAGTGTCGTCAAGCACGGCCGCAAGGAGCGGTGCGAACGCCGTTGTGGAGGTCATATTGGGCAATGAGAATGAGCCGAAGCTCGAACGCGTGTGTTAGCTAACCAGCGCGATGCTTGTGATGTCCAGTTGACCAGGCAGGGTAGCTGCTGGAAGGTTTTGGTAAAGCAACGCGTCAAAGGAGCGCGTAAAGTGCAAACTGCTGCGAGCTTCGTCACGGGGCGAGCGTTGCCGGCGAAATGTCACGGGCGACGGGCGCGTGGCGCTTGTTGGCAAAGACGGAAATGAAACGCTGGTTTGACCGCGGTMAAAGTTGCGAATAATTACGCTTGTGCGAGTTGCGAAGCAGCGTGATGGATGTGGAAGGAGAGTGGTGAGATTCCGAGCCGGAGTGGAGTTGAGGTTGGAGTTGAAAGAAGGACGGCTTGAAAGAACTGAAAGCAGCAAGAGCGGCGGCAGTGGCCGCGCAAGGGTCAAAATGTCTTGGCGGGAGATCTCGCTGGACGGGACGGGATGTTTGGTCGTGGAGACACCACCTGTCGACAGATGTGAGGCAGTCAGTGAAAGCCAGCACACCCTTCCACAGCAGCACATCTCCCACCTTCGCAACCACGTTGAAGCCTTCGCTCAATTCGCCCACCTGCCCAGCATGGTATRTGTTCACCAGTATAAGATGCAAATCGTATACGGATACTCACATCAATGCGCAGGTTGTCCTCACGGCCGCTATTACCACGCGCTCGGGGAAGCCCATCCTCGCTCGTCAGTTCCGCCAGATGCAGCGATCGCGAGTAGAGGCATTGCTGGCTTCCTTCCCCAAACTGGCCGACACGGCCTCGCAGCACACCACCGTCGAGCAGGACAATGTGCGCTTCGTGTACCAGCCATTGGACGAGCTTTACATGGTCCTAATCACCAACCGCCAATCGAACATTCTACAAGACATCTCCACCCTCCACCTATTCGCCCAGGTCGTGGGCTCAATATGCAAGAGCATGGATGAGCGTGAGATTACTCGTAATGCTTACGAGCTCCTCTCCGCTTTCGACGAGGTCGTAACCCAGGGATATCGGGAAAACCTCACGCTGAGCCAAATCAAGACTTTCTTGGACATGGAGTCGCATGAAGAGCGCATTCAGGAGATTATTTCACGCAACAAGGAGCTTGAAGCGTCTGAGGAGCGGAAACGCAAGGCGAAGCAGCTCGAAATGCAGCGCAAGGAGATCTCTCGTGCGGCGCGAACGGGCAGTGGTGGAATGGGTGGCATGTCAAGACAGCCCACATATCCGATGTATACAGCACCGACCCCTGCTGCGCCTAGTATGACGGAATCATACGACTCCTACAACGCTGCGAAGAACCCATCATTCAACAAGCCGCTGGCATCAAGAGGGAAGGGTATGCAGTTGGGGAAGAAAAAGGCTGGCAACAGCATGTTCGACCAGGTGCGCAACGAGCTGGGACCAGAGGCTGAAGCGAGTGCTCCATTGGCTGGTGTACCTGCGCAGGCTGTGGCTCCCGTCCAGCCCTCCATCCCAGCGACAAGGGGTAGTCTGGACAGGGAAGGCATTCATGTTACAGTGGCAGAGTCCATCTCTGCTCGTCTGTCTCGCGAAGGTGCTGTTGAAGCCTTCGAAGTCAAGGGTGATCTTCAGCTACGCATCACGGACGCTAGTCTAACACAAGTCAAGCTCGATCTTGCAGTTGGCGACATCAAGGGCGCCCAGCTGAACGCACACCCCAAAGTTGACAAGGCGCAATTCAAGAACAACAACACGATCCAACTCACGGATACCACGAAGGGCTTCCCAGCCAACAACAGCATCCAGGTCATGCGATGGCGGCTTACAGCCAAGCCAGACGATGTGCAAGATCCGCCCATCAAATTTACTGTGTGGACCTCGGAGGTCTYGACCAACACGTACAGCATCACAGTCGAGTATGAGCTCACGGGATCCGATCCTCTGAAGGATGTAACAGTCGTAATGCCGTATGAAACATCGGAACCCACAGTCTCCAGCTTCGACGCAGTCTATGAAGTCAGCGGAGACAGCCTTGACTGGACGATTGGCGATGTCGACGATAGCAATCCCAGCGGCAGCTTCGAATTTGAAGCACAAGCATCATCTGAAAGCGAGTTCTTTCCCATGCAGGTTCGATTCACAAAGAGCCGGCCTTGGGTAGACATCGATGTAGGCAGTGTGAGCCTCTTGAACATGAACCAGGACGTCGGTTTCAGTAAGGATATTCGATCAGTGGCAGAGAATTACATGATTGTGTAGGGGGTTATGCGCATGCGACATTGGACTTGACGAAAGCAAGCTACACTTTAGTGGTATTCAAAGCAGAATCGATGCGGTTGCCTTGCACTGCGGTTACTCGGTGCCTCTGGTTTCAGACTCGTGTGTTGGGATCTCAAATTTGCAGGGGCGTATGGCCTCTCGTGCACGTATTGAATTCTTAAAAGCACTGAAATGTGTTTGGACCTGCTTTCAAGCCACCTGGCCGAACTCTCTCAGGGATACAGAAATGGTTCTTCAGCACTTGATGAACTTGTTGGGAAAGCAGACGATCGCTTCCAAATGAGACCTGCATGCCCAGTCTCGCGGCATCCCAAGACACTTGGCCATCCAATGATTGACGACCGCATATCATGGCACTCGACTGCGCCTTTGGAGAAGAGAAGGAAACAGAGCGCCGCCTGCAGAAGCCCAGAAAGACTTTCTTGTCGCCGCGTAGCAGACAGGGGCTGAGATCGCAAAGTGATGGCAGTGCATGGCCGATTCACGTCATGATTTGCAGTGAGCACTTGTACCCTCGCTGGCGTCCCATGTCTTCCGTAACATATCCTAGCCACTGCCGCTACAAGCCATGACACCATTGACAATGTCCCCGACTACTGGAAGTTGGAAAGATCGAGCTTGGGCGAAGCGATGGATGGAGAGCAGAGCACAAATCGAGCGAAGACAAGAATCTGGAGAATGGATCAACTGTGATGCAAACTGCTACTGTTGCCGATATATGGTAGATGAGGGATGTGTGGATACGGATGAAGATGCAAACGACAACTGTCCGGCGCCTCGTCCCACACCAGCAGCTATCACGGCCATGCCGACAACTTTGCCGTTGCCTACGGAGACTTTATCAGCCACGACTTCTCCAACTAATGCTCCTTTGACTGTCGAATCGTCTCCCGCTTCATCAGCTGTATCAGCTCCCTCGACCACGCTAGGTACGAGCACGTCAGAATCGACTGCTTCGACACCGTCAGCAAGCCAAGAATGGGTATTCCCCGCGGCTACTTCGATTATCAGCGCACGTCAAGTTGATACAGTTGACGCGGCTTCCTYCGGTYCCGTGCACCGCGAAGACTCCATGATAGTCCAATGGACGCCTGAAGACACGACACCAGGTATTCAATGGTTCTGCGAGTCCAACTCCGGAAGTGAGTAGAATTGCATCGACGCTACAAATACCTGTAATTGACATCACGACCACAGACCGTAGCGGAGGTCTCGTTTCTTCCAATCAAAGCCAACCGCTCAGTATCCAATTTAACGGCCTTGCGCACCAAGCCAACGACGTAGATGACGTGTATTGTCGACTAGGATTCACAGACGCTCCTGGGCAGACCGTGCAGTGGCAATACATCAATACTCCAGACCCAAACGGCGCCAATGTGATTAGTGCCCCTGCAAATGTGGCCACAGCAGCGGTGGCTACTGCATCTTCTTTGATTGTCTCTACTACCAGCACGATGAGCACATCACCTACAAGCATCAACGATAGTAAATCAAGGGACAGTGGACTTTCTGCAGGAGCAGCGGYAGGAATTGGTGTTGGCGTTGGCATCATCGTGATCGTATTCATCATCCTTGGTGCATGCTTCTGGCATCGTAAGAAAAACAGTGGACCTCATCGCATACCCCTGTGGGCTATCAACGACAAGAACTCTTCCAATTCGGACGAATCAGGGCATCCGCCCTCCTACTCTGATAATCAAACACCGAGCGACGGAGTGTTCGAGCTGCCCGGGGCGCCCCTGAATCCAGCAGAGCTTCCAGCTGGCATCAAAGGCACACCCGTCATGCCCAGCGAGCTACACGGTCATCACGAGAAGCCTGCATTAGCAGAGCTGGGCAGTGATAAAGATTTKGAAGAACAGAACATGAGACCTCGTCCACTCACTTCGCATCCTGCTCGTGTTGTAAACGGCGAAGATGGAGCTGTGGTGTTCTCACCTTCGGATTATGACAGGATAGAGGATGGCACAGAACGACTTCCTGTGTCTCCCTTGTCAGGAATCCTCAGCTCTGGGCGTTTTGGAAACGCGTCTTTCATACATCAGCAAATGTAAGTCGACTGGAAGAGCTTGATCTGTCTACATCTTTGGATCGTAAGGTCCTATGCTGACCAATGTTGCAGAGAGAACTCTCCAGTCAGCGCATTGCAAGATAGAGAACCGGGCTTGGGGGCAGGACGAACTATGTTTCAAAGAAAGCCTATTGGGTGAGAACGATTTCACACTAGTGCGATGATCAAGTCTATGGTATTCCCAGAGAGCAAGCTGAATAACGAGAAACGAATTCATGTCAATCTAGACTTTGTGAGGACTGCGAATCTGGAGCATCAATCGTCTCGACACAATAATTTCATGTTGCGAGTATCGAGATCATCCCTTCTACCTCTTCAAGCATGAGCCAACAGCCAACCTCCGTCAATGACGAGCGTCGAACCCGTCACGTAACCGTTCTTTGCAAAGTTCAACACAGCCTGGGCGTAGTCTGCCGGTTCTCCAGCGCGGCCAAAAGGAATTCCCCATCCCTTCATATCCCTGAAGTGCTCCTTCTGCTGTCCGTCATCCCTCGCGATGGGTGTCATTTCTGAGGGAAAGTAGCCCGGTGCGAGCGTGTTGACTCTGACTTCGATCCCAGGGCGCTTGAAATCGACAGCCAGCTGCTCCGTGAGAGAGATTGTCGCGGCCTTTGAGGCGTTGTAGCTGAATTGGCCATTCTGGGACTCTTTCGTAATGCCTGAAATGGAGGAAATGTTCAAGATCGAGCCGGCTTCGGGGTAGCCGTGATCTCTAGCCGCTGTGAGAAGAGGCAAGAAAGCTGCCGATGTGAAATAATAGCTGGCGACGTTAATCTTGTAGATTCCGAGCCAATCATCAAAGGTTTGATTGTTGAGCATCTCCTCCGAGATGGATTTCACATCTCCAGTTGGAAAGCCCTTTGGTCCATAGTTGACCGAAGACTGGCCTGCATTGTTGATGAGAAGGTTGACAAATTTTTCCTTGGCCGCAATAGCTTTGACGCCGTCCTCAATACTCTGCTTATCGGTGCAGTCCATCTGGATGCCTACAATGGAGCCGCCACTCGCGGGATCCGTGAGTTCGGCATCCTTCAGCTTCTCCGCTCGTCGTCCGGTAACGTATACTTTCGCCCCATTTGCAGCGAGAGCTTTGGCGGTGATGAGTCCAAGACCGGTACCTGCATTAAGATTGTAAGCGGGTGTCTGGCAGCTCAGGATTTGGGAGTAATCTACCTCCTCCAGTGACCACGGTCACCCAGCCCTTAATGTCGAAAAGTTTCTGCACGGTGTATTGGCTGAGATCTGCCATGATGATCTATCTGTTGTATAGTTAATGATGTTTCTCCGCTGCTTCTGGGCAATGGAAAACTTGTAGATACATGTCCACCGGATAAATGCAGTCAATTGCCTATCCGGCGTCTGACGGTCCGAGTTCATTCGCTGGATCTACCCAAGGTATTCTGCCGACGCGGAGGATCTTGAAGGCTGCTCCGGTCACTGTCGAGGAAGTTGCAATAAGTTACGCCCCGAATCGCAACATTCTATTTACCGATTGGAGCCAAAAAATGTTCACTGCACCGTTGTCGTAACATTCGCATTCCGTCGACCCCGACTGGAAGAGCAAGGGTATAGCCGAGCAAGTCATGTATTTGATGCAGAGGTAATTCCATGATTGTGGTCGTCGAATGTTACATGAAGCGATGACTATGCGACACGACTTGGCCAGTTGCTGGTGTTGCACGAGAGAGGGACTTGGAAGGAAGTAATTGAACAACCCCTGAGAGGCCCACCCAAGCTTCGACTTTTGGCCGTGGCCAGAGCTTCCTCGATGACTTTCCGCAGGTTCGGACATCAGACGAACATCAACAAGACATCATTATCGTTCGAGCTTTGGTCTCGCAATCATGGATCTCTCTATCCCGCCGATAGTGCGCGGTGAGTTCATATATCGAGATGTGCTTCTAGTCGATGCCGGTGGAGATGGTAAGAGACATCCGTGCGCTGCCGAAAGCGAGATCAAAGCCATACTCTCAGGCAAGGCAAAGGACATGGTGGGCCATTGGTGGGAAGCGCAGCTCATCCACTACGGACTCAACCGCTCGAAGGTAAAGGACACTTGCAAGGTCCGCCTCCAGCAGGCCATTGGCCAGGGCAAGCTCAAGCAACAGCCGCCGCATCTGTCTGATATGGAGGGTCAGATGAAACGGGAATTTGCTGCCGCTGTTCGCAAAGCGAAAAACCAAACTAAGTCGCAGGGAAGCACTGTACAAGGCAAAAAGCGCGCAAGGGAAGACGACAATCCGTCGTCAAGTTCTAAGAAGACCAAGATTTCGGTCAAGGTGAATGGAGTCGAAATCGAAATCGATCAGTCGTCTTCAAACAATCAACCGACAACAAAAACAGCACGGCCAAACAAAAGTGACAAGTTGGCTGCCACCAAAGCAGATGTAGGAAAAAAGCCCTCCGCTGCGAAAACGAGCAAGGAATCAACTCCAGCAAAAGCTGCTCCCGCGAAGTCCGCCAAGAAGAACACGTCAACCCCCAAAGCGACATTAGCTTCCCAAAAGACCCAAGCCGTAGGATCAGGTACCGCCGAAACAACTTCATCCGCTTCTTACGCGCATCACCCAGACAATGTATTCCAGACGCCAAAATCCCAAACGGCTAAAGCAACTATCAAACGAGAGCCAAAGGTCAAGTCCGAGCCTGGCACTTCCGCCAGCCGCCCCTCTGCTGTCAAGAAAGAGCCAAAGATCAAAACCGAACCAGGTATCAATCGTGCCTCGCCTATCAAGCATGAAGGCTATCTCTTCGATCCAGATGCAATGGACACCAGAGCCGACATGTCTGAGAGGCAAGTCAGCGTCACAGGCGTTTACAATCTCTCATGCGAGCAGATTACTGATCAGCTGCCACGCGCCATTGACACGCTTCGTCTGTTCATATGTGTGGATCACGAGACTGGAACTACTTGGGGTGCATTCGAGCTTGCCATGAAATCAGGCGTCATCAAGATTGATGATATTGGCGTGGAGCGAAAATTGTCGTTCGGCTGGCGCTCCCGGGATAGTGAGACTGGGAGGCTGCAATTCGGCAAGGGCTGTTTCGGAGACATTGCGTTCTATGGTGATGAACAGGTGCGTGGATGCTTCTACAACCTCTTCCCGATGTTTGGTATGTCGGGAGTGTCAGCACCTGCGGAGTTTGTGGGCGAGCGGAGGCCTGGCCCATTGTGGTGCGGGAGGAGTGCGCCGAGTTTCAGAGAGGAATGGGACGGATTTGTGAATGAGGCATATGGACGCTGATCTCCGGCAGCTACATGTAGTGTTACAGACGAACGCTTGGATCTCTTTTGCTCGGTCATGATGGGACCACAATCATACCATTACATTCAGCGCTACAGTTGCGATGGTGTCACGTAGCTGGCGATGCGGACCGATGAGCTGCCAAAATCCAATGTAAGGTAGCCATGAATCTATCTGTTCATCCATTTGTTCATCCATGCCGGTCTTGTTCTCGTGAATAGTGGTACAAATTAAAGCGCCTCATGCCTCTTCCTCCTGATCATCCTCATCCTCGTCATCCTCATTGATGATCTTCTCTACGATGAGGTTTCCGCTCCTGCCAATCTTCTCCCGAATGCTTCCTGGGGTGTCCAAATCATACACTTCTCGAGGCATTGGCGAAACTAGCCGGAACTTGTAGACATGCTCGAATGCTTCGGGTTCAGAAACCTCCTTCTCCGAAATCTCCTGCAGGCTGTCGTAACACTCCACAAAAGCGTATAGCTCCTCCAGGGCGGCATCAGGGCGGAACTTGCGTACAACACGCTCGCCAGACGGCATTCGTAGGCTCATTCGCACGGCATCCTTGACGTCCGCACCTGGCTCGGACGGTATACTCTGTGCTCTCCACCTCCGCCATTGGGCAAGCTTGCGTGCCTGATCTGCCTTCCTCTCTTCCCTCTCCCGCTCTTCCCTCTCCGCCTTCTCCTTTTCGGCCTGCTCTTCCTTCTTTCGTCTCGCCTTTTCTCTGTCCTGTGCCAGAGATCGCTCGTACGCACTCTCCTGTTCTTGCCGTAGATTCCGTGTCGCTTGCTGCTCTTGTCTCTGCCGGCGCACGCGATCTAGCTCCTGGCTCTGATTCTGCATCGCTGTCTGCAATTTGGAGATGAGGTCGCGGGCGGCTATTGGGCCAGTGCAAGTCGCGATTTTGGACATGGCGGTAGCAGAGACCGTAGGCGTGTGCACGATGATAGCTACGTATGGAAAGCGTGTCACATTGAGTGCAGTGCTGACCTGATATGCCTCTGCGTCTTGTACTGTGCCGGCCCATAGGAGAAGGTTGTTGCTGTCATTCTTGACGAAGTTGGTAAACTCGGGGGAGAGGAGTGTCTCGCGAACGAAGACCGATGTATCATCGTGCTCTGGAGATAAAAGCACTACTACTAGCCACTTGAGATCTCGCTTTGCAACATCGAACGCCTGCGCATACCCGCCCTCGTAGAAGGGCAATGTCCCGTGAGTTACACCATGCTCCTCCTCAAACTCCCTGATGAAACGGGCTGCGGTATCTCGGGGTGCTAGCGGCCTTCGTCCTGAATCTCGCGAGGGCTGTGAAGCTCGGCCAGACCAGACGCGTGCCAGCAGCCGCGGGAGGAAAGGGAACAGATAGCCAACGGCGCCCAACACCCGCTGAAAGATGGTGTATGTGAGGTTGAACGGCAACAAGATGATTGAGAACGGAAAGGGCAGCGTCTGCGTCATCTGGCTCTCCGGGGTGGGCACAACCCGTGGTGCAGGCTCCAACCCCGGCACTCGTCTCGACGTCGATCTCGTGGGTATGCCATCCATCAAAGCCTCTGTCCTCCGCCGATCCTCCGGCGGCGSAGGCTGAGCGCGTGCGGCCTCCTCTGCCGGGTCCACCGTTTCCGCATCACCATCAAAGAATCGCGTTATGGCAATCTGCGCATTCCACTGGCACTTGCGCAGCAGCGGAACTGCCGCCTCGAGCTCCTGGTCAGTCACTGAAGTGAATTGTTGCAGAGCGAGCTGCTGCTCCTCCGTGAGCGCCGTGATGTCGACTGCGTTCTCTGCCATGGTCGGTGATGATGTTGTATCAAGCCAACAGCTAGTAAGAAAGAGCCAGGTGGATGTCAAAGTCAAGGTGACATTATTGCGGAGGATCGACGGAAGCTCGGAGACATGCAGATGTCTCATCTTTGGGTGGGTAGGGCTGAGAGKTCCAACCTGACCTCCGACCACGACTCCGACTCCCTCCTTTACATTTGACTTACTTGCTCGCTGGGAGCCGGGAGCGCGCGCCACTGGTAGCCCATCCGACCAGGTGTTGTTCTGTCGCGATAGCGATTTTAGCTTCACACTCAGCTTCAGCATGGAAGGAACCTCTAGAGCATTGCCCGCCGATGCGTAAATTGTCCCTTCTCCCTCCCAAGGCCTGATCGCGATTGCAGTTGCACTTTTAATCAAAGGTAAGACGAAAAAATCCCACATCTTCCGATCAACATGTACATTCATCTGCGGTACCGGCGGTCTGGTACGCGAGCATGGGTCCAAAGAAGACGTGGCAGCCTCTCGACTACCACACTACCAGACATGATATCGATCAACAAACTAACGGGCACAGTACGCCTTTTTTGCGGCACACCAGTAACCCCACATCCTCCCACCAGCAGGCGTCTCTCACTCCGGACCGCCGCGCTTTTTCCTCTGTGCTCAATAGCAGAGTCAATTCTGAGCAGCCGGTCGACCCCCAAAACTTTCACGCACAGTACAGAAATCAAGATCCAATCGGTCGACGACTATCCCTTGAAGTTCAAACTGTCTCTCCTCCCCCTTCGCTGCCATCTCCCAGTTCGGATTCGGCTAGTTTGCCAATACTTGACCAAAGAATCAACAGTACAGCGAACGTTGGGACCTCTTCTAACCGATTGAGACTTGGAGGTGTCCCGAGAGCGCGAGTGACCTTACCTCCCACTCCCAGAACAGTTTCCACAGAGGATCCTGGGCGTCCCGCTCAGCTTTTCGGATCTCAAGGCGTCGAGCAACCGCCTCAAGGATTACAGCACGACGGGCTGTCGAGATATCACAAGAACGACTCTTCTGAAAACCATCTGCCTCACGGCCAAAACTCGTCTCCGATATCCCCACTTGATTTCAGTCGATCGATAGCCATCAATCCTTCGAGCAGACCAAGTCGCGTCGAATATCTCTCTTTTGAATTCTGGCCAAGGTTACCTTTAGTCAAGCTCCCTAGCGTCGACAACCTCTCGGCTTCGCTCAACACAGTAGACGATCATTACGATCCTACGCAAGGTTCCGACGAGGGAGAAGGCGACCAGGGTGGTAATGTTATGGCCGGCCTGCCTTATCGCACATCACCTGGAGAAGCCAGAAGATCCAGTCGCTTGGAAAACCGCCCACCAATGAGCACTGTGCTCTGTAGGAATGGGCCGCAGTGCAGAAAATTTGTAGAAGGTATGCAGTTGGTAACCCACTTGGAACGCTGCGGCTGACATATAACGAGGCACGTGCCATTACAACCACGATTTCGGCTCAATGGCTCCAAATGGTCTCAGCAACAAGTAAGGCACTACGTGAATCCCCACCTCAACTCGATTATGCTGAAATCTGGCAGTGCGAAGAAGTCGCTCACAGTGGATTCTCCTGCCTTCACGCCGAAGTCCAGCAACGTTCAACCGGTCAAGAACCTTGGGATATCGCCCAAAGCCGCGGCGGCCGCAACATTTACACCACGTGGATCAGGTGGGTCCGTCTTCACCGAGCTCCGTCGTTCGACACTGACAGTCCGAAGGGACAGTGACACCATCTGCTTTTACCCACACCAAAGAGCTGTCCGGCGAATTTGTTCCTGCCCAGATGAACCAGCCCGCCCCACAATTCCAAGAGTTTGTGCCCGGCCAGTCGTTCGTGGGATCACCCCAGGTAAGTTTGCCGACGCAGCTCGTCCTCGACATCGATTAGTGACACTTCACAGCTAGAAGCGCAGACACAGATACAGCAGCAGATAAATCCTTATAGCGATCCCTTTCTTGCTGGACAAAATCTTGGCGGCTTAGATGGTGCACACGTAAATCCATATGCGCAGCAAGGACCTACCATTGGAGGACAGGGTTTCTATCCGGACGCATCGAATTTCAAGCATCCGCTCAATTATCACCTCTACTCGACGATCGGCCCACGCCGTGAGAATCTGGCTACGTACCAGCGCGTCACCGCCGATTTTTTCGTTCCAGATGATCTGCGAGAGGAACTCCAACGGAAATCTGAGGCTACACTCCAGACGTTTGCCAACAGCACGCTCCCACATACCGTCGAGCATTTCCACTCTCTTGTGGCGCTGGACACAAACAACACCAAGGGTGTTGCTACTTTTGGGTATCCCAGCTGGATCTATAAAGCCATTTCGAGCAAGGATGGCCACGTCTATGCTCTCAGAAGAGTAGAAGGTTTTCGTCTATCAAGCGAAACGTCAATACGAACAATCAACAGCTGGAAACGCATTAACAGTGCTAGCATGGTTCAAGTTCACGATGCTTTCACTGGTAGATGGTTCGGCGATAGCTCGCTCATCATTGTGACCGACTACCACCCAAGGTCGCAAACTTTGGCTGAGAAGCATTTCTCCGYGGGCCGAAACACAAACCGATCCGGCGCACAGATTACCCCTGAGAACGAGCTTTGGGGTTACATTGTACAGCTTGCAAGCGCTCTGAAGACGATACACGAAGCAGGCATTGCAGCGCAGACTGTAATGGCATCCAAAGTGCTCCTGACGTCGAAGAACCGCGTGCGATTGAATGGTTGCGGGGTGTTCGACATCATTCAGCACGATCAAAGTCGACCGCTGGTCGAGCTTCAGCGTGCCGATCTTCAGGATCTGGGTCGGCTGATAGTGGGAATTGCAACACGAAATCAAACCGCGCACCAGAACTTGTCCAAGGCGTTGGATCTTGTCGCTCGCTCGTATACCGAAAGGCTAAGATCTTGCATCGCATGGCTTCTCGTACCTCCTCCGCTGCCACAGGACGGGTCGCAAGCATTAGGGACATCTCATCCCTCGACAGACTACAATGTGAACTCGCTACTCACAAGCATTGTTGACAAAGCCATGGTCATCATGGATAGTACGCTCCACCTGGAGGACGAGCTCACGACAAATCTCGGCCGCGAGCTTGAGAACGGGAGACTTGCGCGTCTTCTTGCAAAGTTGAACGTCATCCTCGAACGGCCGGACATCTCGATCAACCCTGCAGCCTCATCGAACCCTGCGCTTCTGAACCAGCCATCAATGGCTTGGTCGGAGACTGGCGAACGCTATTATTTGAAATTGTTTCGCGATTTTGTCTTCCATCAAGTCGATCATGATGGCAGACCTGTCCTCGATCTTGGTCATATCATCACATGTCTCAACAAGCTGGATGCTGGAATTGACGAGAAGATACAGCTGATGAGTCGCGATGAGGCTAACGTCTTCGTCGTAAGCTACAAGGAGGTCAAACGTGGGTTCGAAGCGGCGTGGGCGGAGATAAGCAAGGCTTCGAACCCTGCGCGGCGATGATGGAAGACAATCTCGAGTGCKTCTCACGTCATTTCAGTTCTGGTTGTTGGAGTGTGAAAGAGTGGGGATCTTGGAATACGACCGTCGTTTTGGAAATGATGAGGCTTACACAAGCTCTTGAATAGCTAATAAACATCGAAATGTAAAGACTGAAAGCTCGCAGTAMGCAGTACGTAGGTAGACTTCGGCTACAACTGACGCCGGGCTTTCCTGCATGCGTTGGTTTCCTATCATCCACAAACAAGAAGTCTCAAAGACCACTATCAGGATTTACCATGCGATATACCAGGCTCTTCGTAGCTGGAAAGAACGTGAATRCTACCAACGGTGATGTTGTTGCTGATGTTGTTGTGGACGACTTTGACTGCAGCAGGGGTGGCGGCAACCCTCGAACCTTTAAGTTTCATCGGGAGTGGATCTTGACTTCGCGGGACGGAGCGGCCGGCTTCGGATCTCCCCGCCTCGACGTCATCGCATGCCTGATGGTATCAAGATGCTGCCAGGTCCGTTTGTCTGTCAACACAACAGCATCCTGCTGCACCTTTCTCACAATGCCAGGCCTAGCCAAGAAACTCCTGGTGTTTGCCGCGATTGATGGTCTATTTCTGCAACCTGTGGGGACTGGTAAGGGAGTAAAGATCGATTATGGAACGACCAACAAAGTCACGTCAACTACGAGGTCAGAAGAGAGAGATGACACCGGCTTTGAGGTTCATGGGATCATCGGTAGTCACTTCAGCGCAACCCATAATGTACATGGGTGGACTGACGATCGGTAGGGTTGTTAAACCTGGTTTCTTCTACATTTCTCATATCGATCACCTCTCGTGAAGAGGTTGCCAACGTCTGGAACAAGCCCATATACCTAATACGCGACGTCACCCTTATTCCACTTTCTTCCAAAGCAGAGGCGTCGAAAGCCATCGCTCTTGCACAAGGAGCTAAGAAGCGAGCCGCCGACTTGGCATATGGAGAAGAGACAGACGAGAGTGATGTGGGTGAAGACGCAGAGGTTTCATCCATAGGAAGTGAGGACGACGAGCCGAGGTCACGACCCCAAGATGAAGCTGGAGCACTGGAGGTTCCAAAGGGTGGTGTAGCAAAGCAGAGCACAACGTTTGTGAAGAACGTTGTCCAAGAGAAGGGAAAGTATGGCAGATTTGCGAGTCAATGGTTCAGCAAAAACGGCGGGCAAACCAATGCCAGACGAAGCCAAGGATTGACGAAAGAGCAGGTGGATCAAGAAAACCAAGCGCTTCCGAAAGGAGATTTGAAGGGAGACGAAGGAGACCGCGTTGATGTAAACGTCACAATGGGGGCAGCCGACGATGAAGCTGGCAAGGAGAAAAGTACCACTACTTCAAGCGGGGCCATTCTAAAACGCAGTACCATCGAGCGTCTTACACCGCGTATCTTGCGAAGCGCAAGGCTGTATTTCAGCTCAAGCGGGTTTTATTTCTCTTACGAGCATGACTTGTCAGGCACACTACGAAAGGACGCATCCTCATCTCTGCCACTTTGGAAGCGATTCGACAGCCTAGTAAGTAGTACTACAGGTGCATTTACTTTTGATACTTGCTAACTGTAGAAGTTCTTTTGGAACCGTCATCTGATAAATCCTTTCATCGAAGCGAATCAAGATTCTCTAGTTCTACCACTCATCCAAGGCTTTGTCGGACAACGGCAATTCTCCATCACCACAAAATCGACAGGAACTAAGGACGACATAGTCGCTAGCAATGATAACGAACAACAAACCACGGAAGGCCCGACTGAGCCAACGAAGCACGATTTCCTTCTCACGCTGATCAGTCGACGATCAGTCAAACGCGCAGGACTTCGATATCTACGAAGAGGCGTTGACGACGAAGGTTTTGTTGCCAATAACGTCGAAACTGAACAGATATTGTCATCCAGCTCATGGGGCCCAACAGAAAAGGCATTTTCACTCGTGCAAACCCGTGGTTCGATGCCGCTGTTCTTCTCACAAAGTCCGTATAGCTTCAAGCCACTGCCCGTGATGTTCGGCTCAGATGCCACAAATCAGACTGCATTTAGAAAGCACTTTACAGCTCTCGCGGAACGGTACGGACGGATTTTTGCTACATCGCTCGTGGATAAGCATGGCACAGAGGTTGGCATTGGCGAAAAGTATGAGCGCAATGCAAAGCTTCTCAACGAAGATGGAGGTGTGGATGGCAGGCTCATCGGATTTGAGTGGTTCGACTTTCATGGCGCGTGTAAGGGTATGAAGTTCGAGAACGTCTCCATCTTGATGGAAACCCTTCAGGATTCTCTGCACTCATTCTGCTGGAATGAGAAGCAGAATGGTCAAAATACCAGACAACAAACCGGCGTGCTCCGAACCAATTGCATGGACTGCTTGGATCGAACGAATGTTGTGCAATCTGCAGTCGCAGGTTGGGCACTATCCGCTCAGCTTGCAGAGCTTGGCCTGACAATTGATCTTCAGAAAGACAGCTCCACTCAATGGTTCAATGGACTATGGGCCGATAATGGGGACGCTTGCTCTAACCAGTACGCAGGCACAAGCGCACTGAAAGGAGACTTCACTCGCACGCGTAAGCGTAATTGGGTCGGGGCGTTGAATGATTTCAGTCTGACACTGAATCGCTATTACAACAATCTGTTTGGAGATTACTTCCTTCAGACGAACATCGACTACTTCCTTGGCAATGCTGGACCATCAGTCTTCGACGAGTTCGAAACCGATATGATGTCCCAAGACTATGCACTTGACATGCGCAACGTGCGTCAGAATGCCATTGACACCTGCATCAAGATCGTGCTGGAAGACCCCAAAGAGGACTTCATCGCTGGTTGGACCCTCCAGTGTCCACGACAGTCCAATACGCTTCGCTCGATGCCTTTTGAGGAATGCGTGCTGCTTTTGACAGACTCTGCATTGTACTTTTGCCGTTTCGACTGGCGAACCGAGAAAGTCGGCAGCTTCGAGCGAGTTGATCTTCTTGACATAAAGGCACTTTGGAGGGGGACGTACATTACCAGCACTCTCGGAGAGGCGCATCTGGACGCGAAGAAGAATGTTGGATTTGCGTTGAAGTATCAAAGCCTGGGACCAACTGTGAGGACCAACACCAGGAGCATGTCGGTCTCTGATGGGTTGGAAGCAGCTGAAGGAAAGGACAAGAAGACATCGACTGGGAAGGATCAAAGCATTGTTTTGGCTTTCAAGGCTTTACCGCCCAAGGCGTCTGCCGCCATGGACAAACATGCTGTCGCTGATATGAATGAGATCGATTCTGTGAAGCACATTTGTGAGGAGATCCGAAGAACTAGGAATACCGCCCTACAGCGATCTTCTGAGGAAATCAAAGACGAAAATGTTGAGATTGAAGAAAGGGACATCATATCCGCCGCTGATGCGAGAAAAAGCACAAGCTATGTGGAGTCCTTAGGTTACTCGTTGAAGAAGCTTGTGTGGTCGTAATGGGCGAAGGCTGGATTATACGCTACTCGACAAAGGTAGCATGGTTAATGAAATAAGAATTTCCTATCGAGTGGCACTGCTTCTATATGCATAATGGTGTTCCGATTGGCATTCTTCACGTCAAGGCTGAAAGCGATAGCTCTGTTTCCACGCGCAAGTGGTCAACAGACATGGAATTTGCCGTTGTTTTATCGCCCAGCAAGAAACATCATCACGATGTATGTAGACGTCACCTCTTTCCTGCACGGCATCATTGTCAAGTGGGACATATCACATGTCGATATGTGAGACATGGCGTGGGCAAAGCAAACTGCTGCGCTCTGCCCCTCCAGGTACCGATCGTCGGAATCAAGGTGCATCAACGCCTGCAGTTTGCCATGCGCATTAGGTACCGTGATGCCATTTTGATGTTGTTCGACATCTTGTTGATGTTATTGTTTACATGGTCTCTGTGTCGCGATATGTCAACGCATGGTTCGTGTGGCACGCTAGAAGACAGAGTGCCACGAATCTGCGAGGCCGCAGCCCGTTTCACCGCAAGCTTTGGTCGTGCGGAGTCTCGTGAGCTACAATCAGTTGCCAGGCTGTAGAAGACGCAGAGACGCAAAGACGCGCAATCTACGGCAGGATGGCAGATGTCTTAGAATGAGGGTATCAGTTGTAGTGGGCTCGACGTGTTGTTCGGCTCATGTGCACGCGGAGAAGGAGAATGTCCTGGAACTTGCTAGTACCTGACGTGCTAAGCGCCGTCCGGAGGAGGAGGAAGGATTCGTCGAGTGGTCCAGAAGGATAGACATCGCAGTATGCAAAAAGTGCCGAACGCCTGCAATGAATGAGTGTATAAGCTAGCTGAATCTCCAAGGACGAATGCACAAGAATAGATTCCATCGGTGTCGAGACAGCAGGGCAGGGTAAATTCATGGAAAGGTGAAAGTCGGCCGAATTTGTGGAGCAGACCGTGCTAGTCCCGAGTTGAATGCAACAGCCCTGGGAGACGACAGAGAGATCAGAACCGGCTAACTTACCCTCGCTCGCCGCTGAGCACGTCCTTACGTCCTCACGATCTCCATCATTGGCGTTGATACCATTCCGAGCAACATGTTAATATAACTCGACAAACAGCAAACGAACATCCGGGGCGAGACGAGACGAGACGAGCCGAAACGAAGTAAATCGAAGCCTTTGACCTCACGAAAGCCGGGCTGCATTTCTGGCAGTGGTGGCAGTACACCATTCCCGCCCGGAGAACGACCACTCGACCACTCTCCGCAGTCAGCGGCTGAGTTGAGGTGCCTGACAGGTGAAGGAGGTGGGAAGAACAATGTCAACTCCGTCGACACTGGTGCAGACTGTCCCCCACCAGCATCTCGACCACCACCGCTATCTGCCCTCGCCGCAGGACCGATTCCTGCCGCCGCCGCGTCCGTCGAGCAACGGATATCACCACAATCCGCTGCCGAGTATTCCCGCCAGACCCTCCAGCAATCTCAGCCGCCAGCTTCCACCGCCGCCTCCCGAGAGCAGCGGTATGAGCGCTTCTTATTCGCACAACCACAACCAAAATCACCGTCACAGCCACAGCCAGTCACACGCCGGGTCCGAGTACTCTTATCCACATCACACTCATGACGAATTGAGGCGCACTGACAGCCGGTCAAGCCAGCAGCACAGCCGGCAGTTGCCCCCACCGCCCATGCTGCAGCACCACCAGCAGCAACAGCAACAGCAACAGCACCATTTGCAGGCTTCATCCCCCTCACGTGCACTCCCCGCGGTCCCAACCGACGCAATGCCGCCCGCGCAGTACAATGATCTTGACAGACACGGCAGTTCRGAACGAGGGCGTAAGCGCAGGCAAAAGTCTCCCGTGGACTGGGTGGCCTTCTTTGGCGGCAAGCCTCCTACAGAAATCATCGAGATTCACGACGATGACAGTCCGGCTCCGCCAGCGACAATCCAGCGCTTGCCGCCGCCAGCCACTAACGGCGCTTCTCACTCCCACCATGTGGACAAGAAGAGGCGGGTCAACGGCGGCAGTGGTGATGCACATGGCTACAGCACCACCAACACACCTTACTCTTACACCAATGGAACTTCGGCAGACAGTCTTCAGGCCACGACTGCGCCAACATCACTCGGTTCCCAGGCTAGTACCGCAGGCCGAGTAGACAACACGCAGACAGCTGGCCAGAAGCGGAAACGCACAACTCGGACAACCGATGCCGCGCTAAAGAAGGAGGAAGCTGAGCGCGCGGGACCCCAGGGCTATTTGGCCGAGTACGGCGAATATCACCCACCAACAAAGTTGAGCAAGAAGCAGAAGGATGTTGTAGTACCGGCGATACACGATGTATGGATCCGATGGCTCTCTCGACATGGCATACCAGAACTGACCTATCTTTGCAGCGGCATAAACCCTCAGATAAGATTGACGACGAGGATGGGCATTACATTGTGCACGAGAACAGCCGCCTGGGCGAGAAATACAACCTTTTGAACCTTCTCGGCCAGGGCACGTTCGGCAAGGTTGTGCGAGCGATTGATATTCGCAATCGTAAGGAGGTCGCTGTCAAAATCATTCGAGCTGTTCCCAAAGTACGCATCTTCTTCAAATCACCCTTGACGCATGTGCGACTAACACTCTCACAGTACCGCGATGCTAGTCGCATCGAGCTTCGAGTGCTGAAGACCCTCCGAGAGGCCGATGAGCACAATCGCAATCGATGCATTCAGCTACGTGACTGCTTCGACTGGAGAGGCCACATCTGCATTGTCACACCCTTACTTGGTCTTTCCGTCTTTGATTTTCTCAAAGGCGGTGGCTTCGTACCATTCCCAAGCTCACATATCCAAGCGTTTGCCCGTCAGCTGCTCGGATCGATTGCCTTTTTGCACGATCTCAACCTCATCCACACGGATCTGAAGCCCGAGAACATCCTCCTGTTGAATCACGCATACCAAACATTCACATACAACCGGAATATCCCGTCATCTAGCACGTTGACGTCGCGATCCGCAAAGTTTAGGAGAGTGCTTCTCAGTCCGCAAATTAACCTCATCGACTTTGGCAGCGCAACGTTTGACGATGAGTATCACTCCTCGGTCGTCAGCACGCGGCATTATCGCGCGCCCGAGATCATATTAGGGATTGGTGAGTGGAACACTTTCATCACTTGATGATTGCATTACTGATTCGAGTTAGGATGGTCGCACCCGATTGATCTTTGGTCACTGGGCTGCATTTTGGTAGAATGCTGGACAGGAGATGCTTTGTTTCAGACCCACGACTGTGCGGAGCACCTCAGCATGATGGAGGTAAGTTTGAATCACCTTGTAATGTTATGGCATCACGCTAACTTCAGTCTTCAGGCCGTGACTGGGAATCCCATCGATCGTGCCATCATCCGCGAGGTCAATCGCGTGGGCAAGCGCAACGATCGAACTTCAGCAGCCCGCTTCTTCAAGGGCGGACAATTGCAATATCCAATGCCCGACACACCTCGCCAATCTAGAAAATTCGTGCGAGGAATGAAGCGGCTGGACGAGATCATTCCGCAGAACAACGCCTTCAACAAGCTCTTCCTTGACCTCCTACGCAGGATTTTTGTCTACGATCCGAAAAAGCGCATCACAGCGCGGGAGGCTCTCAAGCATCCCTGGTTTTCCGAGCTGGTGGAAGATGATGGAACCGAGGCGACACGCATCAGGCTTGAGAGGGAGAGGACAGCAGATCAAGCGGAACGCGGTGGCGCGCGATAAGTGTTGGTCTATCACAGGCGTTTGCTCACTCGCCACTCCTGGTTATATGGTGGCGATGGGATGAGTACATTTTGCACGGGCCATTTTGGCATTTGATGATGGTTCACGACTGCTTTTCCACTGTAAAGCCCGCTTCAAGTTCGATGGAGCGGACACGAAGCGATGCATATGGCCATGGAGCGTTCATGAACTGCTTTGGCAATTGAGGTATTATCTTAAAGGGCGGTCTCGGAGTGTTTTGCATAGGACAAGACGATTGGTCACAAAGTGGCCGGCACATTTGTTCTGGTCCCATGGGATGTCCTGTTCTGTGATTCCTCAAAGAGTTCTGAACTTTTTGCAGGTACCTTACCTTAGCTTGTGAACTTCAGATGGCCCCACATTGGTGGAGAGGAGGGGATGGAACCCTTCCTCACATACCTTAGGTCGGATATTAGTCAGCTTGGAGCAACTCGCGAGCATTCATCAAATTCACTTCTCAGCCATAACATGCACCTTCCCACGGCGGCCGGTTTCTAATATCACCAGTCAAAGATCACTGTCAGTTCTCGTCAATCACACGACATTGACATCACAGCCATGTCAAACCCACGGATCGAGGAGGTGGAGGACGATGATATCGTGGACGACCCGGAGGAGATGGATCTGGACGAATTTGACTTTGCAAAGCCACAGAAAGGCTCGCTGCAGACAACAGCAGATGCCGAAGACGACGACGAAGACGAAGACGATGTGGTACAGCAAATGCTGTCAGGGCAGATGCAGCGAGGAGGAACTGGTACCACACAAGTACCACAGATGCCACGCATGGACAACAAGGAGCGCGAACGATATCAGCGTGAACAGATGGAGAAGAGTAAAAATTACCAGAGCCTCTACCCAGTCTACTTTGACAGCACACGGAGTCGGGAGGAGGGACGAAGGGTGCGTAAAGAGGATGCAATCCCAAATCCATTGGCGCGAGAGATTGTCGATGCGTTGTCACACATCGGCGCCACTGTCGGGGTTGCTCTTCAAATCGTTTTCGAGCCCACAAAGACACATCCCAAAGACTGGGCCAATCCTGGTCGAGTTAAGGTCCTAATCAAGCGGGACGGTAAGCCGATCAGCGCAAAGATTCAAAACAGTAAGTGATGGACATGTGAAGAAGCTCAATACGCCGCCGCCATATAATGTGATCGCAATGGTTATGATGAATGGAGAGCTCACGACTGACATGTCTACKACAGAGCACCATCTCTACAAGATGATCTCGGCATACATGAAGAAGCATCCCACAACAGAAGATGCCCCGCAACGGTTACAATTAGCAGGAATGCCCCCGCAAAAAGAGCGAATTCCACCAGCAATTCCACGTGGGTTCAAGATTGGCACCATCCTCCCACTTCATTCGCCTGCGCTTTCTGGAGGTGGGGTATCTGATAACATGTTCAAGGACATGATGGCCGAGATGGGCGGTCAGCTGCCGGCTGGGATGGCTGGAATGGGCGGAGACGCAGGCGGGCAGCCACCGAAGAAAGTCAAAGACAAAAAGAAGAAATGAACACCGCCCTCTAGTCGTTGGCCTAGAATGTACGGGTGGTGGAGCATCTAGCGGCGCTTATTGCGCACTGCAGCGATATGGGCGGCCATTCTACAAGTACCGAATCTGGAGAACGCGTGTGACCGAATGTCCGTGGCACTAAAGTCTGCCCGCAATTTGTTGGGGTCTCGGTCTCGCTTTGCAGTCGTCACAGCTAGCTTCGAATAAGGTTCTGCGGCTGCAGAAGCCACAGAAGCTACTGTAGAACACCTCACCGTGGAGAGCAGCAACCTCAAGACACGGCTCATGCAGCAAAGCTTTCGCAGGCCATGGATCAACACAAAACACTTTCACGGAACTTCTTTGCATCGTAAAGGCTTCACTACCTCCTCATCAATCTCTAGTCCACGATTTCATTCACTTGCACGGCGTTAAGCCACTTTGGGATTCATGCGATCGTCACAGCTGCAGTGAAATGTCACTATAATATGGCCGATGCTAAGCTACCTACAGGACGTTATCACCCGGGAATCGCACCAGTGCCGTTTAGCCGACCACTTTACGACAGCGGCTGCGACTCGATATGGTGCGCTATACCGGCCTGCCGAGTTTAAACTCTGTTAGGAGCAATTCGAGGCGCATGCGGCATGCATGTACGAATGGCGGAGTTCAACCCCGGTCAGATGAAAGTTTCGGCGATTCTGCATAGGCGCCATGACCATTTTGGACTGGCTGTACTGGCACGTCCTGCATGAAGAATTGCGTAATGACGGCGACTGTGATATCGACGATCTGCCGTATATCTTCCGAGGTGACAGTGTATGCGGGAGCAAGGAGGATGTGGTCGCCGATTTTACCATCGGCACACCCTGTGCCTGGGTAGAGACTGATGCTGTGTGGCCGCTCCATTCCTGAAAAGAAGTTAGCAATGCTCGACGAAAGTCCCTGCCAGAGGATGCGCAGACCTAGCTCGTGGATTTTCATTGCAACTCCGAGAGAGGGATCGAAAGGCTGCTTGGTGACTTTCGACTGGACAAACTCGATACCCCAGAATAGACCCTTGCCACGAATGTCGCCAACTGCGGGATGCTCCCCAAGTCTCTCCTGAAGCAGGCGGCCAAGTAGAGCGCCTTGCTTCCGCACGTTGTTTATCAGCTTTCTTTCCTGGATAATCCTCTGCACTTCCAGCCCAGCTCGACATGCAAGCGGGTGACCTTGGTAAGTCTGGCCATGGCTGAAGGCGCCGCTGCCTCTTTTGAGTACGTCAACGACGTTGCTAGACAGAGTCAGTCTACAACTTGGGCTAGCGAGATAGTGGTCAACTTTACTGGCTTGTAAGCATGGCAGCGATGGGCATATAGCCTCCGCCTAGCCCCTYTCCCATGGTCATAATATCCGGTACCACACCAATGAGCGGATCTTGCCATGCGTGAAGAGGATCGGGATACTTTTCAGAAGGCTCGGGACCAATACGGCCGGTACCAGACATGACCTCATCCATGATGAGAAGCGCACCGTACTTGTCACAGACTCTGCGCACCGCTTCGAAGTATCCAGGGGAAGGAGGTACACATCCTAACGCAGCGCCAACGACCGGCTCTGCGACGAACGCTGCCACGGTATCTGATCCGATGCGTTGAAATTCGGCATCCAGTTCAGCTTCTAGAGTCTGCACWTATTCGGCCTCGGTACGTGCATCATCTGATAACCCGCGGTAGGCATAACAAGGGCTGACGCGGCTAGTATTGATGCTGAGGATCGGTTCAAAGATGGCGCGTCTAGCGACGTGTCCGCCGGCAGCCAGCGCTCCGAGTGTCGTGCCATGATAACTCTGGTGTCTGGAGATGAAGTGGACACGCTGAGGCTCAGGGGAGGCCTTTTCCAGATGGTATTGCCTTGCTAGCTTCAAGGCGGCTTCCATTGCTTCGCTACCACTGCTAATAAAGAAGGCTCTGGCCATCTCGCCATTGGTGCTCTCAATCAGCAATCTAGCGAGTTCTTCTGCTGCACGAGTTGCATAGAACAATGAGTGGCAATAGGAGACCTCTTGCATCTGCTCAATGACTGCTTGTTGTATACTATATCGCTCAGCATTGATTGAAAAGCATGTATAACAAACGACATCTTACCGGAGTTCCCCATGGCCTAGACATGCCACTGCGGCTCCCCCTGTAGCATCAAGTATCTTCTGGCCATTGTCAATGTGCAGGTAGTGTCCTTGGGCAGCGATTACGTGCAGTGGATCGGAGTGAAGGGATCGATGTAGGACCAGTGATGTGTTTGGGTTCGAATGGAACCCTTTGATGGACGGGCCATCGTCTACGGCATCGACGACGTTTCCATCATTGACAATAAGAACAGATGGTGCCATTGCTCAGGAGGTATAGAAGGGAATGCTTTAACAGAGTCGAGGAGCAGACGCGCCAACCGGGTCGGTTCTTGAATGATTGACAGAGTTCTCGATCACTATGAATCAATGCCTGTCGAGACCGGCTGGAACAGGGTATAATGCACTGGCTTCTCGAAGGAAGCGGGAAGATGTAGCGTGCAGATGGTCGATGCTAGGCGCATACACCACGAGCTTGATGCTACTTCTCCGAGGGAAACTCTAGTAGTCAAAGGTAGTTAATGGCTCGGTTGAGCTCGCATGAGCTCTGGATGAGGAGATAGCGGCCGCCATTCGATGACATAGCTGTCAACGCTGGTACACCATCGCGCCATGGATCTGTCGCGACCTTTGCGACTCGGGCCGCAGCAAGCTGTTGGTTGCGCGCACGACTTCTGTGATGACATGGGAAGCTGGCTTTGAACGAGCTTAGGGAAACGCTAAGTAAACGCTCCACTCCATTCAGCACGGACTCGCGGCATGTTAAGCGAGTCCTGCACGACTTCCACGCTAGTTTCTTCCTCTAAGGTCTTTTCCGCGTCTGCATGCACCCTCAACCTGCAAACTGTTTTATTCATGCAACAGCCGGCGAGTCTTCGAAGCATAAATCAGGGGCCCCCACCTTACTCGGAACATCGGACCAGGCGTATACCATCTTGCCCTAGCCCTGACATTGTTTGACAGCTTTGCCAGCTTGTGGGTATCAGAAAGACTATACACCTCCCGAGGTCGTCATCTGCCTCCTACGGTTCGAGATTCGGGACGCACACTAGGCGTTCATCGGCCCGGGCTGATTTAGAACTTTGAAGTTTTGCAACTCGCAACGACGCAACGAGCGGCAAAGCCATCCGTTGGTCGCCAAGGGTAGGGCTCGGCGACTACTTCCTCCTCATGCCTCTATCCTGGCATTAACTTAAGCCTTCCCATCCGACTCCCGATGGGGCTGCAGCATCGATGGCGGCCAAGAGATTGAGGAGCGATTCGATATCGCCTCCACGACTGAAACGCACGAGACAGGGCGATGGCAGTTCGCCGGTGCCGCACGCTCTGACGATTTATTCTTGGAATATCAATGGAGTCGGTCCATTCTTACAGCCAGCAATCTCTTCCTTCTTTCCGAACCCAAACGATAAACAATCACCGTCAGGCATCAATGCCAACCTAAGAGACGTGCTCCGAAAGTATGCTTGGCCCACCATGTTGCTTCTTCAAGAAGTCAAGATTCATCCTCAAGACATGGCTACTCAGCGGGCGATTGAGAAGGCCGTCATGCCCCGCGCCAAGACATTGCCCGACGAGCCAGCCTACAAGGTCCACTTCTGCTTGCCGAGAGACAAATTCAACGCGCGCGGCTTCGGTCGGAAGATATACGGCGTGTGCACAATCATCCGGGAGGACTACTATGACGAGTGTGTGGAGCGGGTTCGCGACTGCGAATGGGACGGCGAGGGCCGTGTATTGATTTGTGAGACGAGAGCCGTCGGTAAGGTGCCGAAGCTTGCGATTATTAATCTGTATGCGGTGAATGGCACGGAGCGACCTTATCGAGATTCTGAGACCGGACAGATCATTGGCACTAGGCACGATAGGAAGCTTCAAGTTCACATGCTGTTACAAGCTGAGTGTCGTGAGCTAGAGGCGGACGGATTCCGTGTCATTCTTGCTGGGGACATGAATATAGCTAGAACACCGTTGGATGGCTATCCCTCGCTCCGTGAACACCCGCGCCAACACTGCATCAATCGAGCAGACTTCGAAGCAAGATTCTTTGGCACGGGTAGAAGTGCAGAAGACTCCAGCAAAAGTGAGGTCGACCATGGATTGGGCATGATTGATAGCTTCCGGCATTTGTATCCCCGCAGAACGGGCTACACTCACTATCCAAGGATAAGTGGAAAGGCTTTCGGGTCGAGTTGCGATCGAGTTGATATGATCCTGGTCTCACGGCAACTGAAAATGTACTTGACGGAGGCTGGAATGCACGAGACTGCTGCTGATAGGAGCTCAAGTGATCATGTCCCATTGTTTGCCACTTTGTCATTCGAAAGAGATCCAAATGGTGCTCCTTGATGATACGGAGGACGCGATATTTTGACAGATGTGTATATGTACCCTGACGTTGCAGGCTGTCTAGGATATGGAGATACTGTCGTACAGAATGCAGCTCAAATTTATTCAATTTGACTGCCATCCATGTCGTGCGAGGAGTAGCTTGATCAAGGCGTTGAGGAACTCACTTTGACTCTAGCGAATATGCCGAGCCGCGGCTGAATGAGTCCATCTGCCATTCTGGGGCCGCGCGCATTCTCATTTGGCTTGAGTTGCTGTAATGTATTGAGGCCTCTGACTAGCCTCAATCTGATGGCTCGAGAACCGCTCCGGCAACATCAAGTTGACTCGTTTCGACCTCGCCGAGACCATTGCAGGCTGGCAATTATGAACGGCCGATTCAGCGTAGGGAATGAGCAGCTTTCTGGCGCATCCGAGCCCCTTAAGCTTCGCATCCATCTAGAAAACTTTGATCGGATGCGATCAAGGAGCGTTTGAGGGCATGGCTCATCGAGACACCTGGGCAGTAACGACGTCTATGATGGCTCGGAAGGCCTCCATTTCCTCATCTACGCTTCCGCCTCCAGCCGCACCAGAGAGATTGACACTGCTGCCAACATAACAGGGCATGTTCAGTCGACGGGCAAGTACTTTGGCCAGACGTGTCGAGAAGTCAAGCGAGGAGGGATTGGTATAGATGGCAGTGCTCATTGGCTGTGTAGGATTGTACCTCTGTTCATGGTATCAGTCGAGCGCTGGCTATGATGAAATACATCGATACTGACGTCCGGGAGCCCATAGACAAAGCTACCCATAGCTGCGGCGCCCTGGCCAGCATCTGCACTGCTGCTCGTCAAGAACAGCAAAATTGAGTTGGCAAGCACTGTGAGCCGTAGATGCACCCGCAAACCTGGGCTATGCGGGAGATTGACGGCGAGCTCGACCGACTTGCTCTCGSTGTGAGCTCCGTTTGTAACAGGCCCACTGGCAGCCATTGTAAAGTTGTCGTGATGGTGTCGGTTTGAAGTCGCTTCGACGGTGCCTTGGTGAAGTGGAGAAAGGTGGAGCCCTGCCCGCAAAGTCAGCAGTCAAAACTTCGACAACCTGCATCCGAGGATCGACACACTCCACCTTTCCATAAAACCACAATGGACGAAGAGGCTGTGAGAACAGATAATAATGATCCTCTTGCCGACCTCGAGGAGAAGCGAGTACTCAGTGCGGCATTGGACTCCTTCTGGTATGTTGTAATCAGGTAGTAGCAAGAAGATTTCTCACCCCTTGGACATCAGGCAGTATCGCCGCGCTGCGCATTACAACATCACTCATTTACGTCGTCAATCTTTCTATTCCCTACCTGCTGCGCAGATTGAGTTGTTGTCATCGCCACCGTTCTCAATCCCCAAAACATTCGACGCCGTGGACAAGGCCATCGACGCAAACGCAGACATAGCGGACGCAATCTTGGCAATAGGAATCCCATCCTTTGGACTGCACCCTCAAGACGAGACATGGAAAGGTACTGCTGGCCCACATGACCTTGATAAAGCACGTTCCACCATCAGGCAACTGTACAGAGATTGGTCCGCAGAGGGTTGCCCAGAACGCGCGGCGTCGTTTTCGCCGATATTGACGGCTCTTGGCGAATATCTGCCAAAAGTGTCTCCTGCTCAGCGTCATCACCAACGAGTACTTGTTCCGGGAGCTGGACTGGGCCGCCTGGTGTTTGAGATCTGTGCTGCAGGCTACGATGTCGAGGGAAACGAGATCTCATATCATCAATTGCTCGCGTCGAACTACATCCTGAACAGTGTGGGAGACGTGGGAATGCACGCCCTTTATCCTTGGGCTCTCAACTTTAGCAATCACCACACCAGAGATAATCAGCTGCAGCGTGTAGCCATCCCTGATGTGCAACCAGCCGCAACCTTGATGGCAGCACAGGCTGAAACACAATCGGAAAAGCCTTATAGCGAGCGAATGGCCATGACTTCGGGCGACTTCTGTGTACTCTATCGAGAGACTGCATACATCGACACCTTCGATGCAGTCGCTACTTGTTTCTTCATTGATACCGCACCAAATGTCATCAGTTACATCGAAACAATCCTTAGCTGCCTGAAGCGAGGTGGACTATGGATCAATCTTGGACCTCTGCTGTGGCATTTTGAATCAGCGCCCACCCCAGCGGAACGTGACAAGCAGCGTGGTAGGGTACCGTCACAGCATGCTCACAGCCACGGCAATGACGGCATTGGAGAGCCAGGTTCGATCGAATTGTCCAACGATGAAGTAATCGCTGTTGTTGAAAGACACGGCTTTGAGATGCTGGAGCATAGATCCGTCGGAGGCACAGGTTACATACAGGATTCAGCAAGCATGTTGCAGAATGTCTATCGACCAATGTTTTGGGTAGCTAAGAAACTGTGAGATCAGAAGGAGATGAGTGTAAATTCGATGTCAATGATGAGTTGGTAGGTAGTTGATATTTTGTGCTTTGCTCATACCAATAGTAATACTGATATTGTCATCATTCGAATTTGGCAATAATATTTGTTTGCCCTGAAATCGCTTTCGCATGTGAAACTTCTTAAGGCCGTAAGGTGAAGTATTTCGTACCTACCTCGGCTTCGTCGCTTCGTCGCGCCGCGCGCAGGCCGTCCAGATGACCCAGCAGAGCAGGGCCATGCGGCCGACAGCAGGGAGTAGATGAAAAGTTGACGCGATCGCAACGTCTTGCTTCATTAAAGACTCACCACTCCCTCTCCTGTGTCACTCCTGCAAGTATGAGCCACCCGACGTTAATCAAGCCACCACCTCCGTCTGAAAACCGAGCCCCGATCGAGGATGTGTTGGAATTGACACATCTGAACGCAATCGACCCAACTCTCTTCACGAATACCCGACCGCTATGGCATCCACCGGGCGCAAGAGGCATCTATGGCGGTGCAGTCATCGCCCAGTGTCTTGCGGCGGCCCAGAAAACAGTTCCTGAAGACTTCAACGTGCACAGCATGCATTGCTACTTTGTTTTGAATGGCAACTCGGAACTACCAGTCATTTACACCGTGGAGAACGTGCGACAAGGGAGATCATTCGCGACGAGGACCGTTCAAGCACGACAGCGTGGCCAGCCAATCTTTACCGTGACTCTCAGCTTCATGCGGGAAGGATCAGGTGGAAAGCAGACCGTAAGCCACGCAGCCAACATGCCGGATTTGAAACCACCAACAGAGGAGGAGCCAGTGGACATGCTTCGAGGTGGAAATTCGCCATTTGTGCAGCAAATGGTAGACATCAAGAACAATGACAGCCCGAACCCACACGAAAAGCGTACGAGACTATGGATAAAGGCACGGGGTAGGATCAGCGAGGAAGGGGGCCACCAGGCACATTTGTCAGCTCTGGCGTACATGAGTGTAAGGAGAAGGTTTCCGCAGCAGGGCAGAGCAAGACGCGCTGACATGCATCTCACTAGGACTCGTACTTCATTGGCACGGTTGCCCGCGTTCACAGATTATGGCGATATACTCAAGTACCCAAGACTAATGAAAAGGGCGACACCAAAGATCTCATCACCAGCGATGTGCTTGAGAAACTAAAGAAGATGGATCTGGAGACCTTGAAGCGTGTATCAGGATTAGACGATGACATGATCAATCAAATTCAAAGTCTCGAGGTCAAAGATGGAAAAGTGGTGGGTCTGAAGGAGAAGACGACACCCAAGAGTATTGGGATGATGGGTATGCAATATGGAGACTTTCAACTCGTGCTGATCATCTCACTGACACGTTTGTTTTCTTTCAGTCTCGCTCGATCACTCGATCTACTTCCACAGTCCGAGGGACTTCCGCGCCGACGAATGGATGGTAGCAGAGTCAGAGACACCTTGGGCCGGTGATGGCAGAGGGCTTGTGATGCAGAGAATTTTCTCCAAGGACGGAAAGCTCATTGCATCTTGTGTTCAGGAGGGGGTGGTACGTCTCAAGCAGGACTCGAAGCTATGAAGTATTCGTGTGTAACYATAGGCGGGACCTTGAACTTACGATAGCACGATACACCTCAAACAAGACTGTCTAGATATCACAACTCTCTGCGGTGACATTATACGGTCCTTGCTGCATATGTCGTGAATAAGGGGTACCTTTGCTCAAGTTCCATGCATTTCATTCAAACATCATCAATGCTGCCGTCAATGTCCAATCGATACAGTTGATATGGTTTTGCGCCCCAGGGCACGTCACTCAACATGAAAGATGACTCCAGAGTAAGGCAGTGGAGATCCCTGTCGTCCCACCAATTTGCCTTGCCCCGCATCGTCACAGGCAAAAAATAAGTCCCCACATGGAGTTGGTTTGCGCTGTGACTCTTCCGACCGCTTTTCATTTGCACTTGATTCTGATCTTGCCCATTGTACTTTTGTCTCTGGAACACACTCATCCAATTCAACTTCACAATGCCGATGTGAGTATGTAGCCATGGAATGTGCGAAGCTTGTCTAACAGCAGTACCAGGCTCAAAGATCCCTCCAAAAAGTACCGGAAGTTCAAGCCGCTCGACATTCCCGACCGCCAATGGCCCTCCAAAACCATTGAAAAAGTACCACGATGGCTTGCGACCGACCTGCGAGACGGCAACCAATCCCTTGTCGATCCCATGGACGGTGACCAGAAATGGCGATTTTTCCAGATGCTGGTCAAGCTCGGATACAAAGAGATTGAAATCGCCTTCCCGAGCTCAGGCAATGTTGACTATGACTTTGTCAGAAGGCTGGTCACGACTCCAGGCGTCGTCCCCGACGACGTGTGGTTGCAGGTACTTTCGCCCTGCCGGAAAGAGCTGATTCGGCGCACAGTGGACAGCTTAAAGGGCGCCAAAAAGGCAATTCTTCATTTGTATCTCGCTACGAGTCCTTGCTTCCAGCAGATTGTGTTCGGAATGACCAATCAACAGAGCAAAGAGCTCGCTGTGGAGTGCACCAAATACGCGCGGTCCATCACCAAGGACGATCCGAACTCTGGCGTGGAGGAATGGGCATACGAATTCTCCCCGGAATGCTTTTCGGACTCGGATCCAGAATTCGTGATTGAAATCTGTGAGGCCGTCAAAGCTGCTTGGGAACCGAGCGAACAGAATCCCATCATCTTCAACCTACCAGCGACGGTGGAAGTGGCCACACCGAACGTCTACGCGGATCAGATTGAGTACTTCTGCCGCAACATTTCGGAGCGTGAGAAGATTTCTGTATCTCTCCATCCCCACAACGACAGAGGATGTGCAGTCGCAGCAGCAGAATTGGCACAAATGGCAGGCGCCGACAGAGTCGAAGGCACGCTGTTCGGGAACGGTGAGCGTACGGGAAACGTGGATCTGGTTACTCTTGCTCTCAACTTGTACACTCAGGGAATCCATCCCGGCATCGACTTCTCCGATATCGAGAGCGTCATCGACGTGGTGGAGAAGAGCAACAAGATTCCAGTCAATCCTCGCGCACCATATGGTGGACAGCTGGTGGTGTGCGCGTTCTCAGGTTCCCACCAAGATGCTATTAAAAAGGGCTTCGCGAAAAGGGATTCGGAGAATGCAGACGACAACACGCCCTGGAACGTGCCCTACCTCCCATTGGACCCACAAGATATCGGTAGAACATACGAAGCAGTAATTCGCGTGAACAGTCAGTCGGGTAAAGGGGGTGTTGCATGGATCATCAAGCGTACCCTTGAATTGGATCTACCTCGTGGTCTGCAAGTCGCCTTCTCGAAGATTGTCCAAGCCGAGACTGACAAGCTCGGCCGGGAACTGCTATCAACGGAGATCAAAAAGTTGTTCGTCACAGCATATCACCTCGAACAGAATCCACGCTTCTCCCTCGTCGACTACGAAATCTCAACCGATCGTGCCGAACCCGCTGCTCAGAATGTGGATGGCAAAACCGTCTCGAACAGGAATCTGGGTCGCAGGTTCAAGGGACTTATCGAAATCGACGGGCAAGAGCATGCCGTGGAGGGCGTGGGCAACGGTGCTCTCTCCGCGCTTGCAAATGCCATGAAGAATGTCGGCATCGACCTCGATATCACCGACTACAAGGAGCACTCCATCGCCAAGCAGGCAGGAAAAGGCCGTGATGTGCAGGCGGCAACGTACATAGAATGTACGACGTCAGGCTCGCAGCAGAAAGTCTGGGGTGTTGGTATACATGAAGATGTTGTCCAGTCCTCTCTTTTCGCTTTGCTCGGTGCAGCGTCCTCGGTAACCATTCACTCCCATACATGACGTCCTTTACCCGGCTGACCCTCTTGTATAGTTCCTATCTTCAAGACCCAGTTCTCCGGTACCCTTCAGACCRAAGCGATCAAACACGCAATCGTTGGACCTCTCGCCGGATCTCAGCGCCYAGCAGCAAGCCTTGAATGGTGCACCGGACAGTGCACCGGATGCGCAGGGTAGCATTGCTGCYACACTTGATGCGAGTGTAAACGGAAGCTGAGGTATGCATATGTGCAGCTCTTTAGATATTGATGCAGCAAAGCGGGCATGAGCGTTAGCCATCAGGTGCCAGACGGCATGTAAAAGCACGTAATTCTTCCACCCATCCATGAGTTCCTCACCATTCCGTTTTACTACTGCAAGGCTTGTCAAACGCGTTCCACAGTACGTTCATCGGTCGATGTTCTGCGGTCGTTGGCCGCCGACATGGGGTTCGTTTGGTGAAAGAAGTCTCAGAGTACACCAGTATTTGCTCAGCTCTATGAACCCAACGATTGTCCGAAAAGTCGCTGGGTCTTCCTCATCAGCAGAATAGCGACCGGAACGCATGGAGACATGATGAGACGAGGGATCTCGTCGGATCCTGTTACCAGGGGGAGCCCCATGATTCACAAATTCGCCGGCCGCGCGGAGAAAAATGACCTCTGCCCAAAATTTCAGCAGGACTTCGATACTTTCACCTCACCGGAGATCCCTCGTAAAGATAGCTCTGCATATTCCACTGACCTTTCGCAAATGGAATTCGCAAGTCGTAAAAGGGGTAAGAAGAACGCGCGAAGTCAAAAATCGAAAGAGAATGCCTCTCTCAGCCAACTTTTGCCAATGGAAGCATGTCTCTGCTATTGCTTCAGGCATTTTTCTCACCTGGGCTCCAGCAGGAAGCCAAATTCGAGCGGTGCTCTCGGGTGCGGGAGGAAAGTCATTTGACGGCTCCTGTGGTATCCGGACGAATAGGAGCCTTTCAGGAACCTAGCGACAATCTCTGGGACGCAATACGAGCTGCAGTGAGAGGCTAAATTTAATCAATGCCGTCAACTTAGTTGAACTCGCAATTGRTCGCGCTGCGTCTTCAGCACGTGGCGGCCTTGGGCTCCTGGTCTTGGGCATTGGCTCTTGGATTTCTGCCAACCTGATGATCAGACGTGTGCCTCTTGATCAGCTCTTCTCCCCCCGAATCACACCTTGCTTCACGCTGAGAGATTGATGGTCAATATCATCCTTTTGATTTCGACGGTGAACTGAGCAGATAATCACTCGCTTTTGATTCTGGTTGTCCTGTTGCTGCCTTGGTAGAGGCGATGGTTCCATTCTCTGTTCCTTATTAGTAGCGTGCTCGAGCAGACCGTCATCAGTGGAGCCTAGCTACCATGCAGCCTTGCCTGACGTATGATCAACGATGATCGTCACATCACATGTCGTCTCTAGACATCGCTGATCTGTAGCTTGAATCGCCCTGTTGCTCAACTATCTGTGACTGTACCGAAAGGATCAGCTCTCGGTCAAATCGTTCTACTCTCGCAGTCTATCGTTGAATGTGCTGCGAGAACATCGCCAACACAAGCATCAAAGTAAGGACGAGCGATTTGACCGCCATGGTGCTGGATGAGATGAGACCGCGCCATATTTGGGCGGTTCGGTCGATGATGATGTGGCCGTCTTGTCAATGTGAAAGCTTGGTATTGCATCGCGCACTTGAACGGACGTTCGTGAGCTTCTCGCTATGAATTACATGGTGTGTTGGGCGGCGCGGACGTGTCGAAGGTTTCACGGATCCCGTTCAACATGCCACTMACTCCTTGCCTGGTCTGCACATGCAAGACTGGAGGATCAATAATCAGACCGCATGTCGTTAAGGACGAGATCGGATAACAAGGGCAGCGGAACTCCAAGCCATGCCACGTTGAAAACGGACCCTTGTATGCCGTTAGGTAAGTCTTTTGGCTCTTCCAAATCTTCCGTGCCGTGCATACTGACATTGGAGGGGAAGCAAAAGAGCACGGCAATCTTGGGAAATCTGCCCTGGCTCTCTCCGGGATCATACAACTGGCTTTCAGCGATGTGAGTCGTTCATTTCGTGCTGGTCAAGGAGCCGAAGGCTGGTGTCAATAATCCGACATGATGTAACTGCTGAGGTCCTCTGTGGATACTCTCATCACTCACATCGAAATGGTACAGTAGTAGCATCGAAGTGATCCGACTTTCATTCCAGCACCTTGGCCTTCGACTTCGGGACCACATTCTGATTAGTATTTGAGCCGACAGGTGTCGCTCCGTTGCTAGCCCGGCGGCTTCGGAGCAAAACTTCTCACACACGAGCTGATTGAAGGCTGCCAAGATTGCGGCGAGCTCAACTGGTCGACTCTGATCAGCCGGCGGATCATTTCCCTTGTCTGGGCAGCTCCAATAGCCTAGTAGATTACGACTTGGTGCCGGTTCCGTCTGGCCAAAGCTCCACGACTTGGAAATGTGGCGGCGTCTGGCAGGTCTGGCAGGCTTCATTCCATTCACGGCAATCTGGCAGATAGCTCGACTCCACGATAGTATGATATGTTGAAGAAACTGGGCGTACCGAAATTCCGGGTGCCGTGCTTCATCATCCTTTCAACAGACCCATTACTCACTAGCGGTTCAAAGTGATGAAAACACGACGCGGTGCTTTCGTTGATGTCTGTACAAACTTGATTGGACACGTGCTTGCAAAGACTTGGTTTTCGCAATCGATGCTTCGACACTGACTGGAGGTGTGAAAGCATCGATTCGCGACTCGGAGACTGTTTGGCCGTCAACCAAACGACTTGCATTCCTTGTCTGTACCATCTCGGTTCAACTCACCGTCTCAGGAGTCAAGCCGGCAGTGGGCACTAGAAGGCATATAGTGGCGACTCCGCTATGTGGCATGTGCTAAAGTCAATCTGTCCCAAAAATAGCAGCCGACGATCTGGTGTTGAAAGTCGTAGCGTGGAGGTAGCATCATTATTCTTCTGGAAGGCTGCCACTGACTCTGTGGCCATGTTGTTTGGAGATCTGCGGCGAAGCGGAGGTCGGAAGTGAAGCGATGTCGAAACCGGATTCGTCCGGTCGAACACGTTCGAGCGAAGGAAAGAGGGCGACCGTCGTCGCGCAAATTTCGCAGCGGTGCTCACAATTCGAGGCAGAAGTCTTTCATCGAGTCGTCTTATTGTTGTCTCCCTTTGAACTATGTGTATCGTCTGCATATGCCTGTAGGCCGGCCTTATCTGAAGCCTAGGGCGTCCACGATAATGATCGCACATCAAGGAGTAAGTAAGGTAGAGTGGGTACTGATCGCGCATCGGCAGTCGGCAGCTACCTAGGTAGGTAAGGGATACCTTAGGTAAGGTAGCGGCAGTCGATGCGATTTATTAACAAGCCGGAAGCCGAGAATGATCTTTCCATGAAGATTGCAGGTGTTCTCACCGACCGCCGGCGTGAAAGTGTCTCCGGTTCCGGAACCATACCTTCCATGGCCACGACAGCGGGCGAGCAATACGTAGGAGTATCACTGCCCAAGTGGGCTAGAAATACGTCAAACTGCACGAAGTCGCAGACGCAAAACAAGTTGTTGACAGTCAGCCGTTGATCCGATGGAAAGGGCGCTCCGACTCGTTAGCAGCACGGGAAAGTCGCTTGTAGTGAGCGACTCCATCATGATTGGTGGGAGAACAACGGCGAGACACTTTCTGCAGATCGACTTTCAACTTTTTCGCAAGCGACGCTGTGATGCACAAAGATGCCCGGTAATACCTAACTCTAGGGAGTGCTCTCAAAATAGCCCGCGCTAATGCAAGTCGTGGATCCTTCCCGCGTGGTGGCGGCCGCCGCTAGAGTGACATGACCACAAACCATGCGGGTTGCGCTGAACAGCCGTGCTCTGACGGCCCCGGGCCATGGCAAGCTGACCAGATGGCCGGGCGTTGGCCTCCGGTGTCATGTCAGACCAGGGGAACCATCGAGACGGCGACAAGAGTGTTGCGGTGAAGCGACGCCAGCGGTCACCGTTCCTGCAGCAGTCCCCGAGGCATAAGCAGTGCAATGCAACCTACAACCTTGGTCCTTCCAAAAGGTTGCATGCATTGGATGATCTTCTGCACGGCGTTTGGGGTCTTGCAGTGTGAAGTGGAGCGCTTTGGGCAAGGCTGGCCCTATTGGGCAGTGGGCGTCCGCCTTTGAGCTATGGGAGCTCGCCGCGTGGGAGGTGGTAGTGGCAGGATGGCAGCGTAGCGTTCGTAGCGCGGGGATGGCGTGTGTCCGACTCGTGTGAGTCTTGTCAGATTTAGCGAGACCGAGTGCACGGCGAAAGCTTCTAYTTGGACGCCAGCCGACTCTGCATGGGGCGATGTCATACCCTCCCCAAAAGGCCCGTCCGCGCTTTAGTCTCTCAGGCACTCACGAGACAGGGTCCTGAGAAGCCATCGCTTTTCTACCTTAGCTCTTCATGGCTATTTCGAGATTTTTCGAAGTGCAGGTCGTCGATACCACACCCACCATACCTTCTTGACCCCCATTGGTCTCGGACCCAGACAAGTGCCGCACCGGCCTCAGTACATAGGAGTTATTAGTCGGACCCTCTGACACGCTTCACCATTTCTCGCTATACAACACTCATCGCCGCGGACTATTTGCCTACCTTACGMTCGCTTTCTGGAACGACACTCCACATTCGCTACCGATCTACTTCATCTTGGAAACTTTGTTGCAAGCAGCGCTCATACTAAACCCACTCGTGTTTGCTTGAAGTTGGACTTAGCATCGCATTACATCGCCAACCTTTCCTGCGCGTCAGTCGAGTAGACTGATCCGAAACCGTTACCTGCACGCAGCATCGGAGATACCCCACACCACCTCATACTACAAGCCAGCTCATATCCGCGGCACATCTTGCTTCTGACCCTCCTTCCGGAATGGCAGGACAAGGGACTGGTCCTTCACGAAGGAGTCACACAAAGAGTCGCAAGGGCTGTAAGACTTGCAAACGAAGACACATTCGTTGCGACGAGACATTTCCTCAATGGTTCGTGGGATTTCAATGACCGTCAGATCTCGTTCTAACGTTTGCGGCAGTCGCAATTGCACCAAGCACCAAGTTCGTTGCGACTACATGGAGAATGCCGGGACGGAGTCTGATGGCCAGCAAAGTCCCGAACAGCCTTCGCTCGTCTTCACACCTGGGACCGAGAGTCGGATCGACCAATGGCAACAGACAGGAAGCTTTCCGTATCCGGGATTACAGGTCTTTCCGCCGCCGCAAACACACGAGTACTCAAAGACCGAACTCCGCCTCATGCACCATCTCTCCACCATCTCCAACGACATGATGTCGAAGGGAACATCCGACTTTACGTTGTGGACGCAGAAAGTGCCCAAATTCCTCAGCATCGCATCCTCCTATCCATATGTCATGCATGCGTTGCTCTCGTTCTCGGCCAACAACCTTGCCTGGAGCCAATCGTCAGATGACATACGAAATCTACACATTCAGCATGGGACTATTGCACTACGCGGGCTCCACGAGGCGATTGGCGACTTTTCCCATACGAATGCAGATGCGGTGCTGGCGGCGTCCTTGTTGCTGCTCTGGCAGGCAACAGACTGGTGAGTTGATATCGAGATGGGCATTGCGTTCTACAGATCAGCTGATACTACAAGCGCAGGCGTAGTTGGTCCTCACTGCGCGCGGGCATACAGTCGGTGCTGCTGGCGATKAAATCTTGGAACCACGAGTCGATCTTCGCCGAGTACATTAATGAGGAGGATCTAGCCGTCACTTTCCAACAGCCAGGCATACAACCCGTCGCAGCGTCGCCGTCCGATCGCGAGTCAATTCTCGGAAATGTCGTCCAAGCGTTGCAACAGCTACTGCAGAGCCTCTCGTCGCACGAAGCAGAATCATACTGGGTTGGGCAGCTTCTTTCATATATGCAGCGCCTGCAGGCCTCTACGCCAGCAGGTGACCCTGACGAGCAGTTCAGTCACCTGTATCTATTGAGGAAGTGGCTCTTCTGGGTTCCGACCTTATTGCTCCAGCGACAAGGCGGTCAAGGACCAGCAATGCTCACACTTGCGCACTTCTACGCCACTGCCCTCGCATTGGAGCCCCTATACCCAGCCTTGGGCTCTGTGTTCTGTGCACGGATTGCTCTTCCTCCACTCGAGTCAATTATCGGCGTGACAAGCGCAATGCATTCGAATATGATGGATCAGAACGCTGCGGAGATTGCGACACTCATGAACTACCCCCGACACATGGCGATGAACTTCAGGAGCAGGGTCCCTCACAGCCAGGGTGGAGTGAATCAGAACTCTCCAACTTTTCCCAGCCTCAACTCTCAAACTTTGGACTACACCAGCATCGGTAACACGAGTCCGGCATTTGCGCCATCATCTCTTCATCCGTCGGCCGGCCAAACGCCAACATTGCCTTCATCCTATCTCGAAGTTCCGAATTTGCAAGCAGCGGGTTTCACGCTCGGGACGCAGCAATGGGGAATCTTGCCCTCCCCTGGTTTTCCACCTCAGGAATACACGGAGCAAGAGCAGACCTATGCATACTCTATGGTCGGTTTCCGCGACGGGTTCGTGGCTCCTATTATTTGGACTTGACAACTGGGTCCAAGCTAAATCRTGTTTCCAGGACTCATAACAACTCTTCCGGGGAGGGATTTCCCGACTATCAATGAGATGGATTGTCATGCTGTACGCGATGCAAGACAGCTGGCTCCTCACGCTCTTCATTACAGTGTGGATCACTTGTGCATATCATGTAGCTGGAAACAGCATTAGCGGATTGTGATGATGAAACGACTTTCTTTGGATCTCTTGGTGCATTTTGGTCATGAGCGGCATTGGCATAAGGACGTCACTTCTGGAGGCAACACATACGGCAGGATCGTGAGCTATCAAGGAGTAGATATGAGAAATTTGAGACGTGGACATTTGTGGCAGAGAACACAATTCCAAAACGATCAATTCAGCCAAGACTCATCTTACTGCCGCACTCGGTAGGTTTGTTATGTTTTCAGTTCGGCGTCGTCGTGGCCATGCATTGGGGTAGGATGGCTCTTGCCGATATCCTTAAACTGCTTGTATGGAATTTTCCATGGCGAAGAGGTGAAAGTGGGTTCGTCTGAAATATTGAAGGGGTAGGCTCGACCACACGTTGAGTTCTTTCCGTTCACACCTTGTTGTATGGCCATTTGCACTTTGTTGTGTTTTTGGTGGCTCTGCTGTTCTACCGTAATCTCAAAGTTCCCTGACTTTCATGCTGTTGAGTCTTGCAATCCTCTCAACTCCTCTCACATAAATCTCAGAGTAAGGAGATTTCCCAACCTTGTCTTTCTCGATTCTTCTACTTCTACTCCACATGGCCTGACAACTTTCGAATGGGTTGACGGTGTCTGGAAAGACCACGGTTGACGACCAGTGGCTACCCCAACCCTAACCCTGATGCGACTCCAGATGCCCCGCGCCATGACAAGGGACATGAATTAGATCCACGATCGAGGAACAACCCTAGAATCGAACGACCTAGATTACATGTAACCAGCCCTAAAATCGAACGGCCTGGATCATTCGGTCATACATGGATACATATCTCCGTAGCGAACGCGCGTACGCTCCGATGAGATGAGAACAGGAAAAACACCATCCWATCAGCCTTGGATGATACTTTGACAATCTTAGCCGGCAAGTCACGATGCAACAAGGTCTCCGCGTATAGGAGTGCAATCCGCAACCTGGGTTGATACAGTAAGAAGCTGGGCCAGCCCACTCTCAAGGATAACAGGACTGTCGATCTGCCACGTGGAGAGGCTGTAAAATTGTAAATGACGCTGGTATCGAATGGTCGTACCTTTACCCGAGCTCCCACAATGCTTCAAGTCCCGACATCGTCCGGGACCACCTGGTGATCACGTCGTCAGCACGGCATGTAGCGGTTGTCACTCTGCCGTCGACAATCGGTTGATATGGCCATCATGCCGCGTGACAAAATTTGGCAACGACATCTTCCAACTTCGCCATCATCTGCTTCTTCCGCGTCTCACTACACCAGCTACCCTGAATGCTGTTCTGGCAGATTGCCRTCCACTCCGTAATGCTGAGTTTGAACGCTTCCTGCACCGCACAAAAATTGTCCAATATGTAGTTCCCGCCGAAATAAGCGGGATCATCGCTGTTGATCGAGAACGGCACCCCGGCATCGAGAAACCGGCGTACAGGCAGCTCATGTACCTTGGACACGCATTTGAGGAACACGTTGCTCATTGGACACACCGTGAGCATTGTTCCTTGCGCGGCGACTCGCTTCAGCAATGCTGGGTCTTCGGCGAGTCGTATCCCATGGTCTATTCTCTCGACGCCCAGATCATCGAGAGCGGATGCGATGTAAGTTGGTGGTCCCTCTTCGCCAGCATGAGCTGTTAGCCTCAATCCCGCGATTTTGGCATTTCCATAAATCGTGGTGAAAAGGTTCGGCGGGAATCCATTCTCACTGGAATCCAGGCCGATGCCAATGATATCGCCACGCTGGAAGCTCGCCTGTATTTCTGCCAGGTCGAAAGTGGAAGCACATTCTTGCGCCGGCAGGTGTCTCAAAAGACAGAGGATTAGCTCTGAAGTTATACCAAGATCAATCTCAGCTCGTTTGCGTGCGGCTAGGAAGCCAGCCAAAACAACGTCAAATGTAACGCCCCGGGATATGTGTGCCTGCGGATCGAAAAAGCCTTTCAAAAGTGTCAGTATACGTAGACTCAGCTTGAAGGTTTTCGAGGTCTCCCTCGAGATTTTATTACAGCCAACATACATTCGGCATGCAGCACTCCGTCTCTAGCAGCATGCTCAAAGTAATCCCACGCAAGAGCTTCAAAGTCTGATGACTCGATGAGAACACTCATGCCGATATAGTAATAGTGGAGGACTGTAGGTGTTGCGTCAGCCTCGTATATGCATTCCAAAGTGTGGGTAATGGGACATACAATCGTCGAGTGAAGTGAAGTTTTGGTATCTCCTGTGCAGCGCCTCTGGCGAGAGGAAGGCATCATCATCCGTAGGGAGCTCGATTGCGTTCTTCTTCGCGAGCTTGAAAAGGAGATCTGGTGTTAGAGCGCCCTCCAGATGTATGTGGTGTTCGCACTTGGGAAGCGACGCCAACAACGTGTGGAAAGAGTCTTGACACATGCTTGAGTTGAACACGAAAGCCAATCTGGAAGTCCTACCAGAACAGTTTGTTTGGAAGTATGTCGAGGTACGAAAAGCTACCTTTTTGATTAACACTGCAACAACATCTTCCTCAACTGGGCTTGACAAGATACCGGCCGTCTCCGCCCGAAAACGATGTTCTTCTATAGGGAACGCCTCCACGCAGTCATGAGGGACTGCAAGAAGAGGACCAGCTCAAATATCACTGGAAGTAGGACGGATCTTACGCGTAACGCAGGAGACGCGGCAAACAAACCAATAATCGTCTGCGGGAATATCTCAAGAGTGATGATGCTCACCCCAACCAGCCGGATGGCACGCCAAGAGTGATAGGCGGCGGATGGAATAGCGTGAGACGATTGTGCCTTTTCTTCAGGAAACGGCGGCAAAAGCGGCTAAGCGAGGAGCATCTCAAAATTTCGATTGGCGAATCTTTCGTGTCATCCATCGAAATTGATGAGACCCACGTTTCTTGGAACACGTGGATAGGCGCCACAGTCCTGAATTCATTAAGATCTAAAATTTGAGACATCCCAGCTCGCCAGTACCTCCATAGCTCCGCCGAAACAGCAAGACCACAGACTGCCGAGTAGCCGAGCGTCTCGGCGTGATTCCAGTGCAAGGAGCACGGAGCACAGAGGAACGTCGATCGCCTTGCCACGCTTCGTCGGGCCACTCCGCGTAKGCGGATAGTTCCAGATCCACGTAGAGAACCGCGCCGGCTTCATCCCCGAGCTCAAGTTACCAAACCGCGGGACGTGGCGACCATGCAAGTCATCACAGTCTTCCTCTGTCCATTGGAATTCTTGTCCTTCTGTGCAATCAACGAAAGGGTGCAGAGCTGGGAAGAGTCCTCTTGTGCTTAGAATGCGCTGTGTCGGCAGCCCTGGGACCCGGGCCGGAGGAAAAGTCTAGATGCATTTCTACTCCAATAGAACGAAACAGAGCGCCCGCTTGCTCGCGTGTCACTAGCGTGGGCGCATTGAACTCCGTCTTCGGGTAAGAGGCTCGTTTGGTGCAATGCGAAAGCTGCCGTGACCAGCGCAAGTCCACGAGAACCGCTCGTATCTGTCACCCGCTCGCAGGCCGGGAAGAATGCTGATGAAAATCCGTGACCAACATGCCACAGCAGCCCACGCGAGGGACGTCGATCATTCTAAAGCAGCCGGACGAAGACTGCGTGCATCCTCGGCACCGCTGTCGCTCCACTGCGCAGGCGCCGATGATGACGGTGTGGCAGGCTCTACAACGTAGCTGGCCGCTGTGTGTTGTTGGCTGCAGAGTCAGATTATTTCTCACTATTGCCCACCCGTCGGCAAGGGATGGACTTCTGGGTCGCCGCTGAATGATCTGCAGAAGAATTCAAGGTAGAGTGAAATGATAGCGGCAAGGTGGTGCGGAAGGAAACAGGCGCCGATCGTGGCTTCTTCAGTAGTTCCTTTTCCTGAACCTAGAACGTACCTTTCCCACGTTTTCTTATTAGACATTCTCATCAATCTTCCCGTCTTGCATCACCCGCCTCATCGAGTACGCGCGCCGCCGCGACACTCGCCATCAACACCATTGCATTCTCCCTGGCCACGCGCCAGACGCTGTTAAATTTGAGTCTGGACTCGGCTTCCTCCCGGATTCCCGTCTTCTCCGCTCCGCATCCGCGTTTCCTGTGGACGCGCGCGCATCCGTGGTTTGCAAGCTCTACTGGATCATTGCAATAATCTGCCAGGAATCGATCGCCATCGTGTTGGAGGCTTCATGTCATGACAGCGCCGTAATCACCGCTTTCATTCCACAAGTACACCATCCACTATTACCGCACGCAATGGATGGTAGCAGCCAACATCCAGCGGCACCGGCGCCAAGTCGATATCCTGCACCCATATCTGCGCACGACTCCGGTCCGTACGCTTCTGCAGAACTCCATCACGCTGGGAACCGTCCTCCATCACGGGATGCAATGCAGTCACAGCCCAATGGGCTCGGCCCGCCTTTTGCGTATGCGAACGCCCCGACTTCAATGCCTTCTGGACTCATGCCGGACCACCAACAGTACATGAATCATGACTCGAACTTGTCAACTCCCGGCATCTCACCCACTCATGCATCTGCGGCGGCCATGTCTGCGCAGCAGAAGCGGGCCTATCGACAGAGGCGCAAGGATCCAAGTTGCGATGCGTGCAGGGAGCGCAAAGTCAAGTGCGATGCGACTGACACCTCCAGCTGCTCGGAGTGCTCCAGTCGTGGTGTCAAGTGTCAGTTCACCAAGGAGACCAACCGTCGAATGTCCTCCATCAAGCAAGTGCAAGATCTGGAAAAGCAGTTGTCCATGGCCAAACAGCAAATTGGCCAATTGCGTGGAATGCTGCAGGATGGGAGCAGTTCTGACGCGCCACGGGTGCCGGCGTTGAATCTTCCAGATGAGAACGTTCCAAAAGAGCGGCGGCCTGCTCCTCCCATGCTAGAAGGCTTCGAGGATGTTCGCAACAACATTCGAACCCACAGCAAAGGCGTCTTCAAACTACCACCTCCGTATCGACAATACGGACCGCAACCCACATATCCAAATCACTCTCAACCCCTTCCTCCGAAGCATGTTGCGGATCGTCTGATGTCTCTCTACCACAGAACCATACATGTGTATGCGCCTCACATCCACTTTCCGACTTTCATGCAGGAGTACGAAGAACTGTACCGCGTTGGCACGTTCGCACAATGCCGCGACATCTGGGTTGCTCTATTCTATGCTGTTCTCGCTTGCGGCACTCTCATGGACAATTCACCCAAGAGCTCTATGGAGGAATCTGAAGGTGGCAAATTCATGGACATTTGTATGAAGAGTATCAACACGTGGAGCGATGAAATGACCGTCGACCATGTACGCACGACTTTGCTTGTGAGCGTTTACTTTGCCGAGATGAACATGCAAACACCTGGATGGATATGGTTAGGCACTTCAGTACGCGTGGCCCAAGACGTTGGTCTGCACATGGATCAAAGTTCTTATCCTCCGATGGAGATGGAAATGAGAAGAAGAGTATGGTGGAGTGTTTACAGCTGGGATCGGTATGCATCGCGCTGAGTCTGAGAACATATTTCGCGACATTCACTGACGTTCTCCAGAATTTTCTCTCTCGAGATTGGTCGACCGTTGCTTATTGACGACAATGATTGCGATGTGCCTGAGCCTGTACCTGTTGACGATGAGTGCATTAGGTCTAACGGGATTGTCATGCCACCGCCTGGCCAATCAGCACCGAACGCGTTGATGGCTGTCATTCCCGTAGCGCGCATGACAGCACAGCTGAAGCGATCATTGAAGTCGCAAACGGTATCGGCGAACACACTGATGAGTTACGACGAGCACTTCAAATCCATCATGGCTACCTGGCCTGAGCCGTTCCCCATCCACTCTCAAGCTCCTCTGGATCCGCGATTTCTCCTCGCAGGATGCAGTCTGCAAGCAAATCGTTTCTTCCTGTATCGACATAATCTCTCCTCGGCATGTCGGGCAAACGACAGACGAGATGCGCTCGCCCGATGTGTTTCCGTCGCGCAGGACACAGCGCATTATGTTCAGCGAACCATGCATCATCCTTCGACTAATCCTGGCCAGGGATACTTTTCTCCTGCACACATGTCGCAATGGGCAGCTCTTGTCCGAACCTCGACACCAGCTTTCTTCTGTGTTCACTTGTGGAGATGCCAGCTTGTCTTGTGTCTGAGGGGCGACTACGACTCAGCCCTTACGTTGGTGCACATGTCTTCGGCTGTTGGAGATCTGCGGAAAATCAATGTTGGCTGCGGGCGATTCCTCGCCTTCTTCCTTGACAAGCTCGTCGGGAGACTGCGTGCTGGTGCAGCGCAACAATCGATCGAGATGGACGAAGAAATGCTGGCATATGCTAGTGGAGACATGCAAGCCTGTCCCGATGATGCGTGGCTTTGGAGCGGCAGTGAAAGCGGCGCCAGCTTGCAGCAGCCTCAAACTGCGGCGAATGGTCATTCTGGAGACAGGCCCATCTTGCAAGCCGAGCAGCTATCTACAAGCACTCTGTCTGAGCGTGAGGCGCAGGATTGGGGAGGATGGGAGCATGTTCAGCGAACTCTGACCCAGCTTTTGCAAGACCAACAACAGGGCCCACCTACTGGAATGCATCCGCAGCAGCAACAACCACCGCAAGGTCAAATGGCTCCTGCATACATGGGTCCGCCGGCAAACCAGCATTCACATCTTGCCCCCCATCCCCAACCTCCTCAGCCGTCGGTGTCACCCAATCCTAGCAATGGTGGGCCAGCGGGCAGCAGCAGGATCAGTATCAAGGACATCATGTGAAGACTTGCTCGAGAGGCGTCATACTGTCGGAATCACTGAGCATATTGTTCGAGRAATCGGGAAGCTTCGCGTTCTAGCGGGGCATGCATAATGCATCAAAACGTACAATGTATAGGTTCGAAGCTGTAGGAACACGAACACGACGAGAGTCCTGCAGCTGAATTGTCAAAACGGGTGGCAGAACCAGCAGCGTGTTGACAAGTCTGGGTATCAGACGCTCTCGTATTCTCACTCTCGAAGTTGTTGTAAGCCCTACTGATTCGCAGCTCTCTACCACTCCAGGTAGCGAAACGCGGTGCATCAAAATCGAAATCTTCCGCGATGGCTTTTTGTGCTAACAACCTCGACGCGTCAGCGTCGAGCATCAACCATGCAGGACGGAACGCTCCGTGGTGCTACGAAACCACTCCCCGACTGCCACGTCCAATTTCGTGTGGAGGTTGCCATGAATATAAAGCGTTTGTGCTGCCAGGGCGGGAATGTGGTTTTTAACAGCATAATCCGGACAAAACGGCCCTTCTGAAGCGAAAAAGCTGAGGGATGCGGGGCTCTGCCAGCGATTTATGCACGCAATTTACCTCCAGTTCCCTGCTGGGTACCAACGCCCAGAACACCGGTTTAAGAAGCTTCACAAACGAGCTTGTTTGACGACTTGGTGACGTTAGGAGGCGCTTCTAGAACAAGTAAGCTTCTTTCCGCTGACTCCGGGCAACAACAACAGCAAGAGCTAATGTAGAGCAGCAGCAGCTAGGATGATCTTTTAGTTCACCGTGTCTTCCGGTTTCTCTCTTTTCTCACCATCTCTCTCACCTACCAGCCTCCATTCTGCACGCCTTTCAGCTTTTGAATTTTCTCTCCCAGTGCTTCAAAAGGAGCAGACATCTGACATCACCGCCAACATGGTTCACCTTGTATGCACTGTGCTTCAATGTTTTACCCAACACGTTGCTAATGAATCTTTACTCACCAGGGAAAGGTCGCGACTGACAAGGACCTGATCGATAAACTCGGTCCCGCGATCGACGAGTTATCACTCGGGGCCCCAGGCCAAGACGAGTTTACAGGTAGTGTCTATGGGTCGAAGTATGCAGCTCGAGACCTCCCAAGGAATGAGATGCCAGAAGAAGAAATGCCTCGCGAGATTGCCTATCGAATGATCACCGACGACCTCAAGCTTGACGGTGCTCCTACGTTGAACTTGGCGTCCTTTGTGACTACTTACATGGAGGAGGAGGCGGAGAAGCTTATGGTAGATGCATTCTCCAAGAACTTTATCGATTACGAGGAATACCCCGTCTCAGCAGACATTCAGAATCGCTGTGTTTCCATGATCGCTCGTCTTTTCAACATTCCGGCTCATGACGAGAACACGAATGCCATGGGTACGTCGACCATTGGATCCTCCGAGGCCATCATGTTGGGCACACTTGCCATGAAAAAACGCTGGCAGAACAAGCGCAAGGCGGAGGGCAAAGACTTCAGTCGTCCGAACATCATTATGAACTCTGCTGTTCAGGTCTGCTGGGAAAAAGCCGCGCGATACTTTGACATTGAGGAGAAGTATGTCTACTGCACGTCAGATCGATTTGTGATCGATCCTGAGGAGGCGGTCAACTTGGTTGATGAGAACACCATTGGTGAGTTGATCCAGAGAACATTGCTTCCAAAGATAAAAAGACAATGCTAACGTACAGCTCTTTGCCGACAGGCATTTGCTCCATTTTGGGAACGACTTTCACTGGGGAGTATGAGGATACCAAGGCTATCAACGATCTGCTTGTTGAGCGAGGCATCGACTGTCCGATTCACGTTGATGCTGCGTCTGGAGGCTTTGTAGCGCCATTTGTCAACCCAGAGTAAGAGATTGATCGGCAATGGGTTACTCACAGTCTAGAGCCGAACCCGTGTCGTTCAAGACATTGCTAACTTCCTCTTCAGGTTGATTTGGGATTTCAGACTAGAGAAAGTCGTGTCGATCAACGTGTCTGGGCACAAGTACGGATTGGTATACCCTGGAGTCGGCTGGTGTGTGTGGCGCGATCCAGAGTTCCTACCCAAGGGTGAGCTTCCTCAGCCTCGACATGAYGTACATTACTGACATTTTAATAGAGCTGATCTTCAACATCAACTGTGAGTGTGTTTCGCATCGCGAGGCCTGATGCGATCATCGCTCAACCTACGATAGCTCTCCTCCTKTTCAACATGCGTTGACCATTGCTAACGTTTTCGCTACGCAGACCTAGGGGCCGATCAAGCCTCATTCACCTTGAACTTTTCCCGCGGCGCTAGTTAGTCCATACAGCCCTCGCATTATCCAAGACACTTGCTGACGTTCTATACTTCGCTTTAGGTCAAGTTATCGGACAGTACTACCAACTAATTCGCTTGGGAAAGAAGGGCTACAGATCGATCATGTTCAACCTGACCCGCACTGCAGACTATCTCGCAGCATCGGTGCAGCAGATGGGCTTCATTCTCATGTCCGAAACCCGTGGCAAGGGACTCCCACTGGTCGCCTTTCGACTCGATCCCGCACACAAGCATAAGTTTGACGAATTCGCCATTGCACACCAGCTGAGGGAACGCGGGTGGGTTGTTCCAGCATATACCATGGCACCCCATGCCGAGAAGCTGAAGATGATGAGAGTCGTCGTACGGGAAGACTTCAGCCGTAGTCGCTGCGATGCACTGGTGTCGGATCTGAAGATGGCAGTGGAAGAGTTGAAGAAGATGGATGAGAAGACGCTTGAGCAGCATAAGGAGCATGCAAAGAATAAGGGCAAAAGACATGCGGAGAAGAACAAGACAAACAGCCACTACAAGGATGAAGAGCATAGTTTGAAGGGCAAGCATGGCAAGACTCATGCCGTGTGCTGAAAGCGCTGAGAGGAGAAGAGGAGGATTGGTGTAATGGGCTCAAGAACATAATTCCTAGACATGAGATGAAGTTCCCCGGCTCTATGGATCGTGTTGATCGCCTCCCGTCTTCACTTTCTTTGAGCAAGCCGAGCGTGGCTGAGTTCGGGCTATTGGCGACGCGTACAGCTTCGTCACCAGGCTTGAGGGGAAGGGGTATAAAGGAAACTCTCGCCATGATGCGATGTTGCCAATAGTAAGCCCACAACAATATTTGTTGCCGCAGAACTACATTGCGACATGAGAATCTAATAGTTACACGGAAATCTTCAAGAGCTGCCCTGGATACGGTATCCAAACGATCGGCACACGGAACGCGGCACGTGGTGCTTGTGCCTGCCTAACTTGATCCAGGGTCCTCGGACGGGAGAGGCGCAATAATACGAGTCTGTCAACTCGATCAGCTCACTACTTCAACGTAAACAAAAAACACCGGTAGCACGTCCGCCTGCTGGTGACCAACCTTATCCTCTATCTATCTCCTCCGACTCCTCCGCGATCATGTTTAAGAAAAGATTCTCCAGTCTGCTCAAAGGTAAGGAAGGCCATGAAGCATGCATCCAACCCACAGTAAAGCATGGATCGCTTCAGGGGAGGGCGGGGCGGCTGACTGGCATACCCAGGTAATCGCAACTCCATCGACGCCGGCTCCTCCACCAGCACCACCACCGCCGTGCTCGGCAGCTCGAGCAACAACTTCGCGAATGCACTCGCCGACTCTCCCGAAGCAACGTGCGCGCGTGCCATTACCGCTTTTTGCGAGAGCGGAAATGCCAGCGCTGGCGGAGAAGAGGTGCTTCACCTGCCTGTGATTGTGGACGCCGCCGAATCGTCGCCCGCCGCCGCTGCCGCCGCTGCTCATCAGATTCGTAACTTTCTGGGCAAAGAGTATGCAAAGAAGCCACACATTCAGTACAATGCCATTATGCTGGTGAGTCGACCAATGGATGGAAGGCGGCGTTGTTATAAGTCCTCAACACCTAGCCACATGCTAATCTCCACGCTTCATGCTTCAGCTGCGCATCCTCACCGATAACCCAGGCCCATCGTTTACACGCAACTTTGACAAGTCATTTGTGAGCACCGTCAAGGATTTGTTGCGCAACACCAAGGATGTCGGTACGCAGCAGATTGTCCGTGAGACACTCGATGCGCTGGAGGTGAACAAACAGCACGATGCCGGACTTCAGGGCTTGCTGGCAATGTGGGCAAAGGAGAAGGGAAACAACGCATCGCTTTCACGCGGTAGCGCTATATACCAGCAACCAGGACCCCTGCCAGGCTTTCATGGATCGCATGAGCGGAGTAGAAGGAGTAGACAGCTCCCGAATGCTGTGGAGTTGGCCAGCCGGGTGGAAGAGGCGCGGAACACGGCCAAGATTCTGCTCCAGCTTGTACAGTCGACGCCCGCCGCTGAGCTGCTCAACAATGAGCTCATCAAAGAGTTCAGCGAGCGTTGTCAGAGTGCCTCGCATAGTATGCAGGATTATATTGGCTGCCAAGACCCAGCTCCCGATCACGATACGATGCAGACGTTGATCGAGACCAACGAGCAGCTAAGTCTGGCGATGAGCCGTTATCAGCGAGCTGTGCTGGCGGCGAGGAGGGAAATGGGCATTCCTGCTAGCCCTCCGGCTGTGCAAGAACCGATAGGCCACAGCGCGTTTGCACCCTCACCGCCATCGCAGAATATGTCAATCTCGCAACCAGGACTCGGAGCTTCACCTGTCAACGGGTGKCAGTCTCCAGCGGGTCCTCCGCCATCTGCGCAGCAGCAACGGCAAACAGAGGCGACCGCACAGAATCCCTTCGCCGATCCAATGGAGCAGCAACAAAGCACAAGTGCTTTTTCACAACCGCCTCAGGCCTTTAGCATTGACTCCGGAGCAATCCACACAAATCAATACCATCAACGCGACGAGCTCGAAAACACATACTCGACGGGAGAAGACACACGCACGCCCGTCTCTCAACCGTCGCCAATCTTCCAGCGCTCTAATGGTCAAGTGGAAGCCCCAAGACCCGTCAGTCCGCAGTCCCCGCCACGTCCAGGGCCAGGACCATACCACCAGAGCGAGATCTCTCAAAGCTATGTTGGAAGACAATCCAGCGCGGCAAACGGCCTGACGATGCATGGAGCGGCAAGTGCAGAGCAGGAACAGAATAGCATGACTAGCCGAGGAAGAGGGTACTAGAGGAGCTTTCTTCGTCAGCGAGTTTGGATGCGTCGACGATATCCGATATCCGATATGGTGAGAGATGTGACAGTGTTTTGAGATTTTGAGATACCTTGCCTACGATACCACGGTCGCTTGCTGCATTCTTACAGCGWGCCATTGTCTTTCTTGTGGATAGTCGTTGTTTAAATGAAAAATTAAAAACCGGCCTTTCCAAAAACCCACGTGGACTCGTGTGTTGGAGTTGCGCCGCTCTATTTGACCTACACCACCACTCTGTGTATGGGTAGCCGAACATGTGCTTGACTCATGCACACCGTCTCAAGACTCCTCTCAAAAGTGCTCTTCTAAATCCATATAATCCTCCCCTCCTTCACTCGGCTTTGCTCTACCTGCCGCCTCAAGATCCAGARCCCTCCACTCCCGTCTCGCATTCCCGAAAACCACACAAAGAACCTTGCCCTTCCGTCCACCAATTACCATTTCATCCGCTTTGAATCCCAAGGGAAAGCGATGCAGAACTTCTGATTCCAGCTCTTCCGCAACGTAGCGATGTCTTGTGACGCTTACTTGTCCTGTAGCGTCGTCACCTTCCGAAGCCCGAATCAGAGTAATGAACGATGATGCTTCGTGTGGGATCCATTTCGCGGTGAGGATCGTGCCGGATGAAAAGGAGTGTTCTGTCGAGAATTCATGGGGAGGTGGGAGCGCGGTGGTGCTCGCTGTGAGACGGCGGCTGGGGTTRGTGCTGGTCGAAGGGGAGCGAATGACGGATATGACTTGGATGCTGCTTGGTTTGTCGGCGTCCACAGCAAGAAGTTGTGTATTAGTGGACTCGACGTCGCTGCCCTTCTCTTGGGCCGGAAAATGAATCATATCTGTTACCGCGGTAGTCTCTCCACAGTTTAGAGGAATGATAGTGGGAGGGACTAGCATTCTGCTTTGCCACTCTGTGATGCGCTGTAATGCTGTCCGAACACTGCCCACCAAGGCCGCGGCCAAGGCGGGTATGTTGAGCAAGACCATGGGATCTTCAACATCTTTCATGGTAAGCGTCTCGCCGTCCTTCAGTGCTTCCAAACGGACGAGAGCCTCCTTTGAACGCTCATAGCTCATGGCTTTCAATTGCAGCACAGTGTCCAGATTCTTCATGTCGAAATGTCCTTCCATGCCTGGACGGCTCTGAATGTGCATGGAGACCTTGCTGTCTAGCAAGGTATGTTTGATGTAAGCCAGAATCAGTCCATAGTCCATGCCTGGCACTTCGCGCTCCTCCGTCTCCAATGCGCTTTGCGAGTGTGGACCTGCAATAGCAAGGTCTAGCTGCAGTCTGAGCCACTTGATGAACGCCCGGAACTGCTTGTGCTCAGCCATGACGATTAATTGCATTCGGTGTGCAACCAGCCGAAGACTGTCTACATGCTCCAGTATGTTGCTGAATAGCTGAGGTGGCACGTCAAACTTGCTCGAGCCATCGTGGAGTCGTGYGTAGCCTCGAAGTGTTGTAATGGCAACAGTAATTCGATCCAGTGCTGGTAAAAGATTGATGAAGAGATGGTTGGACATGTTTAGATACATGGTGTTCACATTCGGCTCCCATCGTTTGAGGCCAGTGTCTTTGACCATGTCTCTCAACCATTCAAGAAAGTAGCTGTTGAACGATCCCGTCATTGCCAAATGGTAGAAATGAAATATGGGATCTTGGTTTTCGTCATTCTCCAGCTCTTCCGCTAGGAGACTTAAATAGCGATTGGGCATTTCGACACCACTATTGTAGTCGTGTTCAATGCATCGAAGTGTGTATACGATGTAGTCAAGTTGACTTTGTATCCTTTTGGTGTTGCTCGCGATGACATGAAGCACAGCTCCACTGAAAGTCGAAAGAGGAAGATCAATACAACTTAGCTGCAAGCCAGAGCCATCCGTTTTGCTCAGCACGACATGACTTGGACTGCCGGGATGTGCCGCGTGCATAATGGGCTCGCCTCCGATGTTAAGGGTGCCGATCCTGACAGTCTCGTCGAGCAGTATATCGACCGCCCCATCATCTTGGGCAGCGATCAGACTTTCGACTAGATCTGGGTTAGGCTCCTTTTGCGCGTCGAATACGGCATCTGTAGTTGCCTGATTGGCATACTTGATTCCGTCCGGACCTGGCTTAAAGGTAGTTTGAGACACGGGAACTGCAGCCAGCCGTGGGAGAACCTTTGTGACGTCCAGTGTTGCGATGGCTCTGGGAAGCTCCATCATCCCAGCACCGCTGCCTTTCATTCCTGTTCCACTCGAGTCATGTTCGTCGATATCGTCGTACCAATCATCAGTCGTGAAATCCTCGTCCTTTTCATTTTTCGTCTTGCTGCTTCCAACCTCATGGCCCATCCAGCCGAAACAGACCACCTTCCCTTGCGCTTTCCCCGCAGACGTTGCAGGCGAGATTTCCTTTCCTCTCACATCTCTGCCCTGCGACGAGAAGTAAAGTCTCCATTCGCGGGCATCGTCGCTCTCGCTTCCTTTGATCGACGTCGTATGCACGCTCCGCCCACTGCCGCCATCGTAGATCTCAAAGGTACCATCACTCCAGCCTACGCTCAAGCATGTCCCATCAACCTTCCAAGCCAGAGCCGTCACATTTGCCTCACCATCTTTGCCGCGCTTGATTGAGAATGCAATCTGTCCGCTGACAATTCGGAACACTGTAACTTCTGAGGGCTCCGTGACAATGGCAAGAAGATCGTGGGCATGGGAATAAGCCGTGAAAGGGAACTTGACTGCTTCTGCTACACGCTTAGTGGCCAGTACAGGGAGTGTGGGCACATTGTCATTGTTCGTCTCAAGCGCTGGCATCGTGAGACCCGATGTTGTGTCGAGATCAGGGTCGTCCATTGAATTGAGGTGAGATTGAAAGGCAGAAGCGCATCGCGTTAGCGCAAACGCGAAATGCACGCGAGAATAAAGTAGTGGGGCATGTACTATAGGAGACCCGTTTGCTATTTTCTTCTTCGTCATTTCGTCCGAGTACATCATGGCTTTTTACGGTCCATTGACACATCACAGCAGGAACAGAAAGATGCCCATAACCCCGTCTTGAAAGGAGCTAGTGGCCACCGTGTCGAGCTGAGTTCCCTTCTATCTATCATTCCACGCCAGTGCCCGGAAATTCTGTGCCCGCTGTACTACCACGGCAAACGCTCGTCATTCTCTTCATTCACCACGCCTCCATGTACTTTGGTCTTGTCGCCAGTTGCGGCTTTCACCAACGCCTTGGCCCCTTCCCTCGGGTCTTTCATGCCCTGGTGGCCGTTGATGTCGGTCGCACAATACCCAGGATCTGAGCAGCTGACGACAAATCCTTCCCCTTCCAGCTGCTTCGCATAGCCAAGCATGATCATGTTCATGGCCGTCTTTGTGCTTCGATAAATGGGATACAGTGACGCAGTACAGCTCGCTGGGCCATTGTCTGCGAGCTTGAAAGAAGCAAGGCCCGAAGAAGTGAAAGCAATACGCTTGCCACCAGGAGCCTTTGATTCGCGTAGAAGTGGAAGAAATGCTTCAAGCGTGACAGCTGCGCCGAAGAGATTTGTGTCAAAATGATTGTGGTAGAGTTGGCGCAGCGAAGGCGAGTCTTCGGTCTCGGCTTGCTGTTGAGTAATTCCCGCATTGAGCATGAGAATGTCGAGGTATCCGTACGTCTCTCGGACATGTTTTGCGGCTGCATATATGGACTCGTCGGATGTGACGTCGATTTGAACAGGGTGAACATCGCCAGCAGTTACCTTCATGGACTGATCTTCGAGGAGAGCCGTAATGGCCTTCTCGGCCCTGCTGTGGTCTCGGCTACCCATCAGGACCGTGTAGTTGCCAGAGGCGGCGAGTTGTTGTGTGGCATAGTACCCTAAGCCATTGTTGCCGCCAGTAATGAGAACAAGTGATTTGGTCATGTTGCTGAGCCGTTGGTAGAGTTGTTTTGCTGATCGAAGTGGCTGAACGAAGTAAAGCAGCAGAGGGCAAGCAGAGAAGAGCGATGGGGCCGTCCTTATAGGCCGACCCAACCCTACCGTCGTCGTTGTCGCGACTCGCGAGTGCAAAAAGGGCGGGCGGCATTTTGTAATTCCCTAACCCCGGGGTTGATTCGCGGCATGGAACTCGTTGACTCACCGAGAACATGAGGTTCAGCATGGTACTACTAGGTATGATGCCTTATCTCTCACTTTTCATCTCTGGGATCGTGACACCATCATCGAAAGGCGTCCGCATATTCCATCAGGGGGGTGGTGCTGAGAGCTAGTTAGTCTCTGAGACGCTGAACGCTCCTTCTCTCTCCGCCGGCGAAATCCGACCATGCCTCCCCGTTGCTATCACGCTGTCGTTTTCCAGGCTGTAGAAATTGCCATGAGATGATGGTGATGATGATGATGATGCTAGGAAGACAAATGCCGACCGGAGTCAATGTGTTAGAAGAAGAGTAAGATTTCGAGGCCGAGGCAAGAACCTCGGATGTTGAACCAGGTCCCTCCGCGAATTCGGTAAACAACATCAACGCAGATGGATGACAACCTACCTATGATACATGTAAGATCCATCCAGTTTGATCAAGATCCATCACTTGTCAAACAATGTCTCGACCTTCCAGAAAGACTCCCGTAATCATCGGCGTTGGCGACATCATCAATCGATCCAAGAAAGTCGAAGATGCCATTGAGCCACTCCAGTTGATGATTCTCGCCATTCAAGATGCGATTAAAGACACCGGACTTGATGCTTCTGCACTTGCAACCCTACAGTCTTCGATCGACAGCATCGATGTTACAAGAAGCTGGACCTGGCCGTGTGACTATCCGACTCTGATTGCAGAGAAGCTGTCATGTAATCCACTACACAAAGGCTACTCTGCCGAACACGGTGGGAACCAACCAGCGCTCTTGCTCGACAATGCTAGTCGAAGAATATCTACGGGAGAAAGCAAGCTGGCTGTTGTCACTGGCGGAGAGGCTTTGGCTTCTTGTAAGATTTCATGACTGGGACTGATCAATCGCATGGGTATTGACGGTAGCAGTGACCGCGTGTGCAGCTGCGAAGAAAATGCCCCCGCCAGGCTGGTCCACACCCAACGAAGACGTGAGCGGAGTATTCTCAGCTTCTAATAGGGAGCTGAAACCAAGTACATACATCTTCCGCCTTGTCAACGTTCTTCCCAATTGCTGATGAACTTTGTAGGCTATGGGGCCCGCCATGGCATCGGAAACCCAATCCAGCTCTACCCTCTCTACGAGAACGCATTCCGCGCACATCGGAACCAATCTATTAAAGAAAACCATGTTGAAAGTGCCGAGCTGTACGCAGAGTTCGCAAAAGTGGCAGAGAAGAATCCCTATGCTTGGGGTTATCCTGCTGCAGCTGAGACGGCCGAGAGCATTGGAACTGTTTCCAAACGCAACCGAATGATATGTTTTCCCTGTTCGTATAATCCATTCAAGAGAGGTGGCATTTGGCTGACAGCGCAGATCCTCTTTTGATGAATGCTTTCAACACAGTCAATCTTGCTGCCGCCTGTATAGTTACATCTACCGAATATGCAAGAGAATTGGGTATTCCTCGTAGCAAATGGATCTACCCCCTCGGTGGAGCAGGCACCCAAGATAGTACCGATTGTAAGTACTGACCGCCATTCGCAATTTTCTACTCGATTWGCTGACCTTCTATCTTTAGTCTGGCAGCGTCCTACTTTCTGGTGGAGTCCAGCTATTTCCAGATCGCTAGACGCCGCAATGGAAGCCTCATCAATCAGCAAAGACGATATTGACATTTACGACATTTACTCGTCAGCACATTTTTTTTTGATTCCGCAATACTGAATGGATGGCTAACTTTACGCAGCTGTTTCCCCATCGTCCCCAAACTCGCCTGTCATCACCTCGGGCTTGCCAAGACAGGTTCGAAGAAGCCACTCACTCTACTCGGCGGGCTGACCTCATTTGGAGGTGCTGGGAACAATTATTCGCTACATGTAAGTTACTGTAATGTCATTTTAGTACACTACTGACCGGCCTCTTAGGCTATCACGGAGATGACGCGACAACTACGCGATGGTAAAGGCAAGACTGGTTTGATCCTCGCGAATGGCGGTTGGGTGACTTATCAGCACGTTGTGTGCCTCTCGCGCAGCCCACGGAGCGATRGTCTTCCGTATCCCGACGACAGTCCACTCCCGAAGTACGTCACGGATGTGCACGTGCCGAAGATTGTGGAAATAGCCGAAGGAGATGCTACCATTGAAGTGAGTTCATTTTTGTGCCACACGAAACGTAAAAAATCTTACACTCGATCTAGACATACACGGTCGACTACCACCGAAACGGCAAACCAGAGAGAGGCCACATCGTAGGGAGACTGAAGTCGAATGGCCAGAGGTTCTTGGCCAATCATGCCGACGAGCAGACCTTGCAGGAGCTGTGTAGTTGGGAGGAAGAACAGGTCAGTAAGAGTGGGAGAGTTAAGAGTGACGGAAAAGGTCGCAACTTGTTCTCTTTTGCCGAAACGGCCAAGCTGTAATGTCTTGCTACATTACGTTACATCAGTGTTGCGCATGCCAGCAACGTATCGATGTCCCGTTCATACCTACCTCCGGCACATTGGCGTCACCTTTTAACAGAGCATCCTCCATCTGTTTCTAGACTCGCAGAACTTCCTCTGACTCCAATCCAGTGCATCGGGGCCCAGTCCAATTGCTTCGATGCCGTTTGCGCTACGGCTGTAGCTGGCCTTAACGTGTGATGCGTAGCAGCACTGGCAGCAGTAGCAGCGACTCTAACACCGACCTTCAGACCCACCTCCAATGGCAAGGTCAACAGAGAAGCTCCTCTTAGCGATCCTGGATCTGTCGAAGTTGAAGCATAGCGGAAGGTCGGACTAGGACACAGAACCTTGCGGCCCGAGCAGACGACAATTCGAAAATACCCATCCTCGGCAACATGTGGAATGCGAATGAGATTGGTCTCGCGAGGAGTATGGTCACGGACATGCTTCAGATCCCGCGCCTTCTTTGTGAAGCTCAGGATATCGCGCTGCCAAGCTCGCTCCTGGTCTTTCGACACCTGGTCCGGCGTGATCTGAGCGATCGGGGTAACATCAATCCAGGCATTTCTAGTGCCTAGGGCTGCTCCAACGGCAAGGCCTGTTTTCCCTKAGAAGCCCCTCTTCTGCAACCAGATGGTCCGATCGGCAGGGAGTGACTGATCTGAGAAGATAGTAATCACCACGTTGGTCATTGGTCCTCGATAGTAGATCAAGCCTAGGGAATGTCGAAGGATGGTGTAATGGCGAGTTGACTCGTGCGGGTGAGAGATTAGACCACCGGCGAAGTACTTTGCATCGCTGAAAGCTGTTTCCAAAGTCTGCTTCACTCTTGCAGATCTGGACTCTGCTGGACTTGCTTGGACCACATCGGGATCACTCAAGACAGATGCAACCTCAATATCAAAGTCGATCTTGTCCGGAAAATGCTTGGGAGGCTCTTCCGCACTCGATACGAGGTAGCAGTCCAGCAGCGAGTCTTCAGTGTCGGATTGGTATGATGGCGGGCCGGGCTTGTCGACTGGGCAGTCTCCAATCACCTCTTTGATGTGTTCATGGGCCAGCCTTTGCTGAACAATTGTTGGCGAGGGCTTCGGAACTGGCTTCCTCTGGATCATCATCTTGAGGGTTTGAGACGACTTTTGAAGCTGGAGCCAGGGTATGAACGGCTCAATCAGCCACCGCGGCTGCTGTCGCTACGAAATTCACAACATCATGATGGCTCAAAGTTGATGTCGAAGCATGTACTCACTCCTTTCTTACGAGATGAGGTCTCGGCAATGCCACGCGTAGTCCATGGCACGCTAAAATGTCTTCGCCGGCCACTCTCCGAAGTTCTGCAGTCGTCGTCTTTTCACCACTTTGACCTCCTGTCGCATCCATTCACCAGTCTTTTCAACATGTAAGATGAGCCAAGCGCTGCTAGAGCATTCTCAGCACGAGAGCCTCAACTTCTCATCTGCCGATCGAGTATTCCTCTGGAATTCAGCCGAACCAACGCCTTGGCAGTGAAGGAGTGTGTGAGCGGCGATGAAGCTTCAACAACTGAGACGAACAAGAAGGCTCGAATACGACTTCAAGCAAGCTCATATGCAAGCTTTCGGCGCTCAAGTGCCCTTGAAAGGAACTTCTGTTGGAAGCGAGCAACGAAAGTGCCTCTGCAAGACCTAACCTCTCTTTCATCCTGATCACCCTCTTGCTGCTTACGTGCCAAAGCTGCACTGTACACTGGTCTCCACATATTTTCCGCAATAACTCACTAAAGCCAGGATCTAGATCCTACAGCAATTGTTATAGGCTTTTCGAATCTCAAATCGAACACTGAGAAGGAGGGCAAACGCCGGAACCACGACAGCCGGACGAGAGATAGCCTCGGCGTACAACTCTGTTTCTACTCTAGCTACAACCTTACGGCCTACAGCGAATGAGACCCTACGAAATTCCTTGTTCTCAGCGATCAGTTGCCCCAAATGGATGCACAAGCTCTCTACAACGCTCTGTAGCGTCTACTCTATAGTGGCGTCTGGGGCTGGCGCCGCCACGTTCATCATGTCGATCGTTCCCCCTCTGACCTGTCAGAAGAGGGCAGTATGTAACATCGATGTTCGTCTGCTATATTGTTTAAAGCCGTTCTTATTCATATCACGAATTCTCACATCCGCCCAACATGAAGACTACACTCGCCAGCCTGGCATTCCTTGCCACAATCGTCAACACTCAGGCGTTGGATCTTGTAGCGCTGCTCGCCGGTGGCGCCGCTCCCGATTCAGACCCAAGATGGCTCGACTGGAAGCCTGCTGGATATGGTGATTCTCGATCTCCCTGCCCGGGCCTCAACTCCCTCGCAAACCACGGCTTTTTGAACCACAATGGAAAGGACATCACCATTCCCCAGCTCGTCAAAGGTGGACGTGAGGGTATGAATATGGGAGCCGACTTCATGTCCATCATTGGAGCTGTTGGTCTGCAGTCATCGCCGTTCCCAAGCAGTGGAAAGTTCGATTTGAGTGATCTTGATCAGGTATGGGCGTGCAAGCAGGGACCATGGAGACTGTGTATGCTAACTCAGCCTAGCACAACTTCCCTATCGAGCACGACGGTTCGTTGTCTCGCCAAGATGCTTTCTTCGGCGACAACTACGACTTCAACAAGACGATCTTCAACCAATTTCTCTCCAACTTCCACGGAGCCGCCAAGACTACCATCCCGACTACTTCAAAGGCAAGATACTCTCGAATTCAAGACAGCCAGGCTCGCAACCCAACATTCACCTACGGCGCTCTCCAGTTTCTCCTCAGCAGTGGAGAGACTGGTCTTTACGTTCAGACCATGTCAAGCCCAGTTGAGAACAGCGCACGTTTGGACTACATCAAGATGATGTTCGAGAAGGAGAGACTCCCCTTCAACATTGGTTGGAGAGCCAGCAAGACTCAAATCACTTTGATGACCCTTGGCCAGTACATCCTTGAGATGTTTGCTGCGAACCCCGATAATGCTGCAGAGGGCCTTACCCTCACGGCTGGCACTCTCGGAAGCACACTYGCGACCCTTGCTGGAGGATCCCACGTGCTGTCGAACATTACAGAGGGCATTACAGATGCACTGGATCTGCCTTTCCTGCAGTAGTGGCATCGTCAAGATTGCTGCAACCTTTGCATTCCGAGATGTTGTGGAGTGTACAGTGACGAGGAAGCAAAAGCCCATTGAAACGAGTCTATGGCGATGACGAGCCTCTTTTGTGCTCGTCGTCCATTATAAGTCGCCATATTTTATGAATAGACGAAATTTACCCCTTCAGAACAACATACAGTCACTCAATGTTTAACCAGGTTGCTCAGACACAGTAGGGATCCAGCTTGGAGGGCGCGACTTGCAGTAGAACAGTTCACACGGAGATTCTACATTCTTGCAATCGCCTTATTACACGCTCATGATAACCATCAGAAGCTACTAAGAGCTTGCCTCCACCACGGAAGCTTCGACCCGTCAATTGCCAGCTTCGACTCTGGTATATCAAGATCCTCTCTTCTTCCGCGATCGAGATCGATCTCATCTGATCGTCGCATATGAGTCTTGTTGATGACCCTGAATAGCACCCAAATGATAGGGAATAGAGGCAGCAAGATGTACGCGCTAACAAAGTTTCCGGCGTTGAATGGAGACAGTGTGCTCCAGCCCTGCACAAAAGCCAGGAAAATGTTGGCTGCCAGGCCAGAATAAGCGTTCCATGGATATAGTATCGACTGATATGGCAGTTCGCTTGGAAGTCTGCCTTGCTGCTTCCACGCTGCTCGGAAGCGAATGTGGATGAAGGAAATACTTCCCCAAACGAGGAAAGTTGATACTCCTGAATCACAAGTCAGCCTGAAATCGTGCAAGATCGCGATGCTACTAACTAACCGCTGAGGTTGACGATATATCCGTACGCTCTAGCGGCTCCGGTGCTAACATTCATCATCGATAATGCTCCAAAAAGATTGGTCAAGACGATCGCAAACACTGGTACGCCACGTTTGCTGGTCCATCCTAGAAAGCGAGGAGCTTGRCCACCCTGAGCCATGTAAAGCACCGTTCGAGATCCGATGTAGATGGAGCTGTTGACTGCGCTGAGACATGTTACGAAGATGAAAGCGTTGATCTAAGGATACCCATTAGCGAAGCTTCTCGATCTCGTTGGGACGAGCTCACAAGATGCACTCCACCCTCCCACCCAGCTATCTGGATAGCTGCAGTCATGGGAGACTGCAACGAGCGACTGCCGCCCTCAACGAGCTGGTCTGCATTGGCAGGGCAGCTCAGGCCGAAGAAGAACGCCGAGCMCATGTAGATGAAGATGATCCGGAAAAAGACTTGACGAATGGCAGCAGGGACAGCAACGCCTGGGTTCCGGGTCTCTGTGGCTGCGACAGCCACCGACTCAACTCCAGCATAGAATGTCGAGCAGAACACGAACACCGCCGCTACTCCACGAAACCCATTATTGTTAAACGCGCCAGGATCTTTCCAGTAGCGGAATCCTAAAGCTTCCTGCTGTCCGATGAGGCCACCGGAAGCATAGACGATGGCAAAGATGAAGTATGCAGTAAGACCCAATAACTTGAGAAGCGCCAGCCAGAATTCCACCTCGCCAAAAGCTTCCACGCCGAGCAGCTGAAAAGCCAAGAAAGCGGACCAAAAAATCAAAAAGTAGCCCCAGATTGGGACCCGATCGCTCCAAAAGACAAAAATGCTCGAGATGACGTTATACTCGTTAGCTAGGACTGCAGCCCAGATGATGAAGTAGTTCCATCCCACAGCAACGGAAAATGACCGGTCTACCATTCGTTCGGCTAGAGAGACAAATGATCCGCCGCTGGGGTATAGAGTGGTGAGTTCTCCGAGGGACTGCATGATGCTAAAGGCGATGATTCCGATTACTCCAAATCCAATGATCAATGAAGCAGGGCCTCCGTTTTGTAGAGCACGACCAGATCCGACGAGTAATCCGGGACCGATAATACCTGCGAGTGCCAACATGCCTAGAAGGGGGAGCAAAGTTTCAGCGTGCATTCTTGATTGTTTGAAGCAAGAAATCGTTACTTGTAGGGCTATAGATGTGAGATCGCGTCGCCTAGAGTCTCCTCGTGCTATATCATTCATTCATTTGACAAGCGTTCTTGACGACTAGATCGATGAGAGCCGCTCTCAAGGTCGCTTGGCTTTGATCACGTTGAACAAACCAGCCATATCAACAACGTGGGACTCCTGCCAGAATCATCTCAACTTTTTTCAACTTACTTAAATGCCTATTCTTCAGACCTCGTTTCACGCCACTATGCGGATCAATCTCCTCTCTACCCCCAACTCGGACTTCGTTGTCGACATCGTGCTCTTCTGGGTATGCATTCTTCGAAGTCTTGGCACCATCGGTTTCCAACATCGTCGATCTAATAGGTATGTCGACGAAGGCGGGAAAACAAACCGATTGTGTCGCCCCCCACCAACAAATGCAATCAAAAGAATAACAGAAGATGCAAGAGATCGCTATGATAAGAACAAAGGTCGCGTATATTGCCACGTGAAATACCTTGAAAAGAGCCTTACCTTATGGCGCAATCGCGGTTCGGTTCCGCTCAGAGATTAGAGCCTTGGCATTGTCGAGATGTTGTTGTTGACGCGCTGTAGCATCAGGGCTACAAGCACCTCTTCATGATTCACGTTAGGAGAGTCAAACGTCGAAGTCATGCCACCCATGCGGTACCTGTCCTGAATGGATGATGCTCATGCTAGGCTGGCGTCATGTCGACCGCGTCATCCGTGTCGAGGCGCAGAGAAGCTGAGTGATTGAGAGCCACGACCGACGATACTGAGTATACCAATGAGGCGGGCGCAAAGGTGGTCTCCTCCAATTGTGGCCAGTCTTTAGTCCCCCGAAGTTTGCACTGTGGGCGCAGTTCAGATGTTTTCACAAGCAGATGTTGCAAGAGACGGCAGATGGGTGAGGTGTGGAGTTATTTCTGGAGCCTGGGGTCCCTGGACAACCTGGTCTTTCTGCCCTAGAGCGACGGTCTTATTTGAGGATATTCTGAAGCTAAGAGAGGACTATCTTCGAGTTCTCCAGGAGGCCCGTCGTAATCATCCCGATACTTGGTCGGGCAGTGGCGAACTTGCAAAGAGGATGCAATCGCGGTCCAGCATGGAGTCGACCATGACGGGGAATGAGGAGTAAGAAATTATTGGTGGCGGAGCAAGGCGTTGAAAGATCGAGTAAAGCCGCAGGTCTATCGAAGGCGGAGGAAGTGATGGAGCGAGATTTGTCCATCATGTAAGTGGCTGCATGGCGATGTCAACGGACATCTGGCGGWTACGCTTCAACTTGTGACATGGCTCCTTCCAAACCTGCACAAATCTCACGCTAGTCGCGCCCACCAGCCGCTCTCCCACTCCCACTGGATCCCGGGAAGGAATATCATACATCAATTTCTTATTCCGCTCTCTTWCGTCCGACATCCATCGCATTGCACGTTTGCGCATCAGCTCTCAACATGCCATCACCCTCCGTCGACCTCACGCGCAGGTTTCTCAACCCGAAATATGCAGATTTGCACGTCCGATGCGGCGAGAAGTCTTTTCACATCCATAGAGCCGTAGTATGCTCGGCCTCGGAGGTTCTCGCGATGGAGGTAGACAACAATATTATTGTGGGACTCTTGCCTCCAATGCTCTGCCGCAAAGCTAATGGAATCATGTACAGGAGGCCAACATGCGAGTCATCGAGCACACGCGCTTCGATGCGGCTACTATGGACAAGATGTTCCAGTACCTGTATCGTGGAGACTACACCTTCGACCCGGCAGACTCAATGGCAACGATTGTTCCTGGCGATGACACTGCGATTAAGGCTTTGTCGCTTCTCTCAATCGACGAGAACGCTTCGAACGAAGCTGTGCATCGACTTGCAAGCCATGTACGCGTCCATGCGGCCGCAGGACACTATGAGTTGGAAGATCTGGAGCAACTGGCAGTAGCCAAATTCTCGCTCGAACGAGAACGATTTGAACCACTTTCTTCGAGAGACCTGATCGCCATTGTAGTGGTCGTGGACGACCACCCGTCAAACGCGGCAACCGAGCTCCGGCGAGAAGCTCTGGGTACAGCTCTCAGCAATCGGAAGAAGTATCTCGCGAGTCCGGAGTTCCTTCGTAGCTTGCTCGAGCAGCACGAGCTTCGAGCGTTTGCCTCGAGCTTCTTTGAAGGAGTTACAAGTTACCACGAAAGCGAGTTGGACAACGTGGTGCAAGACTTCAGCTCAGAGATTCACAAGCTGCAACGCGAGCTACATGATGTCAGCTGCGAGAAGAATGCCGCATATCTCGACAGCAAAGCGCACAGCTCCGATGTGAAGAGCCTCTGGACGATCGAGAAAGCAGAACTTCAGCGAGAGCTCGTCCTTTCACGGACTTCGCGCGATATTGATCTGAAGGAGAAGGAAGAATGTCACGAGCGTGTCGTGCGTGGTCTCAATTCTGAAAAGGTCAAACTGAAGTCCGAACTGGTAGCTGCTCAGTCGAGAAACGACACCTTGCAAGCAAGGCAATTACTCCACAATGCCACCATCGCTTCTCTAGAGCGCCAGAAGGAGATCCTCCAGACGAGTGGCAACGCCAGTGCGGAGAACTACCAGAAGATGCATCAGGTCGTCGATCAACTAGTCGAGCTGAATCGCAGCAGTCAATGCCGCCATTGCGGCTATGACTTCATCTACGAGTTAGAGCGCTGGGGCGAAACCGGGTATCTGGCACGATGTGTGGTGTGTCGAACTCGGCACTTTGCTGGTCCAAATGATGGCTGCATTTGAAGGCGGCGAATCGGCCGTATTCAGTATCATGGTGATCGTGGAGGGTCGTTCTAGCATGTTACGTTTAATGAAAGCATAGCGAGGAGGGAAGAGCAAGCTTGTCGAATAGAACTACAGAGAAATTGAAATGAGAGATGGCATTGTGTTGAAAGTGGCGTTGCTGTCGCTCCAACCGTATCTGCTACCACGATAACAATCCAATGTATAATCATTGATCTCTACATCTCCTCACAAAGCAGGGCAATCATTCATGGCACGACTCAATCAATCCACAATTGCTGGGGTAGAGCAGTGGAAGAAGGAGCAAATGATCATGCCACTATATATACTAGTGCCTCGAGAGAGTGGTGCCTTAGGGCTGGGGCTGGAAGGGGAGGCGAGTTGATGCTCGCCAATTTTCGTTGTAGTGGACTGAATGAGCATCTTCGTCGCAATTACCTCCTCAAAATGAGAGCTCTTCGCCGCCGAGTCTCCCCTCCCAATCAATCATAAACCTGGTCAAAAAAGTTGTAGTCCATCTCCCTCTCATCATTCTATAATGAATCAAACTGTCTCAGCGCAGTCTTGACTCGTTCCTTGACATCAAGATTCAGATCATTAGCCAGCGCCCTCACCGCACCCTCAATCCCCAGCGCTCTCAACTCCTTGAATCTCGATGAGGCATCCCGCCTGTCGTCCCCTTCTTCAATCCAGGTAAGACTGTTTACCGCCCACACGCACATAACGCGAACGCGGGGATCATCATGCTTGAAATGTGGAATCATAGCTTGGAGGAGAGGTTTCTGCGCGATGAGCATTTGGCGGTGTTTCGGGGAAGCATTCGCTAGGTGGATGACAACATGGATGGTGCTGAGGACTAGATCAGTCGGGTTGTATATTTGACGTCCTCCAGAGATGGTGCGAGGAAGTKGTGCCAATTTGGCTGTCAACAGGTCGTAGACTTTGRCACTGCCGATTTGGTTCATGAGGTGATCTGAAAGTACCGCACAGTCTTCCCCGTGGATGAAGTTTCTAACAAAGTCAATGGCGTGCTTTTGGATCGCTGCCTCATGTTTGCGAGCGACGTATTCAGCATTCTCTTCTCGCTCACGAATAGAGGATAGATAGCGTTTGCTGTTGAACGCGGGCGTAGGCGGATTGAATGTTGATCGAATCGAGGACGATTGGTAGTGCGTACTAGAAGCCTCGTCGTACAAGACCTCGCCATCATCATCCTCGTCATCATTCATAGCATCTTCGGGTGCAGACGGCTCGTCGACATCCATGGAAGAAGGGTTAAGCAGGTCAACTTGCTCCCCGGCAGCATTGGGTGTGCTGAGGGCAACGCTGACCCCACCGCTGCCGGAGGATACTTCGCGCTGCTCGCCTTGGATTATGCCGACAAGCCAACCAGTCCCCAGCTCCTCTAGCGTACTTAGTTTGACTTCCTTGGGGCAACCATAGACAACGTGCTTCAACGCCCAGAGACTGGACAGCCTCAATGCCGGTGAATTACTTCGAGCGTGTTCGGCAAGCGTCTTTACCACATCGGCGTCTGAAAGGTCCTCCCGCATAGGACTGAAATCCTGGAGCAGATTGCAGCAGACGTCGGTGGATGCAATCTGGATTTCTAGCGATGGATGCTTCAGGAGTTGTGCAAGGGGTTTCGCAATGCCGCCGTCAATAAGACTAGTGCGTAATACAGCGACACTGCGGGCCATGGACAGCGCTGCGCCACATGCTGCAACTATGACCGGGATTGTATTGCCGTCCTTTGGTGCCAGTTGACTCCGCTGGCTCAGCGCGTCAGCTGCGGCATTTGGAGCGAATGGCCTCATAGAATCGATGATACAGCTGACAACGCCCGAGTCGATGATGGCTTTGCGATGAATATCTTCGTTAGCAGCAAGCGCCGCAATGGCCTTCAAAGCGCCCTGACGGCAGCGCAGAGCATGGACTATCTCTGACGGTAATGTCGCACTGCCCATGCGACACGTTTCCGGTGCGTTTGGGTTGACTGTCGCGTTTGACCTCGCAGACCACATTTGTTTGGCCAATGTCACATTGTCGAAGCTTTTCTTCAAGATTGGACAGACTTGCTTGATGGCTGTTGCGTCCACGGCAGCAATTTGTAGGTCCTTGTGGCAGGAAATCAGCAAAGCGAGCACGGCACAAGCCTGCTCCTTGACAAGACGTGAATCTTGCGGTGAATCTTTCCATTCCCCACCGCTGGATTCGTTGACGTCCTTCACCAGTTGAACTGCCAGTGGTACGGCCAATAATGCGAGCTGCCGTTGTCGCTCCCGAGTCTTTTGCACGAATTCTGTCTTGTGAGAAGGACCGGCTGGGTCGGCCTCGATTGCGTATGCAACGATAGCAAGAAGTCGAAGTGCTATGACTCTCMGCAGACCATACGCTTTGCGAGCATAGACGAGGAGCCAACCACAGACAGCATTGGAATGGTCTATATCTCCAACTGGTGAGACGCCCCCAGACTGGGTGCTCCCAGATTTCCCATTGTGCAAAGTCTTCAAAGCAGGAAAGTTGTTGGATCCTGGGTTGTGCGAGATGGTTCTGTTTGCGGGAATGTGCAGTGCAGGTAACAAGCTCTCGTGTGGGTTCATGAAACCTTGTCGAGCTCCAAACTGTTGGCGATGGTCGTTTGAATCGTTACCTGTGCGCATAAAGAGATCCCATACACATGGCGCGAGGATGAAACGATGAGCTCGATAGCTGGACCCTTCAATGGTGGTGGCAATGGCTGCAAGTATACTGGGGAGGTCGGCATCTGAAGGAGGTGGTGGGTATTGGGAGGCATCACCGCGGTAATGCAAAAGCTTGATGTTGATCGTATGGGAGACAAGCAGCGCCGAAAGGGTGTCGAGAACGCCGCAATTAGTGACCAACGACTTGTGTCTCTCTCGGTCTCTGTCTCCGGGAATGACGGATATGATTTCGGCTATGAGACGCACATGTTGCTTGTCGCCCTTCTCTAGAAGCCGGTTCATGTCTGATAGAGTTGTCCCGTTGATGACAATTGACCAGAAATCGTAGTCGGCAAGAGCATCGTCGGCGGTTGAGCAGAAGATGGCCGTCGCTTTGAGTGCGTGGAGGGCGGCGGTAATGAGTCGAGAGTCCATTTCACCGTCATCAACCGACATGGTATCTACAAGAAGGCCTGGAATGTTGGCCGCACATAATGGATGAAGAAAGCCTGCTCCGCCGGCCGCGAGACTTCCAATGATGAGAGTAGCTTGGAGTCTGAGTTCATCTTCGGGGGTCCACTCATGAATCTGATTGAGTGGCACGCCCTGAGATTCAGCCTTTCGTTTCCCGATGGCCTTTTGGGCTGTGGATAGTAGATCTGCGAGTGGCTGAACAATGCCATTCTTAACGACGGCTTCCTTCCTCTGCTCCTGGCCGACAATGATGTTCTTTAGATGTCTGGCTACGTGTAATTTCTGCTCGGATGATGCGGATACATCGCGAAGAACCGAGATGGAGGCCACGATTGCATCATGGGCCATGATGGGATGAGTGTTTGATGCTTGAAGGTGTAATTGTAGATGTGAGGTTGTATAGAAGGCGCTAACTGGGTAAGGTAGGTATGTACATCTCGTAAAACTCGTAAGCATCAAACTTCGATGCCGAGGAGAGAATTGCATGCAGGTTCGACCAACTTTGTGTTGCATACGCTGCTCCCATCAAACATCATTAAAACAAATCGCCTCGATAGAATATTCCGCGTCCTCCCCAAACCTCCCTCCATGTCGTCTGTGTGCGACGACTTGAACTGCCCGACCAAGGTCTCGATTGTCTTGCAACGCGAATGACGCAGATTGTACCATGGGTCGGCGAAGACCCGTCTCGTCACATTGCGCTTGCAGTTCATACAAGTAGGTGTGGCCAGTGGCTGGTTTGCTTCTTTTGATTCCATACCGCCTATCATCCTCGCTCAATAATGTTGATGAACCATCGTTTGCATCATCAGGCACAGTTTTGATCATCGGGCCGTCCACCGGGTTGCATCTGCACGCCGCGCATTCGGGAGTGGGCCCATGGCACTACGCCCTGCTGGGGTTTGGGCACGCCGCACTTCGCAGCAGACGAAGCACGTGGTCGCGCGAGCCTCTCTCTATCGATTCATCTTTAAACATCCTGCTTCGTGCCACAATACTCCCGAACTAGCCCTGAGAAACTCTGCACATTACGGAACGCTGGACGCCCTCTAACCATCACCGCCCTGCGTTTGCTCATCTTCTGTCCAATCGGTGCCCTCCAGCCTCGAAGATGCGACAGGCGCAGATGCCGAAAGCGACATACTTTCCACTACTATGAGCACTGTGCTTCGCTCGCCGGATGCCTCACCCTCTTCCTTCCACTACGCGACGGCAACGGCGTCGGCTTCACACCGCCCTGCATCCCGCAGCTCGCACATTTACAACTCGCCCCGGCGTCCCTTCAATGTGCCCGTCGAAACGGCGCCCATCCCGATCACAGCGAGCAGACCTTCCGCCACCGGCTCCGTGGCAGGCAGCGCTGGTGGTAGCAGCGTGGGATACGTGGATGTAGGGACGCAGTACAGCCCGGACGGCCTTCCTCCCACTGCTGGACCCAAGCTGGCTGCCGGCGTGGGGAAGCCTCCGGGTGGGGACGCTGTGACCACGCGGAAAAGGAAAGGCTCTTTGACGGTGTCCGAGTCGGTAGGGGCATCAGAGTCGGACACTTCCCCCGAGCCCATGAGTGGGTCCAGCGCCTCGGATGGCGCCGCGTTTCAGGTCCCCGGCAAAAACACTGCATCGCACATGGCTGCAGCTCATACACCTGCACCTGCGCATCCAGAACTGCAAGAGGCGCGCTCCACTCATGGACATTCAGCCGCACCTAAGAGAGCGAGGCCTGAACCAGGCTCGCTGAAAGTCATGCCGTCAAAGTATGAGACATGCAATCCCAAGGACCTGGGCGTTCTGATTGCCAACATGCTCATGGAGCTCATTCGGATCAACGATCAGATACCACTGCGTGATGGTCGCTTGACCAGATTTCACTCTCGGGCGCCTCCTGGAATCAGCGTCTCTGACTATCTTCAACGATTAATACAGCACGCAACGCTTTCACCACCGATCATGTTGAGCATGGTCTTCTACATCGACAAGCTCTGCACGGACTACCCAGCTTTCACGGTGAATAGTCTCACCGTACACCGTTTCCTCATTGCAGCGGCGACTGTTGCAGCCAAAGGCCTGAGTGATTCSTTTTGGACAAATCCTACATATGCCCGTATCGGAGGCATACCGGTGTCGGAGCTGGCGACTCTAGAACTGGAGCTACTGCAGAGGGTGGACTACAGAATTGTGCCAAAGCCAGAAACGCTGGAAGATTACTATGCAAGTCTGGTGGAACGGGCGGATGGCTACACTTTGGAAGAATCGAGCAACTCGGGATCAGAAAGCGATGCCACGAGTGACTTTAATAAGGAGATGAAGAGTGAAGATGTCCAATCCGTCAAAGTTGAAGACGAGGATGATATCATGGCGGATACCGCGACATGAGCGTATTTATCAGAAGCTATCGTAGTTGGTATGTCTGGATTGAAGAACAGATTCCCCGCACGGGCTCGCTCGGACGATGCATTTTATGCTTGGATCAGCATGTAAACGGCTGTTGCGAGAGACATCGCCGAGGCGACGTGGAGTTGGAATAGCAAACAAAGCGTAAGCATGGATTGGATGGGAAGATTCTCAAGACTTGCATGTCTCGTATCGAGTCCTGCGAAAAGGAGGAGTCGATACCTACCTAGGTATGAAATGGCATATCGGAGGGCATATTGACCGGCGTCTGGGAATGGCTTTACGATGGGACGGTTGCGCATTCGAAACATTTCTGGTTGAGGCTGGCAAAACTGCGAGCGTTCAGCATCAGGTATGAGAAATCGTCTACGATACTAAACATTACTGAAACGACTGAACTATATCAAAGAGTGTGGTTCATCAAGATCAATATACATTTTCCGCCGCAGAGAGGCATCGATTGTCGACTACGATTGACATGATCAAGAAGCATACTTCTTCACCCACGCCTTCCCAAAATGGAAATCAACAGCCGCCCAATCTTCCTCCTTCAATGTTGCAGACTCAACTGGCTGCACCGCCCATGCCTGCTCCCGGTGAACACACTCTCCATCCACTCCATAATCCGCACTGACGCGGACTTTTCCAAGATACAAATGCGCGGTATCTAGCATCGAAAGCCCCTTTACCATCCGGAAAATCTCATGCACAGTCCTCGGCCATGTTGCAGGCGTATAATCGTCCTGGAAGGCTACCTGCAGATTCAAGGTTTTGATGAAGAACGGCCCTGTAGTGCGAAATTTAGGATTGTGGTCTAGGAATGTGGGACCTTGAAAGATGAAACGACTGAGAAAGTTCAAGAGGGTTTTGAATGCAAAACCCGTCACGCCGCCATGTGCGCGGAAATGTTCTGTCGAGAGGATCGTGAGGTTTACATTTAAGTTGAGTTGAGATTGCGGCCGGAGACCCAGGTTTAGGTAGGTGAATCGGGGCGTGTAGGTTGCTCCTTTGGCGAAGATGTCGAGGGTTGCGGACATGGAATTTGTCTTGTAGAGTTGGGATATGAGTTTTTGGGTCTCGGAGCGGATTTGGTGATTTACAAGGAAGAGTTCGAGGGGTCGCCAGGGCGAGGATTCCGACCAGAGGTAAATTTGTTCATTGGTGTGTGCGGGTTGGATGGTATGGAGAGTTCGCGTTGGTGGAGAGTAGGTTTGTTCCATTGTTGCTAGGTAYATTTGATCTCTGAGCTCTCTTGGAAGCGCTAGGAGGTAGCATTGCAACAACGACATAGTGGGAGTGGGCGGATCAAAGGATGTGAATTGAAGGGCGATGGGAGATGTTGTGCTTCTATATACTTTTTCAACCGCCGACCGCCTCTTTAGCTGCATGTCTCTATCCCCGGGGGTAGGCGGGTTGTCGTTGTGTCCTCTTATCGTGAAGTAACACAGCATGGCGTACGGAGGAACGAGGTGGTGGAAGTGTGGTCGCACCAGCTGAAAGTCTGGCGCTAGCTTCCTGCATCACCTCACTCCATCGACATTTATAGAACCGAGCAATATACACTCAACGACATGCGGTCAATCCTCCTCATCRCCGGCGCGGCATTGGCCTCTGCTGCAAACCTCACTGTTGCCGTACCTGCCTCTCAACATCTCCCCAACCCGGGCACCCTTCCACCCTCAACCCATGCCGTTCTCCTAGGACCTCCAGGTGTCCGCTACGACGCGCCCATACGCCGCGATAGCACCTTCCTCTTCCCCGATCTCCCCGAAGCCAGCTATCTCCTTACAGTCCACTCGAGAGACTACTTCTTTGCTCCTCTCCGTGTCGATGTCCAACAACCGGCTTCAGCAGAGGAGGAACTCCAGACAATCGAGGCATGGCAGACTTTCCGTGGGAACGAGTGGAGCAATAAAGGTCCCTCTTACGGTGCAGGAAAGGGTGCTCTCACAGTGCAAGTCCGAGCTGCAGCGCCAAAGGATTTTTACCAGGAACGAGGAGGATTCAGTCTATTGGGCTTTTTGAAGAACCCTATGATATTGATGGGCCTGTTTTCGGTCGTCATGATCTTTGGCATGCCTTATTTGATGGAGAATAGTACGTCTAGTATAATACATGGAATGTTGGAGATGCTAATGTACGGTGAACAGTGGATGCCGAGACCAAAGCCGAGTTCGAGGAGATGTCGAGCAAATCCCCACTCACGGGTGCGAGCGGTACTGCAAATTCACTGCAGAACTTTGATCTGGCGGGTTGGATGGCGGGGAGTTCGAAGACTACTGAAGCTCCCTCGGGGGGTGGGGGGAAGAAAAAGTAGTGGTGTTGCAAGTTTACTAAACGTGAACCAAGAACTGTCTCACGACTTGATGTGATACTGCATGTGCATTGTTTTCGTCTCCTCGTCCTAACCAGCATTCAATCCGCCAACAGTCTCCTCACGCTTCTCAGGTATGCCTCAAGGAGCAAATTTGTTTACGTGACTCCCAACATTCTTCTGCTCGTTTTCGCTCGCTGTCCAAGACCCCATGGTACTTTGATAAGAGGGATATTAATCTAAGGCAGCTTGCATTCGTTGACGCTGTCGAGACCGTTAGAGGCTCCCGCTCGAAGAACCCCGCTAGGTGCTAGGCGATGGATCAGGGGTATCCTGAATTGGGACATGCTGGGTTCGAGCGTTTTACTGCCCTCTGGGATTTCCCGCGGCATGTTGCTGCTCCACTCCGACGTTCCGACCGGCCTTGGGCTTCTTGAACGACGGCATGTGGGGCACCGGGGGCGGAGTCCCATCACGAAGATCGCTTGGTTCCGCCTTATTGTCGTGCTCCCGTATCTACTGACGCCGGGTGCTGTGGTGGAGGGCCCGACATATTGATTTGGTATCGATGTAGTGCTGCTGATGTTGCTGCGAGCCGCGAAACGGATTGTTGATGGGCCGCAGCACTTGCTACCCCTGTTGTCCTCTGTATTGAAGCTGCAATTGAGGTTGTTGGCAGGAACTATTCATGAGATCATCTTCGACAGATGCGTCAATGATACCAGGTAATGGCCCACCACGTCGGCCGACACTCATTCATTAGATTAGTCTTCCCGCTGCATGATCGATTCCGACGTKCGCTAGAGCCTCAATGTCAAGACGAGAAGCGTCACGTAGGCGGCAATGCTCAGACTGGTGAGTACGACGACAACGTTTCCACTCGTGCGGAATCTTGCAACTTGTTAGCAAATGCAATGCTCTTGTTGGATAGAAATGACTGCCTACCGCTTCCTGTGCAAGCCATCTCCACCAACTTCACTGAAGAATTGGCGATTGCCTTGTGCACGGCGGAACGCACTGACTGCGAGCACTCCCGCGCCATAGACTGCGAAAAGCGCTCCTGATGAATCTTGTCAGCGTAGGCGACGGAAGCTCCAGGAAGCTTGCATACCTATACTATAGAATTCGCTCGTAAAGATCTTCAGCACTACCAGCGCAAAGCTGAATTGACTGAGACTGGTACGGACGTATGCGCCTTCAAACGTTCGCTGAGCAGCCCGTATCTCAACGAGCTCTCCAGGCGTCAATACGATGGAGCGAGCACGGTGTGAGCGTAGACGGTAGCCTGATTGTGTATGACGGGACTGGTGATGTGTTAGACGTCGGTATAGCATGGCGGGCTGGGTGATGCAGCAAGGATGGTGGTACAGCTTCTTGGCCCAGCTCAAGCCATGTCGAGATTGAGAAGCATGGATGCAATGGAAAGGTGGGCAATGGACATGGTTACCTCGAACATGGCGACTAGCAACGCATGGTGCTGCACGATGCGGCACGAGTCTTGGAAATAACCGCGAAGACACAAGGCTGACGGGGGTGGGAGCTGTGTTGATGGTAAGTGGGGAGAGACCAGCTGTGAGGATGATGGGGGTGCCTCAGGTGCATGCAGTGCAGCTCCGAAAGATGGTGTGAGACCCAACAACCACAGTTTGCTACTCCTACATTACCCCGACGGTGACCGATCCGCGATGCGAGCAACGAGGCGTGAAGCTAAACCTGCGTGGATGCCTCCTTGATCCCTCAGGAAGACGCCGGTGCTGGTCTGTGGGTGCTGGTGTGAGCGTGCGGGGCACCCCTGCCTCCCGCCTCCGCCGACAATGGATGGGGCCCTCCTCCCGTGGCCGTCCGTTTGCATCCGCTTTACCTCCCCTCCCTCCCTCCGTTCTGCTTCCTTGCCCTCTCGCCTTCCATTCACTCCTTCCTCGCCACATCAGCAAGTGTCGGCGCTGTGGCTTCCATATTTCGAGCTATCCTCAAGCTCTACACACCAACCCCCCTTCACAAACGCCTGCCGGCATTCTTCTACTTTGACAATACCAGACGTGTCAGGACCTTGCTTGCACTGTCAGTAGCCAACATGGCGGAATCAATTAATGGCTTCACTTCCGTAAATCATCCACAGCCGCCGCTCACACAACCCACTGCACCTTTGCCGGCAATGCACATGATGGATCCACCTCCTACCGCGGGAGTGAAGCGGAAACGCGAGTCCAAGACCAACCAGCCAAAGTTTTACGCGGTCCGCATCGGGAAGGAGCCCGGGATATATCATACCTGGAACGAATGCCTAGATCAAGTCCGCGGATYTCCAAAAGCCATGTTCAAATCATTTGCGACCTTGAGTGATGCGCAGAAGTTTGTCAACAATGAGGAGACTGCGAGTAGTGGGGTGGRAAAGGTCACCAAGTGGTATGGAGTGCGGGCAGGTCGGAAGCCGGGCGTGTACACCTCCTGGCAAGACGTACTYGATCAGATCACTGGATGGAAGGGACCCAAGCATAAAGGCTTCAAGACGAAGTGGGAAGCTGAGCAGTATGTCGCAGATGCGCAAGGTTATGCAGCGCAGGATATACCCGTGGGAAGCATTGAGGCGGGAGAGCCTGTGAGGAAGGCGAAGAAGACGAAGAAGGGAGTCAAGGATGAGCTCAGTCCACCGCCGATGGAGCAGGGGGAATACGAGCCTGGAGAGGCGCCCTTAGGAGAGGATGCCGAAGATGGCTTCGACTCCAACATCCTTCTGGACCACACCACGGATGGTGCGCGCTACAAAACGAGGGAAGAGCGCGAGAAGATGACGTATCAAGTTGCCCGTCCAGTCAGAGATGCACCAATACGAATCTACACAGACGGCAGTTCTCTTAGCAATGGGAAGTCAAACGCGTGGGGTGGTGTTGGTGTCTTCTTCGGCCCTGCAGACAAGCGAAATATCAGCGAACCTCTTTCTGGAACCAAGCAGACGAACCAACGCGCAGAGCTGATGGCCATGGTACGAGCGCTGGAAGTTGCCCCCAAAGATCGAAGGATTGTTATCGTTAGTGACAGCAAGTACTCCATCGATTGCGTTACGGATTGGTTTCACAACTGGCAACGCAACGGCTGGGTGAATTCTGCGAAGAAGCCGGTGGAGAACAAGGATCTTGTGCAGAAGATTCTCGATCAATTGGACGAGCGCATACGCCTCAATGCACATCGTGTCGAGGATGGAGAGGATGCGCCGAGTACGGACAAACGCTCGGTGTGGGATCGCGGTCCTGGTGGGGTGAGGTTTGAATGGGTGAAAGGGCATGACAAGGACGAGGGCAACTCTGCTGCAGATGTGTTGGCTGTTGCAGGAGCGAGGACTGCGCAGGAATTGGGAAGAGATGTTACGTTTGAGGATTGAAAACGACAAAGCGTACATTCTACCAAGATGCGAGGTACCAAAACCGACAACTCAACAGATGAAGATCCTATGCCACGGAGATCGAAGATTCGATCATTGCCTGTCCAACAACCTTCCATGTCTGGGCCGCATCATTGAAACCTCACTGATGGCACTTTTGAGCTACAACATGAGTTGCCGCATCATCACCCAGTGCACTCAGAAACGAACGGACTTCCTGAAACTGCCTGGCGACTTCATTTCAGACGATGGCTAGGTCGCTCGCTATACACAAAAGGCACTCCAAACATGGCATGTCTCACCGCTTGCAAAGCTGCCTGCGATCATCGCAACACGAAGCAAAGCATCATGCTCATGACCACGTCAGAATTGGCTTGATGGTTTCCTGTTTGCAAAAGTCAGCATGCTTTGCGCACTCAATCTTACAAGGTAGACTCACTCCAGTGTGCATCTCGTGAAGAGCTTGATTGAAGTCGGCCGCAGGCATGAGCTTCATCAATTTATCGATTGGGAATTTTCCATCCCTGTACCACTGAATCATCTTGGGAACATACTCTGGTGGGTATGCGCCACCCTCAATAGCTCCCACCCATTGCTTTCCAGCGACCATGTTGACGAAACCGCTAAAGTTCTTGAGCGTGTAATCGAAAGGAGGTGATCCAACCTGGATGTACATTCCGTGATTTCTTGTGAACTCCACGCCGGCATCCATGAGTACTGGGGCACCTGTAGTATCGATTGTGATGGTGGATCCTACTCCGTCTGCGAGTTCCCGGATCACATCGACAAGAGTCTTGCCCTCGTCAAGCTTGGAACCATCGATGACATGTGTAGCGCCCAACTCCTTTGCAAGGTCGAGGCGAGACTGAACTTTGTCAATTCCGATGATCATTCTGCAGCCTTGAATCTTTGCTCCCATGACAGCAGAAAGACCCACTCCTCCAAGACCCATGATACAGATTGCGTCTGATGGTCCGGCTTTTGCAACGTTGACGACGGTCCMGCTTCCTGTTTGGATACCGCATCCTAGAGGAGCGAAGAGCTGCAGATCCTTCTTGTCGTTTACGAGTCCCGACGCGTTCACAACAGAGCACTGTTTGACGATGCTGTAGTTGGCGAAAGATGACTGGCCGAAAAAGGTACCGTCGATTTCGGGCTCGCCGCCGCTTTTGGAAGCTAGCTGGAAGACCTTGCCAGGTCCAAAATTGAGATCATTAAAGGAGACGCAGTTGGAGTGATGGCCAGCTTTACAGATTGCACAATTCTCGCAAAAGGCAAAGGACAGTAGAACCGGGTCCCCGGATTTTGCAACAGTGACACCTGGTCCAACAGCTCGTACGTATCCAGAGCCTTTCACAGATTAGAAAGTGTCTTGGCTGTTTGTTCTTCATATGCATACCTTCGTGGCCCAATACACGCGGGTAGAATGCAATGGGAGCTGCGCCGGCTGGGATGCCACCAATCAAGGCATCGGTGTGACRGACTCCTGTAGCGACCATTTCGACCAACAATTCTCCCTCGCCAGGCTGTCTCAAGCCAACCTCTTCCATCTTCCATCCTCCATTCTCAAAGGTATCATGCGACACAATCGCTCTYGCAGTTTCAGGGACCGACATGGTGAATGAAGCTGCTCGTCCGAATCGTTCTTGATGTTGCCAAAGTTTGCGAAGGGAGACGGGGATGTTGTTTGAAGATCGAGAGCTCATGCACGGAGAAGGGGAGGTATGGRGCAGTGTGGATTAGGAAGAGGTGGTAACTTATAAGCACCCCATCGTGTGCAGATGAGGAGCTCTTTTTACCGTGGGTAGGGAAAGTGGCTGACCACTGTGGTCGGGATCCAATCGATGGAAGAGCCAGCGTGCTTCCATTGAACCTTTTTCGTCGCACTAGGCTTACGGCTGAGTTTCTGGGAGTTGTGGAAGAGGTTGTATGGCAAGCTGATGTGGTTCTTGCTGCGGGGTTGAGGTCCCCGCGTGTGAGGTGAGAGCCGTGGTGGGGTACCGTGCCTTGGTATGATCATGGGCGGATGTTGTTCCGCAGGTCGTGTTTTCGGTTCAGGTTTTCGTGGTTGTCTTCATCCAGTTTGCTAACAGAGAGCTGGTTGATGGTAGAACGAGTCAAGAGTTTCTTGTCCTGGGTGCTGAAAGGCTCGATTGTGCCCATATTGCCAACGACATGTAGTCGTCTTTGTTTTATGTCGGATCGGTTGAGCTCGGCGATTTGATTTGACGGACTTTTGCAGCCGAACCGATCAACACACACCAAACCGACAAGCTGCGTGCACTTGCACACCAATCAACCCCAACAGCTGATTTATGTTCATGCAATCGTCTCACCACCAGGATGGTCAGATGTACGAGCCAGCAGTCATGTCAGCATCAGCCGTCGAGGATTCCAGCTCCATGAAAGAGGTTGAGCAACATGATCCACATCCTGTCGACAAACCATCAAGTCCTCATAAAAAATGGAAAAAGGCAGCCCTCTCCTTCATCGACGACCAGTGGTTTCTGATATCCATGGGCCTTGTAATCGCCATAGCCTCTCAAGTCCAAGTTCCCTCCTCTCAACAAGAAGTCAAGTCCACAACAGTCTCCTATCTCTGCGTCAGTCTCATCTTCCTTGCCACCGGATGCACTCTAGACACCAAAGTCCTCCTCCGCAATGCATCGCGCTGGAAAGCACACCTCTGGGTGCAAGGAAATTGCTTTTTGACATGCTCTGCATTGATGTTTGGACTCGTCTCAGCGACAGCCACAAGCAAGCATTTTATGGATCCAGGACTCCTCATCGGCCTGGTTTTTCTGAGTTGCGTTCCGACGACGATAGCCAGCAATGTCGTTATGACGGGCCAAGCGCGTGGAAATACCGAGCTTACAGTCGTGCAGACCAGTATAGGGAACTTCATCGGAGTTTTCCTCTCTCCTGCTTTGGTTGTGATGTATACCACGGTCGATACATGGTACAACTCGGTTCTCCCTCCCAGTAGCACGGATCAGTTCCCGCAGATATACCGGCGAGTGCTCATGCAGCTCGGTCTGTCCATCTACGTTCCGCTTCTCGTTGGCCAAGTCATTCGATACTTCTTCGAGAATGCTTGCAGTACCGTCTTCCGAAAATGGAAGTTCAACAAAATCGGTTCTCTCTGCATGCTGGTCATTATCTGGTCAACATATGATCAAGCATTTCACTCAAACGCCTTTGCGAATGTGAAATCGAGCAATCTTGTTTTCGTGGTCTTTGTCCTGCTAGGCATGTGGATGTTATACTTCAGTATCGCCTTCTTCATATCGAACCTTTGGTTTCCGAGGAGAGATGTCATTTCCATCACATACTGTGTTGCGGCCAAAGGTCCGGCTTTTGGTGTTCCCTTGTCGAATGCCATCTTTGCTGGCATTGATCTTGAGCTGGAGAGTAAGATACAGGTGCCAATTGTAATCTATGCCGCGCTGCAAATGGCATTTGGGAGCATATTAGTAGTGATCTTCCGAAAGTGGATGCAGAGCGTAGAGAGGGGGAGAACCCAGCGAATGCTAGAATTGCAGCAAGCAGAACAGAGAGAGTAAGAGTGACAGCCGAAAAATAGACGGCCCAAGAGATCGCAGGGTAGCTCGCGAGCTAAATACCAGGACCGTGATAGCCAGATTTGGGGACAACTCACCACTCCAAGTTGAGAGCACACATCTAAGGATGAGATGGATAAGAATGATGTGTTGGTGGAAGTGATTCAATCCTCTCGATTAATCTATCCCCATTTCCTGACGGTCTTCGACCATGCGTCTGTCTTTATACATCGCTTCGTCCTTGTCCCGTCTATAATAAAAGAAACAGAAGTATTAACATTAATAACAGGAATCAATGCAGATCCCTATACGGTTGATAATCTTCTTCGCTGGTGGCTGGCAATGCTCATTCAGAATCGCCCTCACAGGTCCGGCCGGTGGCGCGATCCCTCATGCTTGAAGGCTGCTGTGAGAAATTTGAAAAGGCCATGTACGTGAACGCTTGAACGCTTGCTTCTTTCCACCGCCGTCTCGCTCCTAGGCGGACTCGTGGTATCTCAATCCTMCCTCGCGACTTCATACGAGCGGCTTCTTCACATCCTGCACACCGCGCTTGATGACGTCTTCCAGCTTCCACCGTGGTGGTGTAAGTGCTGGGTTCTCGCCAGATTCCAGACATGAGCGAATGTCCATTTCCTTCTCATTTGTGAGACCCTCATGCATTGGCTCCTGTCCGCCCGCAATTCCGGAGCTGAACTTCAATTGGAGAACTTCACCAGCCTGGTCGACTGCTGCGAGTAATCTGTCAAGATCGTCCTTGGTATGTGCTGCACTCACACAGAAGCGTGCTCGTGATGAGATGAGAGGAGTGGCGGGGTATCCGACGACAACGACCGCAATCTTCCGCTTCAGCATTTCATGCGAAAAGGCAGGAATCTTGGCTGGGTGGTAGAGGAGGAGTGGGATGATTGGACTGTCATCATGTCCGTAAATGATGAAACCCAATCGCTTCAATCCGAGGCGAAGATATCGGCTGTTGAATCCAAGACGTTGCAGACGCTCTTCACCCTGGCCAGGTGCCAAGTCGCCGGAGATGATTCTCAAACTGGTGCTGATCTGGCTCAACACGGCTGGAGTTGGGCACTCTCCGTAAAGGGTTCCGGCATTGTTGACGCGAATCTTGTCAATGAGGGCCTTGCTGCCGGAGATGTAGCCTCCATTGGCACCGAAGCTCTTGGTGAACGTTCCCATTAGGATATCAACGTCGGCGGGATCGACTCCGAAGTAGTCACAGACACCGCGACCGCGTGGACCCAGTGCACCGACTGAATGTGCCTCGTCGACATATAGCGCAAACTTGTACTTCTTCTTCAATGCCACAAGACTGGGCAGGTTGCAAAAGGTGCCCTCCATACTGTATAGGCCTTCGACAGCCACGAGGATCTTTCTCCACGGGCGGTGTGTTCTGGGCTGACCCTGTGATATTCTCTCCCGAAGAAGACGCTCGAGATCGGCCATGTCGTTGTGCTTGAACATGTCAATAACAGCACCGCTGAGTCTTGCTCCAAACCGGATCGATGCGTGGTTGAGTTGATCGGAAATCATCAAACATCCCTTGCCGACAAGTGCAGGGAAGATGGTGGCGTTGGTGACGAATCCCATCGAGTAGATGGTCGCCGCGGGCTTGCCAACGAACTCTGCGACCTGTCGTTCTACATCGACGTGCAGCTCAGATGTTCCGACATCACCTCTGGGTGAGCAGAATGAGATTCCATACTTTCTCAAACTCTGCTCAGCAGCGTCTGCACACTCGCCTTCGGATTGTGCGAAGCCCAGATAGTTGTATGATGACATGTTGAGTGTTTGCGTGGTCGTTCCAGTCAGCTTGAAGGAGAGGTTGAAGTCGTCACTCGCCCGATCGAGGAGGGTGATGAATCGGCCGGGAACGCCCGTGACTGGCCGTCTGAAGCAGTCGTTGATTCGCAATTGCAGGCGTCGGATGTAGAAGTTGTCAAAGTCGGAGTTGAGTGGTGCGTAGCCGTCGCATTCCCGCAGCTGCTTGTAGTGATCTGGCTTGAATCTCTTTCCGAAGAAATCGCGAACGTGTCCGAAGATGATGAGGATGAGGTAGGAGATGTACGTGGTGATGAGATAGTAGTACGGTGGCTCATCCTCAATCGGCTCGGGGAACTCGGTCCCGACAAATCTTGACGAGTACAGGTGCTGTTTGGATCCAAGCGGGCCGAACGCTGCGTGTTGCTTCGYAATCCGTCGTGCCTCTGCTGGYGAAGGCGGGGAGAACAGCGTCAATGGCTTGGGAAGGTCTTCCATCTTGCTCTTCTCGCCAGTCGCAGTCGTGAGGTTGATCGTGGGCAGGCTGAGAGTGGATATTTGCGGGCTCGGTGGTCGGAAGGACTGGAACTGAGGCGCTTCTAATCTCGTCTGCTCCAACGCAGGTGCTACTTTGACGTTCTTGGGTGATGTGTTGGAGAACGGGAGATTGAAGCGCGGACGCGAGAACCGTCGATTTGATTGTGGTGAATGGGCGGTTTCAATCATGCGTATGGGTTCCTTTTCGGACAGAACAGTGTCGGTGGTCGCGACAGGCGAGGCGAACGGATTGAGAGCGCGAATTGCAGGCATGGCGTCTGTGGTTCGGGGGATTGAGTGTTAGTTGTTGTTGTCGATGGTGAAGCGATAGACGAGGTGGCGTTGCAGCCAAATCCCCGCGGTGAGTTTGATGGAAGAGGTGGAGAAAGAGAAGGTAAGTGATAAGGCAGTCGCGATGACTGTAAGCACGAAGGGTAGGCGCAATGGGAGGATATTGTTCTGGCGTGAATGATGTAACAGAAGTCRAGGTTCGTGGTGGCTGTCAGGTATCCGCCAACTTCCACGCGCGACAGCGGGTCTAGGACCAACCCGGTTGCCGTGTGGTCGTCGATGTCGATGATGTGGTGTATCGTCGATGCTAAGCCAGAATAATCCGTGCGCAGCTGTCTCGCGGGGAGATGGTGTGGTGATGCTGAACTGAGCTGATACGGCGCGCGGTTTGGCCTTGTTCGCCGGGGCTTGGAAACGCAAGCGAATGCGTCGGATGCAGGCAAGGCAGAGGATGTGAGGAGGAATGTGTCAGGGAAGGGGGCTTGGCTCACCTGCGTTTGGTCTTCACGCGGACATTCCTCGCGCAATGCAGCAGTCTCGTGTCGTTGATTCGGAGGTGCTTTCCAGCACTTCAGAACAACCAACCTCCCGTCTCTCACTATTCCTTCTCCCTTCTTTCAGACGTGGCGGGCTCCTTTTTCGCGCGCCGCTCGGGTATGACGCTGTCTCCGGAACAAGCTTTGGCTCCAATGCCCAAGTCCAAGCGTGCAAACAGTGCTCAAACACGTCGCGAGCTGGAAATATCGTCGAAATTGGCCCGTCCAAGAGGTGTCGCAGCAGGGTGTCGATGTTGAAACAGCAGATGGATCCGTCTTTTACTGATCAGACGGAATGGCGAGGATGCCGATGAAGAATCCTCAGATCGCGACAATCGGCGAGCGCAATTTCCGGTTGATTAGGGATTGCCCGACTACTCCACCGACCAACCCGAATTGAGGATTCTTTGCACCACACCAATCTCATCAGGGGCAACGCTCTGGTGTGTGCTCAAAGATCTTGTCCCTGGATCGATGAACACCGCCCCTACTTCCGCACTCCGCTCCTACGTAGGGCTGCCGAGCGTTGCATCTTTGGCCAGGGATCTACCGCATGTCGGAACATTGTTCTAACCGGGTTCTTGTGGAACGTGTGAAGACAGAATACTTGCCAATATGTGCACCATACAAGATTCGAGGCGCATCTGTTCAAGTCGAGATCTGCGCATCTTGACAAACCCCGACCATCGATCTTTCAAATCCTGTAAAGGAGTCGCACCGTGTACGGACCCGACGTATTCGTTGAGGCTCGGTCTCGCTTCAAGGGACCAGCACCTCAGCTGTTGTTCTACAGCAAGGCTGTTGTGGGACCCGACCGTTCCGAGCGCCGAACTATCGACGATCCATCAATTCTTTGTTCCGCATCATCAAATATTGACAGGCTGCAGGTGGTTGTGTGGTGCTGCGTGCAACATTCTCCTGTCAAACAGCGCCTCACTGCCTCAGAGTCACAACATATTGCCATGCATGACTTCCGCGTGCTTGCAGCTTGTACGAGGCTCTACCAGGGGCCTCGCAGCTCGCCAAATGCTGTGCTCCGATGAGCGAATGCAAGGTAAGAYATGTCACCTGAAACTCGATTCTGCTGTCGTGAGAAGAGGTCCTTCCTATACCGTGAGAGCGATATACAAATCTACCTACCATTTAGCCCAGACGTCGGCAGCGATCCCAATACAAGTCGTGATGTCATGAAGTGAAGGCATGCGCATTCGCACCGTGGCAGGGGTTGCTTGCCGGGTTGGTGCTGTCGTCTGTGCTTTCTTCACAGCCTCTATTATTGATGACTGTTTCGTGCTGGTGCTGATGCACTCATCAGACTGGCTGGATTGCGATGGGGAAGTAGGTTCTCGATCTCCACCTGAATCGATACTAAATGGAGTTGAGTTGCGTGTTCCGCGCCATTCAGAATCAATCAGGTTCTTTCCAGGCTTTCACGATGGGAGCAAAATCTGATGTTGAGCTTGAGAAGACTTGGGCTTTGAGCCCATCTGTCTTGGCCTTTGGGCAGTGCCATGGGTAGGACGGGACGGGAGTTCTTGCACATCTCAGAGACGGCYGAACTTGCTCCGACACATCCGAGCACTGGGCTTGCACATGAAGGATGAGGTGCAAGAGCTAGTTATAGTACATTCCTCAAGCAAAGCAATAGAAGAGCAATGCCTACATTCCACCATATTATACGCACATGCATACGCTCATGAGCGCATCAATCCAGCAGCGGAATTTATATACAATTCATCCAATGCGGGAAGCATGTTGAGATCCACCAGGTTTTATTACCGCCGTACAACATTCCACCGCATTATTAAACTCGGCGCTCTCCTCCTCGTAGCATGGACATTTCTCGAAACGCTATATATACGATGGGCACAAGTCCAGACCTCCATGGTAGAGCCACCGGCATTTGGTAGTGAAAGAGTCTTCATTGCGAGCATACACTGGAATAACGAAGCCATCCTTCGCAGTCATTGGATACCTGCAGTATTGGAATTGGTGAAGGAGATTGGAAAGGACAATGTCTACATCTCCGTGCTGGAAAGTGGAAGCTGGGATAATTCCAAAGGTGCGCTTCGCGAGCTGGATGTCAAGTTGGGAGAGCTAGGGGTGAATAGAAAGATCGTGCTAGACGACACCACACATGCGGACGAGATTGCTAAACCTCCGACGAAAGAAGGTTGGATACATACACCCCGAGTTGCAAAAGGGGAGAAGGAGCTGCGAAGAATACCATATCTCGCGAGGTTGAGGAATGAGGTCTTGCAGCCTCTGTACGACCTTCAATCGAATGGGGTGGAGAAGTTCGATAAGATTCTGTGGTTGAATGATGTGGTTTTCAGCACGCATGATGTGAGAAACCTTTTCGCGACGAGAGGTGGAGATTATGCTGCTGCGTGTTCCCTGGATTTCTCAAAAGGAAACGGGCAGCTTTACGACACTTTTGCTTTGAGGGACTCAGAGGGGAGGGAGCAGGTCATGTCTAAGTGGCCTTACTTTCGTGCACGAGAGAGTCGTAAGGCGATCAAAGCGAATCATCCGGCGCCTGTGGCTTCTTGTTGGAATGGCATGGTAGTGATGCATGCCGCTCCATTTTACAATTCCGAGACTCCACTTGTCTTTCGAGGCATAAGCGACTCCCTCGCAGATTCGCATCTCGAAGGGTCGGAATGCTGTCTGATTCATGCCGACAATCCTCTATCACGCACGAAGGGCGTTTGGATCAATCCCGGTGTGAGAGTGGGTTATAATGCTCCCGCGTATGAGGCTATCAACCCTCCTGGTGCTGGAACCTGGGTGTCTACTTTTGGGATTGTATATGGTTCGTGGGAGAATCGTCTCAGGAGATGGTTTACTACGACTTGGTTGAAAGAGATGCTCGTCAAGAGACGGCTTGCAGCTTGGGAGAAGGAGTCGAAGCTTAATTTGGAAAGCGGACCTTTTTGCTTGATTAATGAGATGCAGGTCTTGATCAAAAATGGGTGGGCGCATGTGTGATGTGGAGCAATAATGGATTTGAACGGCCTCGGACACCGCGTTGTTGACACGGAAACAGGATTAAGGTACCACGAGGCACAAACCACGTTTTGCGCGTCGCACACTAGAAGTGTTGTAGGAGGCAAATAGAGGAGAGCGAATGCGGTTGCAAAACCCACGGCCTTCATGGGGAATTAAATGGAACCTCCCGAGCGATTTCAGGAGCATCCTTCTGGGTTACAACATTCGGAGCGTTGGTGACAGTAAGTCTACTAAAATGAGACTTCAAGAGGGAACCATTCTTGACCATTGTGAAAGCTCAATACATGTACAAGAAGATGGATCATCCTCATCCCAAGTTCATCCTTGTCAGTCTCTCGACTCTGGAAAACTTATTCAGCTCCTTTCCTGTGTAAGCCAACTCTCGCTCAGCAATTCATGAGAAGGTGGTTGCCGTAGCAAAGGACCAGTCGAGCAGATTYATTCCACGATTGACGTGGACCGTCGCTTCTGAATCAAGGCAGACTTTCATGATCATCGTCCAGCTCCTCCTTCACTCTCAGTCATTCAAGTCCGACGGCATACCCATCTGAATGTCCTGAGCTTCGGCACGGAGGTTCAAGAGAATCATCGCAGCTCCCTCATCAGTCAGATCGGGTTCACCATACCAATGTAGTCTCAGCAAGCTCTTCGCAGCGTCCTCGCGCTCGAGGTTTGCCTTGGTGATCTCATTCTGCATCTCATCTTCAGAACAGACTTCCGAGATTGGAGTCCCTAGAATCGGCTTGTACTTTGCATATGTGGGAGAGTCGATCCAAGCAACCGTCTCATCGTCTGAATCAATCATAGGTGTGTCGTCCTCACTAATTAGATCGGAGGGTGGTGTTGCATTTTGTCGTACTCCCGCCGTCCACTGCAGGAGGTCAAGGTCGTCTTCTTCCTCCCCCTCTGGTTCGACGGAGATGGACAAGGCCTTCTTGATTCTGCCACGCTGTCCTGGACCTGCACTCTTCATCGACAGATTTGCTTTGGCAGCAGCCTTTCTAACCCTGGTCGTTTCCTTGCGCTTGGTGGATATCTTTTCGTAATGACGAGCCACAACACCGTTCTCCTGTTTTGCATTGTCAAACTCCCTCTTCACTGCGTCTCGTGGCAGGGTCCGGGCCGTGGCAACCAGGGATAAAGCGTCCATGATCCTCGCGCTGATCTTGGTATTTGTGATGTCACTCATAGGATCCGCATTTTGCACCATTTCCACCATTTCCTTGACAGTGTGTCTCGCGGCGAGCCGAATGAGGTCTTCATTCTCGGGTAGCTTGCTGCCTCCCTTGGCAATCCGCTTGAAGAKCGGGTTGGCAGCCCTCAATGTAGACTCTGTAGAGAAGAAGTCCCCGAGATAGCTGGGTGCGGTAGACTCATCAACATCCGTGAGAGATGTATCGCTGTCCTTGATGTTGCCTTTTTTGCCTGCGACGCCACTGGTGGGAGAAGTGTCGGCAGGAGCAGCAGCACGTCCAAGCGTGGCGTTGATGCGAGCCTTGACACCACTCTCCACTCTTGCATTATTCAGCGCGAGCTTCACCATTCTGAAGGAGGTGTTGTTCTTGTTGGCCACGGATTGGCATGCAGTGTGAATGCGGTGGTAGACCAGCGTCGGGGTGAGAGCGTGTGGTCTCTTATCACTGTTGACCTTGTTGGTAATCTCTTCTGCAGTATGTGTTGCCGATACTTGAAGTATACGTTCCTGAGTGATGAGGTTGGGGTCGCCGCTGAGAATCTGCTCATCGGTCAAGGACGTGTTGATGTAGTGATCTAGATGGACGTCCGAAGTGAAGTCTTGTGACTGCTCTGTGGTAGATCCTGCCTTGTTCATGGACAGCTGATCAGCCTGTTGTGCTCGTGTTGTCTCCTGATAGACCATATTACGAACCAACGGTATCTTTGCTTGTGTTGATGTCAGAAATGGCGATTTCCGCAATGTCAAGTGCGACAGGTTTCCACTTGGTATCTCGCATGAAAGAATGGAACAACAAGAAACAGCATAGAATGGGAGAGTGAATCGCAGAAACTGCCTGTGAAGCCTGRCAGCTCATTCATTCACCTTTGATCATCACATGCTGGCTTGCTGCGAATGTCAGCGCACACACATGAAACATTTCCTCAATACTTCACAATGCAATGCCATTCGAATCAGAGTGTATCTCCCAAACTCTCATATGGTACAACCTCCATTGAAAATGCCGCTACCAAACAAGAAGGGTCATGTCCATCAATCTACAAGTTCTTGATAACAGCATCCGCGTATTCGTGTGTCTTGGCCTTGCCGCCGAGATCGCCTGTTAGGTATTTGCCCTCTGCTAGGGTCTTGAAAATAGCCTTTTGAATGGCATCAGCATGCGAATTCAGACCCATGTGCTGCAACATCATGATAGAACTGAGGAGCAATGCGGTGGGGWTGGCAAGCGCCATGCCGGCGATATCAGGAGCGGAACCGTGGACAGCCTCGAAAATGGAGCACTCATCTCCAATGTTTCCGGACGGCGTCAAACCAAGACCACCAATCAGACCGGCACACATGTCGGAGAGGATGTCTCCGTAAAGGTTGGGCATGACAAGAACCTTGTCGTTGTACGGGAGAGGGTCCGTAACGACCTTTAAGCAGGTGTTGTCCAACATCTCTGCGTCAAACTCAATATCGGGGTAGTCCTTGGCAACATCGCGGGCAGTGCTGAGGRAGAGACCATCGGACATCYTCATGATGGTGGCCTTGTGTACAACACGGACCTTTTTACGGCCAATCTCTTGGGCGTGTTGGAAAGCATATCGCAAGACGCGCTCGGAAGCCTCACGGGTGATGAGCTTGATGGATTGAACGACACCGTCGACAACGACGTGTTCAATACCAGAGTATTCACCCTCGGTGTTCTCACGAATCAGGACGATGTCAACATCATCGTAGGGGGTCTTGTAGCCTGCAATGGATTTGCAGGGACGGAGGTTGGCGAAGAGGTTGAATGTCCGACGAAGGGTGAGATTGAGCGAGACGTGGCCCTTGCCGATGGGCGTAGCGAGAGGGCCCTTGAGCGCAACGTAGTTGCGGGTGATGCTTTCGATGGCCGAGTCGGGGATGACAGTCTTTCCGTCCTTGAGCTGAGGAGTGACGTCGCAGAATTCCCACTTGATGGGCGCGTTGGCGGCGGAGAAGATATCCTTGACGGACTGAGCGATCTCAGGGCCAATACCGTCACCTTCTATGAATGAGACGGTGTATTTACCCTTGGGCAGGGTGTTAGCGATAGGCTTTCGCATGTGACAGATGTGGATTGAAATTTACATCGCTGCCCTTCGTGCCGTTGAACTTGGCAACCTTCTCGTGGGGTGCCGTGACTGCGTATCCTCGGAATTGTGTCTAGGTACTTTTATCAGCTCTTGCTGATTGCTTCTCTCTTCCTGTACGGTGTTTTGCGAACCTGAGCGAATGCTGGTCGGGAAATCTGGCGGAGGCACTGGCGCACGGCCGGCGCTCTTCGTACGCTAGCCAACATTATTGTATAGGTGGTAGAGGACCGGGAGGGAGTTTCGGTCGGCGGAAGTGTATGCGAGGTGGTTGGCGAGAGAGGTGTTGAAGCGGAAGTATCTTTCACCAGACACGTTCTTTGGCGCGAAAGCTACCCGGAGTCGCCCGAGCGCGGGATGCCGCTAGGATCGGATCAGATAACCCTCCGGACGACACCCGAGCTCCGTATGCACCTGCATTGCGTCCACGGGTGTCAAGGCGCGTCAGAGGGAAGGAAGCTCTGCGATGTAAGAAGGTGGAACTCTCACATCCATCTTCATCCGTTGAACAAACAAACACATCACTACCACCACAACCATGCCCATCTCCGCGGAGAGAGAACGCGAGCTGCTAAACAAGTATAAACTCACCTCGCTGCATCCCACCGAATGGCCACACAAGGACGACGAGTCGTCCGAGGAAGAGGAGGATGAGGCGCCTGCCAACAATACTCGTCAATCTTCCGTTCGCAATTCACGCTRTCAGAAACTCGCCCGCCATGCCAGTCTCAGATCAACCGCCCAGGCCACTGTTGGCGTGCAAAACGACGAACCAGATGCCCTGGGCATGGCTCCAAGTATCTCGACCGAGCTACGAAGACGCGGAGTGCCCGTGGATGAAGACCTGGCATTGCGTAACAAGTTCATGCTTTCATCCACCAGCTTCAGTCCAGCCGCATATCTTTCACATCTCCACCAGACGGCAAGCACGGAGGACCTCATGCAGGGTCTGGACTTCCTCAGTAAGAGTATTGCCGAGAAGTCTGCCAGTTTGAAGGTACTGGTTGAAAGCAACTTTGAACGATTCGTACGAGCAAAGGCGACTATCGATACCGTATACACCGAGATGCGAACACAGGGAGTGGAGGAGCAAAGCAATTCACAGCTTCAACCAAGTGGTCCACCCAATGGTACGAGACCACACTCTCGGCAGACGAGCAAAGGGCAGACACATTTTCGAAATACCAGTGGCGCCTTCGCTGCTGCTGGAGCGAAACTGGCACCTTCTGGAAAGCGGAAGAATGCACTCACCAAGGAGTCTGAATATGGTGTGCAAGGAATCAAGGTTCCTCTGCAAGAAGTGGCCATCAAAGCAGAGGAAGTTTGGGGCCCGGCTTTGGGTGGACGCGAGAAGGAGGGGACTCTCAAAGCAGTCATGAGTGCCTTTGAACAGCACCGGGATGTCTTCAAGCTGAGCGGCGTCGTGTATGAGGCTGTCAAGAAGAACGACTATGATGCTGTCGTGGATGCCTATAAGCAGGCCAAAAGTCACGCGGACAAGGCAAGGAAGATTGCAACGATCGCCAAGGAGAACGATATGGAGCTCGGAGACCAGGATGTGCATCAAATCATCGTCACTGCGAGGATGTGGCATGATGTTACTGTGCAGATTGATGGTTTCAAGAACGGTATTTGGAAGAAGCTAAAGTCCGCGCACGGACGGAGAGCGGCTGCAATGGCTGATGAGCCTGATAAGGAGCTACACATGGAGCTGATCGCTGTACTACTCCAGCTCGGTGTCGAGGAGAGTCCCATCTGGATATGGATCAACAGCCGTTACCTCTATCTGAAGGATCGAATTGCCCGCTCTTTCGAACGCAGCCGGATCGAGATTGAGATCCTACGACGGAGACTGGCCAGCATTACCAAAACGGACATCGTCGCGTTGGCCAAACATCTCCGATCCGCTTCGACTTCCACGGGCGCTCTTCGTCTTAATAAGGAGTCGACACAAGATCTGGATAGTGACATCATTCTCGCGTTCTGGGACAAAGTACAAGCGTGCTTGTCCGCGTTACTTTCCCCGCAGAATGGCGTTCTTTCTGAGGTTCTGGAATGGTGGGAGATTGCTCAGTCTTTCATCGACAATAAAGCGCAAAAGTCATTTCCTACTGCGGTGTTTGCAGTAGGATTCACCCATCTCGAGCTGGAAGAGGAGCACATCTCTGCAATCCACGCAGCTGCTTTCGAGCTTGTCAATATCATTCGTGAAAGCATTGTCTCATTCTTTCAAGAACCACCTGTGGATGATATTAGCGATCTTTATTCTCCAATCCCGCCGACACCCATTTCTCCGGATTCAGACGCCAGCCACCAGTTTCCTCTCAGGCGTGCCTTTAGCATTGACAACAACAATATCCCTCCTCCGTCACCCAAAACAGATGCGGCATGGGAGAAGTATGCATTCTGGCCTCCAGGAGCCAATTCCCTCTCTGGAGCACACTACCTGGCGCGCTTCTCCACCTTGGTCGGCACCGCCATGAGTGAGATTGCCGGCCTCTCTCCTATCAAGTCGGCACCTGAACGTCGGGAGAAGCTCAAATCTACAATCATATCGGTACGAGAGCGCTGCATTGCAGCCATATGTGCGAGCTGGAACAGCGATGCGGAGAAATGCCGCGTTCTTGAATCGTGGACAAGATCACCCGAACGCAGAGATCTCACTCTCATGCCTGCATATTTTGAGGCGTGGGAGGAAAGGGTGTTGACGAATGTGCAGAAGATTGCGTACATTTCAGATGCCGTTGGTTTGAAGAGCAGTGGAGCTGGCGTGGATGTCATTCCGCCTCCAAGTGCCAAACTTCTTCAAGCTGTCCGGACTTGTTTCGTAACAAGTTTGTACAAGGGCCTGAGTGGGATKGTAGAGAATGCAACCACGACTGGATCCTCCGAGTCTTCTTCCACGAGGCTATTGGATGGTGGAGTCGGCGTTGAGGCCGATCCGGATGGCGTCACAGTGGCGAGGCGAAGAGGGGTGGAGGGTGATGGACTTGGTGTTCTGGCCACCGAAGCCGTTGATGCCAGCAATAGAGTGAGTGTATCCTTCAGGTTGTCCTCATGCAGTACTAACATCACGCAGAACGTGCGGATGCTCATCACACTCTCCAATTTAACCCATCTTCGGAGTGAAGTCATTCCGCAGCTCATCTCCACATTCGAATCCGCCTTTTCGGTCAAGCTCACAGAGGAGAGCAAGACGATCCGTGACGTTCTCTCACAGATTGACTCTCGGCTTTTCCAGGCATATGTCAAGCCTACACTATCATACATTACAGAAACTATCTCCAACGGAGTGGCGTCCCCTTCTTGGGAGCCTACCAGTACTCCAACAGACGCCAGGCCATACATTTATGACGTACTTATCAAGCTGGTCTTCATTCACGCCGAGGTCACGTCGACAACCACATCAACACTGACGAACCAAATTCTTTCCTACCTTCTCGAGCAGAGCTCGCTATCGCTCATTGCGTCTTTCGAGAAGCGGGACAGCTATTCTCTTGCAGCGTTGATGCAAGCGACTCTTGATGTGGAGTTTCTCGCTCAGACCCTCAACCAATATACCACAGATAAGGCCGGAGAGGTGCAAAGCCAGATCTATCTCAAGCTGGACGAGCGGACTGGGAATGAGGCACGAGGTAGACTCCAAGGAGAGTTGGCAGGCATGCGAGGTGTGTTAAAGGGTCTGAGGGAGGGTACCAAGGGTGAATTCGGGTGCTTCAGAAGAGAAAGGCGTGGTAGGAGGGAAAATGGCAGCGGCGGAGGGAGCGCCGGCGGTAACAAGGGATAGAAGCCTGTGCCATGGACCGGCGAGTCGGGAGTGGTGCTGCAGGTTAGGTGCAACTACATTGTGGAATGGTTGTGTCCACAGCGGGATGGTGAGGAGGCGCCCCTTCTCCAGCCCGTGTCTAACGACTCCGACTCGTCTGGCGATCATTCAAATCGCGGCGGAAACCACCCCGATGCTGCCACTGGGAATGGAGATGATGCTCCTGATGAGTCGGGACGGCCACAGCGGAAGACTAGCCGACTGAGTGTTGCACCGGGCCTGACGGACATTGTCGAGGAGCCTACCGGTGCACCATATGTGAGCCATCCCCGTCCCCCAACTGTTGAGAGTGCCCAGCACCATGCTGCCAGATCGGGACATAATCAATCGAGTCCCGAATCCCGTGCTACTGTATCTACGAACGAAGCACAGGACGCAGCTGAATCTAGCGTGCGACAATTGGATGTTGGAAGGCTTGATGGGACTAGCGAAACGGCGTCGTCCTCACGTCTGCAAGCATGGTCTCGGAGCTTGAAAGCGAAGGCTGCGAACTTGCTTCCGGCGCTACGTGGGAATGGGCGACGGAAACGCTGTGATAGCGAGCAGCTTATGGAAGAAGGAAATGTCCCTGTTGGTCGGGATCAACCGTTACGACACGCTCATGATGGTACTACAAATACCGGCCGCACCACTCCTTTGGCCATAGGAGGACCCGGTGGCAACGCATCTCCATCTTCAACAGATTCATCTTCACTAACGGAGTCCGAAACTACAGATCAACATGGTCCTGTATCGGCAATCGAAGAATGGGTCGACGGTGTACGGACCCACCAAGTGGAGGTGGAGTCCGTTGAAGACCTCTGAGTGTGGAGGTTCTGATAGTGAAGTACATTCGTTGGAATGGGAAAGTGTAGGCTACTGTTCATTTGGCAGAATCGACGCACGTCTTTTGAGAGGTAGTCCTCGTACCGTGAGAATCCCCGCTTGCTGTCATCTCTGCCTTTCGACMCCTTCTGCGCTCTGCCAAACGGAGGAGGTGTCTTTAGCTCCACCGGAATTCCCAGAGTCGCCAAAACAGATACCCTTATTGACCCTCTGGTAGATGGCAGAATGCTCGGCATATTGCAAACCCAAATGCTACAGACCGGAGCGCTTGATGATCTTCAAGCACTTTCTGGAGAAGTAAAGACTTGTTGGAATAGTACCGCTGTCTGGCTCTCCTTGGTACTTTCTTGCAGAGCATAAATCGTACCATGACATTTCAAGGCTATGGATGCCTTATAGCCATTCCCAATCGTCGCATTCAGCGAAATTGAGGATGTCGTCCCGATTGTAATGCAGGAATGCYATCCCGCGTGCAGCCTCGTCCGGGTATCAACCTGTCCCGCCCGCCTTCCTTGCTCGTGTCCCATTCATGTCCCGGCATCTCGAAGAAGAACATTTTCCCTGCCAGTCCACAGTTTCACCCACCACGTCCTCTACCTCTCCCAGGTCCTCCTCTACCCCGACCGCGTCCCCTGTCGCCACGTCCACCGCCGTGATCTCCCCGCTGACCCATGCCACCTCTGCCTCCGCGCTGACTTTGTTGATTCGCCTGCTGCTCCTTCACGGAGTCCACAACTTCGTCTGGAACTCGCAAATACTTGATCTGTGCCAATAATCAGTCTCCCATCCCAATGCCACAAGACAAAGGGTTCCCCACGTTGTTTCCTCTCACGTAGCATTCCGGTAACCTGAAGAACTTGTCGCCGTCGGGACTTGTTTGCACAACTTCCTTCAATGTGATGTTCATGTATGTGTCGCAGCTGACGAGATGACCATTCAGTGTTTCGCCAGTCTTGAGCTCCACAAGCATGGGATGGCCTTGCGCCGCGGTGAGCAGGCCGAGAGGGAGCTGCAGAGGATAGCGTTAATATCAAAACCGCCTTACGAATGGGGTGGGTAGTGTGGTCGTAGGAGAGGACTTACCATTTTGGCGGCGTGTGGTTGGTGTATTTAATGGTGGTTTGGCTTCACTTGCCAGCGGATTGACGTTGTGATGCTCGGCAGTGTCCGCGATTCGATTGTGACTTCCTTCCTGATACAGGCCACCTTACCGCCCGGCAACACGCATCCGATCTTGGAGTGGCGCAGCGCCAAAAGGATTCACGACCGAAGGTACCTAGGCGGCAGGATTACTTTGCGCAAATGTCTTCGCACCTCGCTCCACGCCCACTTTTGGGTCCCGGAGCTGGAATCGTTCGCAAGAGAGGCGCCAGGCCTTCCATCCACCCACCCTAGCTAGCATCGTCGGGCATGTGAAGGAGAACAAACACGCGATGCGCCGGTGGCTCCTAGCAGCTCTTCAGGTCGCGCCCATGCTCGCACTTCCCCTCGCTCACCACAGCGACTGGAAAGGAAAAGAATGGGATCCCAAGGTTGAAGTCTTGAGCTTTGGTAGGCCGCTCCAAATCCTTACCATTGGGTGGATCTCGCGCTGATGCTGCCTACAGACTTCCAGCGAGGTTCTTCTAGTTTTGCTGTTGGCCCTGGCCTGAGTACAGAGCTGACGAGTCCATTGGTGAGTCCACGTCACCTTACACGAAGAACCCTTGGCATGGTTCCTCTCAAGGATGAAGCATCTTTATCTCAGACTAACATCAACCTCAGGTCTTCGTCCTCCAAGTACATCCTGTTCAGGACCCACTAACTTCCAACATCTCCTTGAATGGCCAGGCTCTCAACATAGCATGGAATCAACTACCCGAGCCACAACCGTATTACTATGAGCGATATCCCATCACTGGCCGCCTAAAGCAWACTGTTTTCCTTCCCGACAGATCAGGAATATCCCATTCTGTTGATCTCGAGATCGCTGGCTGGGGCGACATTCATCCCAAGTATCCTGCTGCTTCCACCCCTGAAGATGCCGAGCAATTCATCCACATAACCGTCGAAGCTGTCGATGGATCTGTTACAGACTGGACAGTAGCTCTCCATTCCCGGCCTCTTTCACCAGGCCGTGGTCTACTAAAACTAATGGAAGGCTTTGAGAACCTAAGCCAACGCGACCATCTTCACAGACAAGCTGGCTTTCTCAATGCTTCTCCATTGGAACAACTAACTTACATTCGTCATGTTGAGGACGACGAATTCGACATTGAGGAAGAGATTGAGTCTCTGCTTCTCCTTGAAGCCGAAGCTGGCACACTGGACGTTGAGATTGCAGCCAGGAAGAAGGCGATAGCGAAGTGTTTGAAGAACCATCGTGATCGTGCCACTCTCCGTCACCTCCTCCAGGAATGTGACGGCATTGTCTGCGCCGCGAAGGTCATTGCTCAGAAAGTGTGCGACAAGATAGGCATCTTGACAGAGCCAAACTTCCACTACGCCCAGGTTGAGGACCCTCGCACCCAGAAGTTGATTCAGATTGATGACGACAGCAAGCCATTGAAGATACCAGGACTCGCAGGCGAGTTCCAATCACTTTCGGAGAAGCCCAAAAACGGAACACTATCTGGAAATCGGTACTTCGCGCTGCACACAAGTTCTGCAGCTGTCACGGRGTCAGTTACTGTGGTATATCCGCAAAGCGTTCTCTTTCGTGTTCTGGCACTGATTGCGACCTCCATTGGTTTGACGGCTCTATGTGCTTTCATCAGACGGAAGTGCATGTCCGCTCGCAAGCAAGTGGATCGCCTAGCAGAGCGTGAAGAACGAAGGAATGCCCGCGCGTATCGTCGTGCAGCTCGTCGAGCAGAGATGCGGCGGCGTTGGGATGCGCTCGTTGCTACAGTCAGCTGTTTCAGAGCGCAGCCTGAGCCGAGGATGGAAGATTATGAGGAGAAGCGGGCCTTGATCCTACAAGATGCCTTCATGGAGCAGAGCATTGAGGCAGCTGAGAAGGGTGAGGTCATGGAGGCGGAAATCCGCGAACTACGCCACGCCAACCAGATCGTGGCCAGTTTGGTACATGTTGGGCCATCAAACTCTGCGGCCCCTCCTCCAGCTGTCATAGTGGCCCGCTCGCGAGCAAGCACCGGCACTCTGCCCTCTTACACCAGCGAAATTTTACCCGACTATCGATCCCGCTACACCAGGACTGAGCAGGGTAGCAATGCTACAAGCAGTGTGAGAAGTGACAGCCTCGTCGCTGCCAGCCTCGATCGCTACACAATCTCATCTTCCTCGGAGGAAGCCTTTACAGGCAGTACTCCTCGCTCCAATAGCCCCGAAAGCAGTATTGGACGCTTTACACAGACGAGCAGCATCGTGGATTTTTCACCCAGACCGAGCGCGGAGACGCTGAGGACTGTCACGGTTGGACGGGTATCTAGGGATATGAATGAGCTGTGAACGACTTCCTTTGTCACTTTTGAAGAAAGAGGAATGCATGCAGTAATGTATATCATGATGGAGTTTTGAGGTGCCATCTGTGGCTTGGATTCAGGATGGAAGTGCTTGGATGTAATATATCGCTGAATGTGGGAATCGAAAGACATGAAATCTCGTTCATCCTTGTGGTAACGAGAACTCTGCTTCCAGCGCTCCTTACTTCTGCTGTGGTCATCTGGCGGACAAATGTGCTCGCGCAAGCCAGCTGGAAGACCTCGTGTAATGAGCTACGGCACTCTCAAGCACGTCTGATACCATGATTTGGCTTGTAGCTGACTTTCCTAAAATGCGGCAATGTTTGCTRAGAGTCTGGGCTCGGTCTACGGCCGCTCAAAATTCTTGGATCGCGAGCTGATGGTTGACTTTGATTATGATGCCATATCCTGAGAAGCCATGTCTGTATGTGATGGAAGTAGTGATGACTTTGGAAAAGTTGAAGTATGGTTATAGAGACGGAAGGTGCAACGAATTCATTTATTCATATGAACGCCAAGCCCTTTCCAATTCGCAACGCTAATCAAGGAGTCTCACGACAGCAGCAGCAATGCGCAACGCTATACGCCAGCAACAGTACAAACAATCCTTCTCCGTAGCCCTATTACGTCTCATCGTAGTAACCGTTTGTCCCTTCTCCACGACCTCGCTAATTATCTCTGCAGCACCACTCATTTTGGTCGTCCTGTCTGCACAGACCGCTTGGGAATTTCGATTCCACGAGTCTTAAGCTCCTTCTCAAGCTGCTCGATGATCGCGTCCCGCTTCTCCAATCGTCCAGAGAAGCTTCTTGCGTCGTTGCGCAACTTGGTCGAGGCGAGTTCCTTGGCGATAGCTGCGGCCTTTTTCGATGCTTTCAGTGCTTCTTGCTTCTTGTGCACTTCCTTCTCCAAGCCATCGATCTTCTTCTGGTCTTTATGGGCTTCCTTCACCATGCTATCGATCTTCTTCTGCAAAGAAGCAACTTTCATGGCGTCGCTGGCAGACTTTTCCTCGCATTCGGCCTCGATTCGGTTGTTCTCCTTGCGAGCCTTCTTGAGCTCTTCCTTGATCCTCCTCATCTCCTCCACCGCCTCCACCTCCACTTCCTCCTGCGCCTTGCGCGCTCTCTCGGCTTTCTTCGCCTTGCGAAGCAATTCCTCGTTCTCGTCGTGAAGCGCCATTAGCTGGACATGACGCTTTTGCAGCTCTAGTTCCTGGGTCTTGTTCAGCTGTTGCAACTCGACCATATCGCCAGTCTCCTTGATGATGCTCTTGGAGAGACCTTTCCTGATCGTCTCTCCGTTTGCGAAATCCTTGCGCGCGCCATTGAGATCCTCTTCGAGTTTTACTTTCTTTGGAGAAGGCGGCCCTCGCGCAGTCGCATCGCATGCCGGCGAAGAGTTCAACTCAATGTTGGCGTCGAGCTCGTCGGCGGAGCGTTTCCTTCCAAAAGTGGCATTTTGGGGAGGCGACATTTTCGAAGCCGGCATGGTGGATGGTGAGGGTGTTGAGATAGGTAGTTTTTGTTGTGTCCAACAAGCTGTGGAAAGGGGCAGTATTGCACAGGGATTATGCGCGACTGGAGCTGAGGTGGTTGTGTTGTGGTTGTGGTGGGTATGCCAGGTTGAAAGAAAGAAAGGTGTAGGTCACCCATAGGGGTAATTTTTCCGCGAGAAAAACACCTGATTGTACTTTTTCATGATTGAGCAGAAATCGTCCATTGGTGTTTATCACACAAATGCGTCATCGCAAGGAATCGGTCTGATTGTGTACTTCCGCTATAAAAACCCATCTGATCGATATCTGACTTGATTCTGCCACTGTCCGGTGCCAGAGTGCATGATAGCTGCATACTTGGGATATCCTCCAGTTTCCCCAGAGCCGGACGTATCCTTTTGCAAACATTATGTATATTCGCCTAAAGTTAACTGCTATTTGCAGCTTTTCCTCGACCCATGGTTGGCCGCGGATCTCTGGACTCTGTTGCTGACACGGCCGCGGCAGTTCCTAACAATGACGTGAAAACTTAAGCCATCGGTCCTACGGCTTGCCCGTAGTCCCAAAATACTGTATATCTTCAGAAATACAGATGCAGTGAGCAACTTGAACTGAGGTAATTGTGTTATAATTGTGATTGGAATAGAGTACCGAGGATGAGTTGCAGACTGCACTTGTTTTGTGATTGACGAGAAACTCGTCCAAAGATCTTTCTTTGTCATCGCAAGGAAACAAGACTAATTGCCTGTTTGAGTCACTCAGCAAAGCGGCCTCATATAAACCCAATCCAACACCGAAAAAGCCCGATCAGTTCCTACCAGGCCGCACGCCCTACTCTGCGCCGTAGTAATGACCAACGCACACTCATGATTCAGGCCCGAATCCCCCAATACTGATATAGAACTATCGCTGCGTGGAAGGACTCTGCGGTGTGGGAACCTGCGGTACCGGAAGCTCATTTCGCTCCAGTTCATCCACTAGCTGCGTGATGCGCCGATCCCGTCTTCTCATAGCCGCCCCAAACAGTTCTCCCTGTTGTTCCAGTGCTTCCTTTTTGACCTGCTCTGCGGACACCATAGCCTCCTTCAGAGATGCCAAGTCAAGTTCCATCTGATCTTTGCCATGAGCCTGACGCTTGAAGTGCTCGGTTTGGGTGTTCGCACTGTCCAAGTTTTCCCTCGCGATATCTGCGCGATCATTGGCAATACGAAGTTGTCGTCGCAATTCTTTTGCGGTCGTATCTGCTGCATCCTTTGCCGAAGAAGCCTTCTCGATGGAACGCTGCAACTCACCAAAGAGATGGTCCGACTCGGCCCTCGCATGGTCACGAGCAGCATCATGGTCTGCAATCACGATTTGATTTTCGGAAAGCTGAGAAAGCATACTGTAAGTCTGCGACTCTGCGCGCTGCAGGTCCTCGGCGTGTTCCGCCTGCTGTCGTCTGTAGCGCTCTTCGTGACGTTGCTCTGCTTCGGCACTGTCTTGCGTAGCCTGAAGTTCGGCACACTTGGCGCGTTCACGCTTGAGCTCCTCATCTTTCTTCGTCATCTGCTGCTTATAGTCTGCCTTCATCTCCTCCAACTCATCCGCATGAGCGAGCATGTCTTTACCAAATCCTTTGTTGCGGTGCCTCTTAGGAACGAGAGCAGGCGGGACAGCAGTGTCGTCATTGGCTGTGGTGGGCGTCGAAGCTTCGGCTGAGAGTATTTCCGTGCTGGAAGTCTTCTCTGTCTTTTTCTTCTTCCCTTTCTTCTCCAAAGCAGGAATCTCCTCGGCCGGGCGCTTGGTGCCCTGACTCGCGATGTTCTGCGCGCGGAGCAGTTTGCTCATGATTGCATGGTGCTGGATGCACTCAGTGCGTGAACGTCGGGGTAGAATCTCAGCGATAGGAATGAAGGAGAAAAGAGCATCCACGAACGGTGTCTCCTCATGCTGCGCTCTCTTCTTGGTCTCTATTTCTGACTGCTTCATGAACGCTTCCAGGTAGAGAAGTCGCTCGTTGTCGGTGAAAGGGTTCTCCTCGACATCCGGAGAATTTCTTTCAAGCTTCTGTTGCGACAGGAGTAAACGTCTCTGCAGAGAGCGCTCTTTGTTGAGCTCCAGTTCATGTCCCTGTAGGTTTGGGACGGGGTACCGCGACTCATTCTCCGCATTTTCGTTGAGAGGTTTGGCCTCACTGAGCTCTTGTAATCTCATCTTATTTGCCGCTTGCKCATGTACTCTCATTTCCTGGGTCACCTCGTCGGAGCACATGGTTTCTTCGTTGACCCACATGACTGGGGTGATTTCCATTCTGATTTCCAGAGAGCTCTCGCCGCTTCTCGACTTTGTTGCGGGCTCATGATGTATTTGATAACCTCTCTCCCAAAGTTTCCGCAACTCGGCCGACATTGGGCTCTTAAGACGACTGCCAAAGAGAGTGGCAAAGAACCCTTTTCCAGGCAAGGTATGGTAATCCTTGTACRCAGCGATGAGAACGGTCGAGCAGATCAGAAGGTTTGTTTCGTCTGAGATGTAATGCATCCTGAAGAACGTACCCTCGGCCACATTCTTGCTCCTCAGAGACTTGGTGTAGTCAATACAGAGGCGTATGGCCTCGCAGGGCTCACTCATCATTGCTGCGCGGGGTAAGCCAGCTAGACGCGCAATGTTCCGCGCCAAGTTTTGCGCGTTTGTTATGTTCCATTCTGATAGTGGAAGCTTTTGTGCGAGCTGGTCCAACAACCGCCCGGAGTCTCGAGCGAGCTGCTCGTGCCACATGAATACCTGCACGTATTCAATTGTTAGCTGTGCCAATCTAACGACTGTTTCGATGACTATCGCATGAGAGCAGGCTGACCTGAGGGAGGACTCCGCCTGATCGCAGAAATTCCAAGACGCCTCTCTTGATGAGTGCACTGGGTTCCTTGAAGAGAGCCAAGATTGCATTGAGGCTTATTGGATCCATATCTGGGAGGTATCCAACATGACTCTGTTTCTTCCCGGGTCTGGTGACTGCAGGGTACGCATAGCCTGCTGGCAGACTTGCTTTCAAAGCCGCAATCTCTTGAGCGATAGACAGCGAGGGAGGTACAGTCTCGATGGCGCCGGAAGTAGGATCGATCGCCATCTCTCCGCGATGCGGGCGTGCGGAATGAGTTGCGTCGATAGTTCTGGACATGGTTGAAGGGCGGCGCATAGACGAGGCTGACGTCGAGTTGTCGGACGAATGCTCCATGGCGATTTGACGTGCGCGTTCGAGACACTGAGCAAAGGGTTGATGTCTGCTTTTGGAGGTCCAGATACCAAAAKGTTGCAACCAAAGCGGGATCTCAAACCTCAGTCGGGACCACAAGTGCCAAGGCTTTTCTTGGCAAAAGCGGGAGTGAATGTCCCGCGCCCTCGCAATTATAAAGCTTGACGCGTACATCTTTCTCTTTCTCTTCCTTTCAGTACCCTCCACGAACACCTTCCACCACCACGAACACCTTCCACCCCGACGAACGCCTTCCACCCCGACGGACACCTTCCACCCCGACGAGCACCTCCAACGACTGCGGTATGTATCGACTAACGCCACGATGTACTCTGCGCCGTCGTCAGAGCCCTGCGCTTGATGGAAGCACTTTGAGGTTGTAGAATCGCGTCAGGGTTTCTAATCGGGCGTCTCTGCATAATCACGGTGACCTTTCACTTCGCAGGGAAACCTCCCGCTTCCGTTGCCGGTACATTCGTGGCATCCACACGATGGTTCGCGGCATGCCTAGCGCAGAGAAGCAGTCATTTGCGCACTGTGGTTGCTCCAAGAGAAGTGTGGTATCAGCCTGACTGATTCTATCAGCAGGTTTAYAGTTTCTCTCGTCATAGTAGTAGCGTTCCTGGCCATTTGACTGTGGCTTCTGTTGCCGGCATGACCGTGGCATTCATATTTTCCAACTGACGTGATCCTAGGCCATCGAGTTTGCGGCTTGCCGTGGTCTCGAAGGCTGACTGAACGATGATCGAGGTGGCAAACATCCCGCGCGCGATGTCCCCCACATGGGTGGTCGGAACTTGCAAGGCGGCGAGAATTCCCACGGAATACCAGTGCGCTCCGGCCAAGGCTCGCTCGTAACACCACTGAAACCCATGCCGTTACAACCTTGTCAATCAAGGTGACTTCTATTCTATCGGTCCTTCGGTCCGCCGCTGTACTCGGAGGCCAGACACTTCCAGATACCGCGACATACAAACAATCGAGTCGAGCGTAGTCACAAGATGCTCGAGCGTAGCCAGATGACCAGATCGTGAATTCATTTACCCACACACAGATGGCATCATCATCAGGTCGATAACTCGGTCCAATCCCGTCTTCGTCTTTGGCCTACCAGAACGCCTCGCTAACACAACCCATGACAGTCCATTTGAAAAACCACCGCTTCTACCTCAACCATCTGAGCACAAAGTAGACGAAGATCACGAAGACCGCAACACAACCCCAGAAGATCCATTTGTCTTGCCTMGCCCGCCGATCAATCATGCGAATCGTGTCTCCTGAGATACCCAGCGTGCTTCCAACAGAGTACAGCTTTCTCTGCGTTTCCTTGAGCATCTCCCGCTGATCTCCCAGATCTCCCAGCACAGCCCGTCCACGCTCCAAGTACTCATCCAACGTTGAGTTCGCCGATCCGAAGAATGAGTTCTCGCTCAACGCCGCATTCTCCCGCGCATTATCTGCTCCGAGACCATAGGGACTCTTGTACGCAGAATAGGCATTCGGTCCTCCAGCACCTCCTGGCACAAAATTGGAGTTGCTGGTCTTGAAGAGCGGGTTCACATTTTCTCCCCGTCCACTACTACCCGCGACCGCCGCATCTGAATATGGATTTTCAGGTGTTCCAGTTCCACTGTCGCCTGCGTATCCCCTCCTCCCCAAGAGCTCGCTTCGGTTCTGGGCATATGCTTGTTCTGTGACCGTGTGCTTGATCTCCGCGAATTTTGACTTGAACTCTAGGAGATCGGCCCGGAACTTTGCTAATCTTTCTTCGCCCTTTGTGGCTTTCTCTGGGACCAGCTCATCGGATACGGCGCGTTGGTAATCGTCGAGAGTGCGTGAGAAGGAAGTGAGGGATGTTGTGAGCTGGCCTTGGAGTGCGGATGAAGGTGCAGAGGACGCGGAGAGTGAATCGAGGTCGGCACGAATAGCTTTGGATTGGCGGAGAGCGGAGTTGTAGAGGGCACTCATTTTGGCAATGTTGGGGTTATCATTAAAGTAGAGTCGGCGAATTGCTACTACAGGGGAGAAGACGTGTGGTCGCGGTCGCGGACAACGTGGCAGGAACGTGATTGCTGACCGCCTGCCGAATGGGGTCTCCAACTTTGGAGTAAGTTTGTCCTTCGAACTCTACCTGTTCTGGTCCTACGTCATGCCGATCAATCTCGAGACGATACAGGGATTCGTAGGCACATCATGGGCGATGAACGAAACACCTTGCTCTCTCCTTGAGCAAGTGGTCATCATGTCTGGTACAGGTCCACAAGAATCTACATAAACATACTAGTATTCGCTCAGCGAACCACCTCAACATGGACATTCTCCGCAAAATCGTGGCCTCCCCACGCGCTCGCCACGACGAAGCCAACCTTGATCTCTGCTACGTTACAGACAACCTCATTGCCACCAGCGGTCCCTCAGGCACATACCCACAGATCGTCTACCGAAATCCACTTTCGCAGCTCGTCAAATTTCTCGACTCCAAACATGCCGACAACTGGGCGATATGGGAGTTCCGTGCAGAAGGAACCGGCTATCCTGACGATGAAGTCTACAACCGCATTCGACATTACCCTTGGCCGGACCACCATCCTCCACCCTTCGCACTGGTCCCCTTGATGATGGCATCCATGCGAGAATGGAGGAGAGGAAATGACAACCGAGTCTGTGTGGTGCATTGTAAAGCTGGAAAAGGAAGAAGTGGGACAGTGAGCTGTTCTTACCTCATCAGTGAAGAAGGGTGGACGGCTACAGATGCCATGCAGAGGTTTACGGAGAAGAGAATGAGGCCTGGATTTGGAAGTGGAATATCCATTCCTTCGCAAGTCAGGTGGGTAGGGTATGTCGATCGGTGGACAAAGGGTGGCAAGATTTATGTTGAGAGACAAGTTGAGGTCATGGAGGTGCACGTTTGGGGACTACGCGATGGTGTAAAGATTTCGGTTGAAGGCTACGTGGACGAAGGAAAGGTCATCAAAAGTTTCCACACCTTTTCAAAAGCCGAAAGAGATATCGTCAAAGGGGGCATCAACAGAGAGAATGGGTTCGCGGATGTGGCATGGCAGTTGATGGGAAAGAAGGAGAAGGAGAATGCACAAGACGCCAACAAGGACAACGCAGAGGAGATCAAGACTGCTGAAAGAGTTGACTCCGACGTTTTTCAACCCTCATCTGGAGACGTCATATTCCGGCCTTCTTCTCGCGTGGTGCTCCCTTCCAGCGACATCAATATCGACTTCGAACGCCGCAATGTCTCGAAATATGGAGGCTTTACCATGGTCACCTCGGTTGCTCATGTTTGGTTCAACACATTCTTCGAAGGCCGCGGTCCCGAGCAACAAGGCATCGCTGACGATGCTGGCGTTTTTGAGATTGAATTTGATGCCATGGATGGGATCAAGGGTAGCAGTAGGAAGGGTACCCGTGCGTTCGACAAGATGTCTGTGGTATGGAAGGCTGTCACTGATGAGGGAGGGAATCATACTCCAGGTGTCGTGATCACTGAGCCCAAAGAAGGCGAGGAAGTTCCTCAAGCTCGTCCGGCTGACTGGAAGAAAGGAAACGATGAGAAGAGTGAGGACTTCGAGAAGAAGTTGGGAATGAGGGAGGCAACGAGTGAAAGTGCCGACATCAGTCGAGCGAGTAGTATGCGCACTGATACGACTGTTGAGAGCGACAAGAAAGATGAACTGGAGGACGTGCGGCCTTTTACCGGAACGAAGTCAGGGGAAGTGGCAGAGAAACGAGGAACAAAAGAGGAGAATCCAAACAGCCGAAAACAGCATACGACCGCAGACTCTATGAATTCCGAGAACGAACGTCCAGCCCGACCTCAGCCAACCGCGGCCTTACAGAATGAATCCTCCATTAAGACCCTGCCAGATACCACAGTAACGAAGGAACAGATTGAAGGGACAGTAGAGCGTATACGCGAGACGAGTCCTACGACCATTCGGTCCGCAGCACCCTCGAGCGGCAACGAGACCAGAGCAGCCGAAGAAGGCGCACATCCTCCGACAGCAAATCTTCCTGGTGGGATTTCTGAAGACCAAATGCCGACCCATCATAATCACATGCTAGGGAGTGTGAAGCTGGGCAAGAACGTTGACAGCAGTTCTTGAGAGTAAGCAACGGTATTTGGTTCTAGCGTGGCGTACGGAGCAGGGTATGCGAGTCGCATAGTGGTTCGCGGCTCGTCAGGCGAAGTGCTGCCAAGAAAGACAATGGATGGCCGCTTGTCAAACACGGGCAGGATTGCGGTCTAAACCCCTCAAAACTTGCTCATGTATATAACTTCTCCCAAGTGCTAATGGGCCACTTTCCAGCTCGATGCTCCGGCTTAAGGTCACGATCGAAGATGGTAATCCCTCGACATTTTCATTACCATGACCGACGCTTTGGTCCTGGCAAGTACAGATCCGCAACAACCTTTGACCTACCGTGTATCAATTGCCTGGCTCCTGCCCGCTGGTCTGTTTCGGTTCCCATGGACTGTTCCTCACGGCTTAGATTTGGTCTATATTGGCAGGACTGCCATTCGGCTTCGCGTTGGCCATGCTCTTTCTCGCCATCAACGCCTACTAGACGAAACGCTACGATCGTTACGCAGCAAGTGCGCTAGCAGTAAACGGCATGCTACCTACCTACATGGACTCTTCATTCAGGGCTGAATTTGCAWGTACGACGGGCTGGGTACTTCCCATAGGCAACTGCACTTCCGGAATTTATGGCATTTTAGGTGCTGTGTACAAATACGGGCCAGTAAATACCTACCACTTCAGTTTCACGATCCAGCCAGAGTCGGAGCATTCGAGCAGGAACATCGCTGCGTTTTGAAGGCGGTCAGTACATCGTCTTTTTGCGCTGGTATTTATCCTTGCATCATTAAGCCCAAATTCGCCGCAAGCTCGCGAGATTGCCAACGCACGAGCGCCAGGATGCTCAATAAGACTCCGTTGTTGCATAGTGAAGGTTTTAGACAAAATTGAACAAGTCCATGGCAGTGCATGCGATAATTGACCTTCACTGGCTCGAATCGGGAAGTAAGATATACACGGTTGCCACATCTGGCTGTGCTATGAGCAAAGAAAATGGCAACGATCTGGACAGAGCTGGGAATGAGGAACGTGTCAGGCCTTGAATACTTCGCTTCATCTTAGCGAAAGATGCGTATCTTAGTGAAAGATAAATAACAGCCTATATTCATCTTAGTAAAAGATGGATATAGCTATCTTAGCCGTCTTAGAGGTATTTAGTGTATCTTACCGGCTTAGCGCTCTTACCTTATTATCGTCCTTCTTATCTTATTATTTATACTACTATATTATTATCGCTCTATCCGTAAAGCGTATGTTATAATACCTCCGGCTAGTTAGCATAAGCTAGTTAATAGGGCTCGTTCGTCTACTACTCTAGCGCCGGCTRCTATAAAGCGTTCGAAAGCGAAGAAGAAGAAGAAGGATAGGTCGAAGAGCGAGAATACGGATATATAGCGTACGAAGGCGGTAGTAAAGCAAAAGCGCGCTCCGGCTTATCCGTAGACGGATAATAAGTTAACGTCTATACTTAAGAAGCTTATCGACCGTATTATAGCGTAGAACGATAACTAAGGGTTCTTAAATACGTATATAGTAGAGGTTACTAGAGAGGTTAATACGGAGTATAACGTCGACCTTAAGGCAAAGTAGGTATATAATAAGTTCGACTCTTTTAGGCCTATATAGAAGGAATAGAAGGCGTATCTTAGACGTATTAGCGGATAGAACGGCTAGCTACTATATACGGATAAGGACGTTAAGGATAAATACTACCTTAGCTATCCTAAGTACGCGGTATAGCGGTACGAACTACCTTAGTTCTAGAGCTAGCTTAACTAGCTATTTAGTAATAACTTAGCTACTAGCGAAGTAGCGCTAGAGGCTAATAAGCTTAGTATCGAAACTATCGAGGATAATACTATAGAAGCTAGCGTAGCTACCGCTCTTAAGGATTAGCTACCGAGTAATAAAGAGCGGCGCTCGGTCTTAGTAGCGGCTTTATTACTATATATTCGAGGCGGTAGTTCGGTAAGCCGTAGATAGAGTAGTAAGCGCCCTTTAGTTAGTAGTAGTAGTAAGGCTATAAAGCGAACTCGCTCTACTAAAGAAATACCGCTAGCTCGTTCTTATACGCGGAACGAAATAACGTTCGCTATCGAGGGGCTCGAGAAGCCTATTAACCGTATAATTAGTACTATTATCTCGAGCCGGTAGTAGAGCTCGCTACCGCGTAATACGCTAATAGCTACCGTAATCCGGAGGGTAATAGGCCTTAAGGGTATTAAGAAGCTAGGGTTCTCGAAGCGTATAGCTCTTTAAGATATTATCTTAGATAGTAAGAATATAGCTACGAGGGTAATAGGATACCCTAATAATAATTTAGAGGCTATGCTAAAGTACTTATTAAAGAAGAAGGCGTCTATAGAGGCGCTAGAGGATATAAACAAGCTAAAGGTAGTAGTAATACCTTATCTACGCTATCTTAAGTTCCGGTATAGAGTATTCCGGTATAGAGCATTCCTTAAGGCTATCTATTATTTTATTATACTTAGCTCTTACTAGGGATCGATTATATATAGCTTATATCGTAGTAGTAGTAGTACGGCGGTAGTAGTAGTAGTAGAGTTAGCGGTAGTTAGTAGTCGAATTATTAAGGAGGATACGACGATAGGTTTAAAGGACGATAAAGCATAAGCTCTAAAATTACTACTTATTACTTTATATAGGAAGGATACTATTATTAGGAATTACTAAGGCTTCGGCTATAGCTAGACGTAAAGTTAGACGACTACTAAGCGTACCGGCGAGCGCCGCGTACGTAACGTATAGTC